GTGACTAATGCATTTTTTTTAACGTTTATTATTATGGTTGAATCTTGAAATAATTTATATTAAGTCATATATAATCATGTTAATATTAAGTTTGTAAGATATGGTAATTTTTATACAGTTTCGATTGACTTGACGCCTTGACCTCTTCTGTGTTTAATTCCACATATGTCACGTTTAGCTCAATAATCTAAATTACCTATAGCATTTTATTAAGCCTTAGCTTTAGCTCCAAACAGCGTGTCCGAACAAGATTAAGACGAACAGCTAGGTAAGTACAATATTTTAGGTTTTTATATTGTACGACGATAAACGCACAGTATACATAAATGAATACATACAGGGTGGGGCTTAAGTTAAGACCCGTGAATGAAAATAAGCGGCGGCGGCGACATCTTATATGTTCTCATAGCGTATAATATGTATTATATACTGTTTATTTATTATTGTTATATTCCTTCTTTTTTTTTTTTGCAAATATCGTCACACGGATTATATATAGAGTACGGTATATAGGTATATATACAATTAAAGAGTTTTAAATTGGTCGGACGGCGGCTGGACTTGAAAGGAAACTTTTTATCGGAAGAATTTGCGGAATATATCCTTTTGATGTGACCGCTCTCCGTTCTCATCTCTCCCGTGTGTTTTTTTATAAACTTATTCTACCTACATATTCTCATGTCACTGACGGCCGCCGCCGCCGCCGCCACCGCCGTAGCCGTTTCCCGGCGATCTCCATGGGTACCTATTAATAATAGTATAATATATATATATGCAGCTAAACAGACAGACTTCTATCCCTATGACCTCTAAAAATTACACAAAAAACCAAAACTGGATACAAACGCGCAAAAACTATACTAGTTTACCATCGTCGTATTAAATTATTATCTTTGAGTATAATATATGTATAAGTTTGTATAAGACTAAAAATCATCATCTCATGATGGCAGCGTTGGACCCTAAAGGTCTGTGTGAGTCAAACGAGTAAAATGAAGAAAAAAAAATCGGCTGTAGATTTTTGAGAAATTGTTTAGGATATATTTATGTATACCTTCCTATACTCTGTCTATAGCTTACAGGCGTTAAGTATACCTACCAAAACAGTGAAATAAATCCAGCGTTTCCGGGGAAAAGGTTTTAAGTATTTTTTTGGTTTGTCAAACACTCGGGTTTATGTCTAAAGAATATTCCATATCAATTTTAAACTAGTCAGCACCGCATCGAAGATAACAGTTCGTTTGTAACTCGCCTTTTGAAAATCTTTGTGGCACTACCGAAAAAAAAATGAATAATTGGTTGTTCTTAAACGTATCTGAATCGATGAAATTATTTGATTATTATCATTATTATTTTAAATCGACGGTGAATCTTATTTCAGGACTTTTGTGATAAAATGTTCACGTTAAGGGTCTGCTGATGTTATGTCATATACATAACATACATGTATAGATATAGGTATAGGTTATACATATAAATGTTTATACAAGCGTACAGTAGCCAAAAACGTTTTGCATATAATATATTACACAAGACACATGCACGCACGACCGGAGCGGCGCAATTGGATGGCAATATTCCGAAAATAATCCGATCGTCGTCCATTGAAGGAAGTGATTTTGGTTTTTTGGCACAAAACCGACTCAGACGCTGAATTTCCCCTTTTGAAATTTATCGCCCTCCTCGAATCCTACTTAACAAACGCCGGTAAATCAACGTCGCTGACTCATCACGTTTGTCAATGGGCAAAATTAAGCGTGCGCCACATCTTGTGTACTCATAATATACAGACACTCTAATTTTAAAGCATGTCTTGTTTTGTACTTAGGTACACTGTTATTAGTATCAAACTATTATTTTATGATGATAATATAATAAATATTATATCATAACTCAAACGACTAATGCCATCAATTTCTGTGCCAAGTGTGTACAACCCCACGCAGATAGGTTGTCCACGAATCGATGCACAAGTGTCTTAAGTACATAAATGTACATAGGTGTATTGTAGATAACCATGGTGATACAGGTGACATCAGCTGGTGCGTACGTGGTCGAATAGGTATTCCTAATGGACGTATAGTGTACAGAATGATAGAATTAGAAACGTATCAGACGAGCAGTCGGTTCAAGGGTTTGTCAATGAGACCGTGTGTCGTCGATGCCAAAGTATTCGATTTATTTTTACACCGCGCGGTCACACTCCGGGGCACGGCAGAATTTAAAGCACGTCGTCGTACTTAAGCTAGGCATATTACACGCATTGCATGCGGTACAGGGTGTTGATCTTTCGAAAATAATATAATTATCCACACACCGTTCGGTTCATAGAATGCATACGAACACTTCCTCGAGCGTGTTTGACTTAACTGTCAATCTACAATAACTCGCCAACATCAAAATTAATGTGCTTCTCTAATGAATGTTGGACAGGACTCTATTGAATGAAGAGCCTGGCTGCGAAGAGGAACTATATAAGCGCTGATCTTAGGTAATTCGAAATCTTGTATTAAGATCCTTATGTAATTTGAATTCAGCGAGTTCAAGTTTAAGTGTAATGGTAGTCTTCTCCAGACAGTTCAAGGAATCCGAGGAAGCATTCAATTGTTGAAGTCTTAAACTATACGTTTAAAATATGTTTCAAATAAGGAAAACTCCACTGTAGCTCCAATTAGAAACTTCTTAGGACTTTTATAAAAACGTTCAATTAATTGTAAATAAAGCGATTTTGCCATTAAGATAATACTTACCTAACCCTAAAGGATTTTAATGCGTTAATCTTATATTCCTGCGGAGTTAGGAGTTCTAATGGAATCCACATTGTACTTTGTAAGAGTGCAATTTACTAATCAAACGGAAAAAATATCAATTTGACACTTTAAATTTAGTTGGATCACCTAAATAAATAGTTAGACATGACTATACATGTATTTCTCCAATGTACCCTTTTGAGCTCCAAACGTTTCCCTCGTGCTTATCAAGTTTGTTCGCTGACTTTTGATTTGCCCACAAAAATAGGGAAGATGGATAGAAAATCAGCAGTAAGTGAAATCAGTTATAGATCAGGAAAAAAATCAACGCCAAATTATTATAGAAACAGTTGGTGTCGAAATAAATGAAAATTGCAGATGCTGAAAAGGTGTATCAAGTTACTAATCAGTGTAGTAACCACAGCTACCACCAGCGCCGTCGACGTGCCGCTATCAAATAATCAAACCCGGTTTAAACACTTTTTTGAGTTTCATCAAACGTCTTTAAACAGATACTATGGTATTTATTTGTTTACATTTTAATTGGGTAGGTTTAAGCACACCCTCGACGATTTGTATGTGTGTAGGAATGAGTTATTATTATTGTTGTTTTGGGGTGTTTACACCACGGGGGAATGTTGTCAGTCGTGTTGTGTCCCTCGTATAATATTATAAGTCGAGTCGACGGCGACGGGAAAGATTTTGGAAAACCGATAAAAAAACCAAAAGAAATAAGTGATTTTGTACCTTTTTTTAATCCTACGGATGATATTACACGTTGTTTTCTATCGTTAATTTACATATTAATAAAATGTAATTGAATGGAATGTAATAAAAAAATATCCATCGACACGTTTATTGTGTACACACTTCTATGACATGACATGTACCTACCAGTAATCAGATATAAAACATTTTTTGGAGTGACTATACAGTATAATGCTCATGAAAACGTCCAAGTGCGGATTGCTCATATTATTATCTTATCTTGGACATTATTATTACAACAATTTTAAATGCGGATAATCGACGTTTGTGGTATTTTTCATTAAACTCACTTTGTACACTGACAACTGAAACAATAGTCGATGCACATTAGGCATCTCTAAAATTAGCTGTTTCATTGAAATGTAGGTACATATGTATATGTATGGCCAGGGCAGGATATTTTATTTTTAACGTAACAAGCCAGCACAAAACATTATCCGAAAAATAATCGTTTGATGTTTTGGAAATAATTTCAATAGATAGTATTTTTTTAAAAATTATAAATCAAAAGACGTTTTAATTTTACCACTTTTGATTCTTTATTTAACTATTGTGGTCGTACATGATAGAATAAAAAAAAACTCAAAGCTAAACATAATAATATAATATAGCTTGAGACATAGGTACATAGCATATTTTTTAACAGCGTTGATTTATATAATTTTAACGTTTTTAAGGTATTGAAGTTCATAAATAAACGATGTTTAATGTTCATACGCATTATTTGGTAGGTTTTATAATAATAATAATAATATTCTAGTACATCATTTATTGCGCTATAAACAACATAATATTACTATTTATACTTTCTAACATTGCACATCAACACACGACTCTATAACAGTTAAATATTACAATATTTAAAATAAGAAGGAAAAATAAAACAATACAATATCTAAGACTTTCATAAATATAATAATATACAAAATATACGATTGAAACATATTTTTAATCAATCGACAGTTTTATACAAACAAATATGGAACTATAATAGAACGGGTTAGGGATACTCAATTCACTTTATATAGGTATATGGCCAAACAATATCAGCAGATTTGATTGCCCTGAAAACGATTTATAATTGCTTATCTGATCCACTGGAGATAACACCCATTTCCCAAATTACAGAAACAGTTACTCTTAGCCTAGCATCTAGTTGGACCTAGTTTTGGCATCACTGAATAGTATAGGCCTATTTAATAATATATCATGAACAGCAAATTACCTACTTGGGATTTTTTTCTTTTAAGTCAACTATAATATCAGCTATATATGCGTATATATACATAATAGTAATTAAAATGACAACAAAGTCAACATTATGATACATACTCATAATAAAATGTTTATATTATACAATAGGATATAAAGTTCTATCATCGAACAGACAATAATTATTTAATATTAACAAAACCAGCTATGGGGGCGGCTAAACTATGGCATAATATTTACTTTTTTCCTACACGCTGTTATAAATGTGTGTTTTTCAAAATTTGTCAATAAAAAAAAAAAAAAATTACATTTCTTGTTTGGAATATTACGTTTTCTTCAAAACCAGTAAAGGTCTTTAGACGTTTCTTGCACTTGTGCTTCTAGTCCTGAAACAATAATCAATACAATTAATACTGTTAGTGTTATTCTATCAACCGTATATTATGATCATATATTGAATAATTAATACAAGTATTCATTTTTAGAGTAAAATGTCAGTTTAATATAATATTGTAATATATTATTAATTTTCGCCAGCTGTTGTTCAATCGAGTGTTTGCCATAAAAATTATGTTCTCACGATATTTGCTGAAATATTTTTTTAATTCTAGACAACAGCCTTTGAAATCATTCCTTTCCTGGCTGTAATTTATAATCATAAAAACAGTAGGTATACAATTTGTTTTTTCTATATAAAATATAACATTAAAACATGTGTCAATGTGTGTAATGTGTGATTAATGTGTGTTACTTGTATATTATTATGTTAGTGTAAAAAATTAATCAGCTCTCCGACAAAAATGTTAGATTATGTAGTGACAAACAAATATTTTTTTATCAATAATATTTCAGCCTTCAAAATTAATCAAGATCGTTTTAATTTTATAAGGTCTGTCACAATTGCATGTTTGTCCGTACATTCCTGTGTATTTAGGTATTGTGTCTTTATGAATTATTTTAATAATAATAGTGGTAATGATCTATCATGGATTTCATCACACTGTGCCGTTGACTGGCTAATTCATTGTTAATAATATCTAATCAATAAAGGGCTGGTGTGGGTTTGACTTTTCCCAATGCACTAGAACGTTAGACGCCGCAAGTAGTACCTACTATAATATAGAGGATTTTTTAAGGAATTAAGTTATGGATAGCGATCGATATCTAAAGGCCTCCTAGAAGTTGGATACTCAAATAGTTTAACGGTTAAAGTACTGAGTAGGTGCATATAGTTCATTAAATACCTACGTGTATGGCATAATAAAACATGTTCAAATGTCTTTGCTGAACAATATTGTTAAAAATTCACTTTTACCCCTTGGTTTCTGGGGAACGCAATTATATTGTTCGCAAAGGGAAAAAGCAGAGCACGTTGGACTTTCAAGAGTAAGTGTTGCGTATATAATATAATTATTCATTTGTGCGCAGTGCAATAGTCGCGGGTTTGAATAACGGTTAACACTTAATAACACGTCACGCATAAAGTTTAGTCGAACACTTCTTTGTTTTTTCCCTATCCTCTTTTTTCTATATTAATACTGTTCTTTGTATTGCTCGCAAGTCCCGAGTCGACCGTGGCACATACCTATATATATATATATATATATGAACAAGCAGCCGTTTTGAACGGGACTGACAAGGCGAAGGGAAGGGGAGACGATGGGATAACGCCAAAGACGATGAGACGTGCGGTGGTGCCGAAAAGGCACGCGTTTCCGGATGGGAGAGGGAGCGAGAGGGATCAAAGCGAAGGGGGGATCTAGGGTTTTATTAAAACGGCAGAGGGAGGTTGAGTTATGAAAGGAATCCCAAGCCGTTCATTCCGCAAACGCACCCTGCGCGCACTGCGAAGAACCGCCTACGCGGTGGTAAAGCTGCTTCTGTATTCAAGGGGAAAACGGTCGACCGACCATTCGACGTTCAACCCGATGGCGAACGTCCTTAGTTTTCCGGTTTCCTATATAATATATATATATATATATATATATATATATATTTACCGCGTAATGGAGTAATACAAGATAATAATTATGCTCGGCGCTGTTTTCCATGATATTAATATAACCAGACGCGAGTATAATATACTTGTAAATTGATAAAAGTACGTATTTGTAGAAAATTAATACAAAGCTGCATTACAACTTAATGTATAATTTATAATTTATATTACACTTACAACGGCCTAAACGGTTAATAATCTGGAGATAATCTGATAAATATAATTGAGAACATTTTTAAGAGAGCATATAGATGGAATGTTAAAATTAAAAAAAAATGTTGAATCGTTTGAGAAGCCGTTAAAGACTAAAGACTGATCAAAACGAAGACGGGGAAAAGAAGAAATTTGCTGTCGGGAAAGATTAACCATTCGGATTTTTTATTAAAGGGCCTCTACACTAGCATTAATTAAAGCGCATTGTATAGGCAATTTTTTACTAAAACTTAACATTAAGATAATATTTTTAAACATATATATTACCATAGGAATGAACAACCTATTTTGTTATTTAATGATTATTTTTAAAACTCATGTAGCATCAATTTTTGTACAAAAAATATATGTATCTACTTCGAACAGAACTTGCCCAAAGATATTCCGATTTAAGTTATGAAACACCATTTGAATTCTTCATAACATTTACAAGGCATTGATCGTGGCACACTTTTAAAATTATTTTCAGTTCATTAATTATTTCAATGTAAAAACTTCAGTTTTTAACTTTTTTCAACTAAAATAATTAACTAACGAAAAATAATTTCAAAAGTATACCACGATCGATGCCTTGACATTGTTATGGAAAATTAAAATTTTTTTTTTCAAAACTTAAACCGGAGTATTCTTAGGAACATTACGTTGTAAGTAGAATGAGTTGTTTTCGACTAAAAATACACAGTTGTAGAGGCCCCTTAAACAAAATATTACCGTATAATTTCAATTAACATTTAATTATTCGATTTGTTTTTTAGTTTTTATTCGTTATTTAATTATAAACGTTGCTCAAATCTGTCGACGGGTACACGATTATATATATATATATATAAATATGAAAAAGGATGAAGCTACCTACTTTAGGGAATAGTAGGTGCGGCGGACGTAAGGGTTTGCGAGGTAAGTACCCACATAATATAATATAATATACGTTTGAGCATATTATATTATAATAATATGTCGTAAAAACAACAATTTACATTAACGGGGGGGGGGGGGGGGGGGTTGTCGGGGGTTACTCCGGAAAGGATATTAACAAACAGGGAAAAAAACGAAATAATTAATTTAGACCGACCTGCTGCTTTAGTGGTATGTAGGTAGTACGTATAAGGGTGCGACGCGGCGTGCAAAAGGGTTGTAAGGATATTATTATAGTGCGTTAGCGACCCTGTACATGTACACCCCCTATAGGTATAACATGTAATACACATATGAACAAGCAGGATATTGTGCGTGTGCACATTTTAGCATTTATCACACAGTTGCCGTGGTAACGTAGCCCGACCGTGTAGGTGTGGTCATTCCGAACCAATGACGCGACCCGTTCACAACACACACACACACACACACACACATATTAAACTATAGCTAGATCGATAGTATATGCTTCTAAAACACTATACGCAGCTATTATTTGTATACATAATATAAATATATCGGTTGTGTACTAGGCGAACCGCAAGCATAGCATAGTGTACGGCGGTGTCTGGTCACGCTTCAGAGTATATTTTATACATTCGAATTTTGCAAAATACATCAACACTAATACGATTTGTTCGAATTAAATACAAAAATTTGTCCGTATTATGATAATTAAATTCAAATATTGTCCTATTTTCCATTTTCGTTTTTGACGTAGGTAGGTCTATACGAATAAATATAATCACGTTCTCCGGCGAGGGTAGGTGTTATAAGTTATTTTGAAAACGATGTCGTGAAACAACACAATAATTACTTTCTTATATTGCGCTTGCCGCTTACACATCCGCATTAAAGACAACTTGTCATCCGCCCCCGTGCTAGTCTGACGTCGAAGAGTTAGTTCATTAATTAAAGAAAGCCCTCGAGGAGACTTGTTATTAATACGTCTGAAGTCTTAACTTTGAAACTAATAAAACCCTTTAAATTATCAAATATTGTATTCATATATTATGCTGTATAGTCGTTAACACAAGTACCTAAGCGCATACGTAATACTTATAGTAATACACAATATGCCATTTAAAATTGGGCCCATATATTTTAGTGTATTAATATGAGCACCGTAGTCGGAATTGGACGAAATGTAAAATTAAATAACGAATAACAGCTGAAATAAAAAAAAAAAAAATTAAACAACTTGACGTGTTAATTGAAACACTGTAGTAATACATTTGGTACAATGACACTTAATTATGAGATGTTAGATACATAGAAAATAAATAACACAAAACCCTATAGAAGATAAAAACTCTAAAGCTCATTTTTCAGTCACAAAAAATAGATATTAGTAAAACTTGTAGTGTCCTGGCGAAATCTCATCGAATGGCAACCATATGCGAGCTTTCACAGCAACAATAAAGAAAGAACTCAGAACTGTAATAACACATCTTAGGCCTTAGCTGTTGACTATTGTAAAGTATCTCGTTAATAATAAGAATAAGTGAGAAATAATAGAGAAGACAAAAAAAATGTGGAGAAAGCGTTATAATAGTATTATATATGTATGTATATAAATTAATGAAATATAGGTAAGAAAATTACACTTTACGAGTATTTAACCTTTGGACAAAGCTAATTTACATTTTTTACTGAAAAATGTATTTTAACAATCTATTTGTAATTTATATATATATATATATATATATATATATAATTTATTAAAGGACAATGGAGAAGCAAATAGAACTAAAGACTTAAGTATAATATATATACTATACAAATATTTACACTTTCTAAAAGGAGTTCCATCTCTTAGGTTATATACAGTAGAGCGATTTTTAATTTACGTATTATAAATAAACTTAAAGGCTATTATACGAATAAGGCCTTATTGAAAAATAAACGTTCAAAAAAATATTTTAAAAAAGGCTCTGAATTATCAATTATAAACATAACATATTTAATATAATCACGTTTTGTAAAAACAAAACGATTTTATGATGTAACGTTAATTATAAGTCGGACCCTAAGAAGGTATTTTTTTAAAATTTTAATTCTACTAAACACTTGTTTACCCATAAATATAGGTAAACCTATTCAATTTGCACGTACTGCGGGGAAATGTTGCTATAGCGTTTAAAGAACCAGGTTTTCCATTGTCGATAGCAGTGGCGTATTTATGGAGGGGGGAGAGGATATGAGGGATAGATCCCACCCTTTGATCTGTTTTTTGTAGTTAAGTTTTCTGTATTTCTCAATATAATATTACTTTTAAGTACATCCTAATTCCTACTTACTTTTAAGTTTTCAAACTGTTCTAAAATAGCCAAGGGAGGGGATCTATATTCATATCTTCCCTACATAAATACGCCACTGATCGATAGGTAATACAAAATATACTATCACTGAAAACGTTATGTTATATATTTATACATTTTTCGTTTGTCTAAAAACCAACCCATCTAAATTTACAAAAACACAATGATAATTATTATGGTCATCGTCGAGCGTATGTGTGTGTGTGTGTGTGTGCAGTGGCCAGCAGTGAGTGTTTATCAAAATGAGATTATTATACGTCTAGAGATGCCGATCGCGATGTAGGTCTTTAGTTCAATTAACTTTATATGGACGATATGATGACGTGCTCGGCAATTTCAAATCGGTCGTCAGCAATGCAGTTGTATAGTCACGTGACCCGAAGTCCATGAGCCGACTCGTTTTTTTTTTTTTTGCTTTATCATTATTCTTTTTGCATCGGTTCGCGTTGGTTTTAAAAAGAACAGCAGAAATCCAAGGCAATTGCTAAATTATCGTCCATTGTCTTTGTTTTATAATACATGTATAGTATATTATTATATATTTATAACTGTGGCCTTCCACGGGTTGTTTATAAAATCTCTACTACCCAATATTTAAAGGATTTTTTTATATCTATATATATATATTATATAACATGCCAGATACCTAGTATCTATAGGTATATAATATTAAAGTAGGTACATTGTTTATGATGTAGTTTTATAGTAATATCAAACGTTTACCAAATCCTTGCTCGTGTCACATTATCATGTAATGTTTTTAATTATACTTGAAACATCAGTAACGTCATATAGATTGAACTGTCAGGTATCTGACAGGGTATGTTCGGTAAAATATCTCAGATCCATTCTCATTTTTTTTCGTATGCATTTTAATTGATAGACATTTGTATCAAATCGGCTACATTACTTTAAGTTATAAACTATTGGTAATATCTTGATTATGTTCAGTAAAAATTCGAGAGTTGAGACGCATTATGTGTCAAGTTAAAAAACGTTATAGTATAATTATACTAATTGTTAAGTATCTAGAATCTCAAGCCCCCCTCCCCGAAAAATATCCGCCCGTGTTATTATATTAAATTCATCACTCAAATTTGTAATTACAGTATCACGCAACGGATCTGAATTTTCAATCCACGTTATGTCCAAAAACTTAACTTTCTATATGACAGCTAACGCCAGAAAAGTGCAAACATTATCTATAATATTATAGTTGTAGTAAGTTTGAAAACCGTTTTACCTGGGACAGTAGGATAAGACGAATAGGAAGCTCCGGTATCCAGGGCCGGATGGTGGGCGGTGTTGGGCCACGGGTCCATGCCGGCTTTGCTGTGGTATTGGTGTGGGTGAGGGTGACTAGATGGTGGCGGTGGCGGTGGCGGTGGAGGTGCTAGCCGAGAAGTTGGCGGTGGTAATAAAAGACTGCCGTACTGGGCGGCCATGTTGTGGTGATGGTGATACTCGTGTACGGCTCTGGAAAAAATAACATAATATTTGTAAACGTAAGACGTTGGATTCTGGCACTACTTTATTACGACATTAAAAGAAGAAGAATATTATTATCAGTAGCCGAGTTACCTGTGATGGTGGTGGGCGGCAGCTGCCGTATACTGTTGGTAGTGGGTCTGCCAAGGATCTGCCGGATTGCCGGCGGTGCCGTGGTGATGGTATACCGTTTCGGGATGGTACACCTGACTAGTGGAGTGATGCGAGTGATAGTTGCTATTCCAAAACGACGCCGGGAAATTTCTTGACGACATCGGGGAAGAGTCTATATTATAACAAGGAAAATAAAAAATTATTCGGGCTCAAAAAAAACTCTTGATATTCTTTTGTGGCTTCTTATAGCACTTTTCCGAGCACACGCTTCTCCAGAGCCTATATATTATATCCGGGACCTAACAAACAATACACTAATATTCTACAATTTAATTGTATCCAATGGATTTTTGCCTAGTTGCTCCTTCCCATGCAGACATTTTAAATACGAGATCGATCGCGGTGTAAACGACAAGTTATTGTACATGAAGTCCCAAAATTTAACCAACAAGACCCAATACATTTTTTTGTTGGCCGATTACCTAGATAGTACCCGACGTACTTTATTCCAATCTATTGTTTTTTTCGTCGAATTTCGAGTACTCTAATCTATCTCTACCTCTGTATACCGCACCGCACGGCAAGTCGGACACGATATTATATAATAAAAAGAGATACGGATCGGATGGTCGGCGTTTGGTCACAAAAGACATTCGGAGAAGTGCAAACGAATATATACATATATATGTGTGTGTGCGTAATAAAAATAAATCAATAAAAAAATAAAAACAATGAGGAATTAAGAAGCGAATAAAACGAGCATGTGTGTGTGTGTAAAACTGGTTTGGTCGGGTCCAATATAATTTACAAATCTACTCGATAACACTGCACAAACACACACACACACCATCTTAAGTCGTACAGGTATATATTATATTATATACCTATCTACACTTCACGTAAATGCGCTTCTTCTACACCTGTAAAAAGACAACAATAGCTCTTGTCGAGCAGCGAAGAGAAGAAAAATAAATAACTGAAACAGTGGACCCGTGGGAAAGCCCGAATACGACACATTATTCGTATTACACCCGACTTACATAAATCTTCTATACCTGCCTAATGCCGACACACAATTAATACACCGCACTCGCCAAGTATAATAATATAATATGCATATAATATTATAATAAGATAATACGTATGTAATAATAATGATAATATTATAACAGGCACTCGATAACCGGACAACGTGTAAAACCAACACACAATTACTCAAGAGTAGTAAGTACATAATATGTGATAATAATATACCGTTCATATATTATACATATATGGAATTGAACAACGGTAGTGCAGATATTGTGCTTATGATGTCCTACCTATGCGGATGAACCGAGTCCTTGGCAAGAGCACTCTCACTACAGCACATTTTTGGACCCTTTACCTACCCCTATTAAATAGTATATGTTAGCCCACTTGTTGTTTCAAGTTTCGATATGTGGACCTATGTGGAGAGTATTGGTTTTACAACAATGTTTTTGATTATATTTTTTTCGTGCGCCCGGACCATCGATCAAAGTTGGACTTGTTTAGAATTCAAAAATCTCGATATTCAAATATTTCAATTAGTTATTATTCGTTTTTTTTTTTATCACAAATCGTAACCCGCAGCAACTAAGTGGACCAAGAGTAGACCAAATTTTGGAAAAGTTCACCCCATCTTGGGGGATGGTAGTATACTGTAAGCGAGTGTCTATCAAAGTTTCAGTATTGATTTCAACACCAGATAAAAACGGTTCATCGAAATACCAATTTTGAATTATTAAATTATTTAACGATATATATTATTCGGTTCGGACAGTTTTTCTAGGTACACCGTTTAAGGCAAAATTGTCATAGTACTTGTGTAACAGGATTAACGATATACTTAAATTACCTTCACCCCTATTCCTCCCCCTTCGACATATTATTAATTATTAAAATACAAAACGCTTTCCGAAAATTAGTAAAATTAGTTTGAAATGTATACAGAAGATTGTTGATGTCTAGTCAAAAGCCAAAACAATTAACCCTTCCATAGAATACAAGGACACTTTGTTTATTTAGATATTTGATAAGTACCTACTTTAAATTGGACAGATGGTGTAAAAATATTATAGGTAGCTTGTATAACAAGTTAATATACCTAAATAAAAAAATTAAAAAATTGTATTTAAAATGTTGGTATGGCCTAAAGTAGTCAAAAACTTTTGACCAACAGTTTAAAATATAACTATACCATCAATATCCATCAATCTAACACGTTAAAACTTATTGATACTTTTATCATGTTTGTTCAATGCAAAAGTGAAGCGCCGGTGAGCAAATGAGCACCCTTTTCCACGTTCTAAATAACCGGCAAACAATTCAAGGGGGTTCGACTTAAACTCGACTATACATATGTTATACACAGCTGTTGTCTAGATCATAATAATTATATAAACTCGCTGTACATATTATACAAACGATATTTCGCAGTTTAAGTTCATGTGCGCGATATAGTATAGGGACTATACATAGGGTAATCGCAGGTTGTTGAATACTTCCAAGAAAAGTTTATATGTTATGCGTTGTATAAAGCGCTTCGCTTCGAGGGGTTTTCGTAATTATTATTATTATACTTAGTCATAGCATAGTTGAAGATACGGTCGAGAGAATTCGTCTGGGAATATTATATTAAATACACACATTATTATGAGAGCGCCAAGTGCCGACGTTACCCACGCCTTTTTTTTTCTTTTTTAGCAAGACTCGAGGCCATGTAATACTTATGTTGTGTATCTACACAAACAGTGTAGTATTAAGTATAGATACACAGTAGTTAATTATCAAATCTCCATTCTGTGCAGTCATAGAGTCTAGCTTTAGGTGTAACCGTCTACTGATTTCCCCCAAAAAAGGACCCAGGGGTTCGGTCGGAGTGGCCAGAATAGTTAAGGATCAAATAATACATTTGTAATGACCCGGGTTGAGAACTTAACAAAATTAAGTTCTTGACTTATTGAATATTATTTCACACTTATATAAAATCATTAAGTACTTATGAACGTAACTGATAAATGGAAGGGCATTAAACTATTTAAAAGAATTAAATATGTATTTAAGCACTTACAATATTAATGTGGTTATGAATTTAACGATAACCTTTACTAATAATAATATGATCAAAATTTAAATATACAATAAAATATAAATAGAACAAAATGGAACTTATACTTCACAAAATTTGTAATCACTTATAAAACAGTTTTAATTTATAAAACATTTTAAAAAGTCAACGGTATAATTGGTTAAAGCGGAGGATGTTGAGACTTGAGGGTAATTAAAATTAACCGTAGATGAGCATTAAAAGTCAACATCAAGTTTATGGCCATTATTATAGCTAGTTAGTCCGGAGTAATAGCAGTTCAGAAACTTTTACTTTTGACCTAGAAAATAAGGTAATAAAGTCTTAATAATGTATTATACATTTTTTATAATTATAAAAAGAAAAAAAACTCTTTAATTGAAAGAAATAATAGAAAATTAAAGAGTGATTAAATGTTGCGAAAAATCCAATTAAAATTTGCTTTCGTGTATTATTTCATATCATACAAGACTAGGCGAAAATTAACAATCATTAAAATGGATTAGAAAATAATTACATTAAAAAAGTAAAAGCTTAAGTTAACTTATATGAACAAAAATATTTTCTTACTCAACAAAAACCGAACCAACTTAATTGTACCGTTGGGCGACTTCAAATTTCTCCTGTGTCCTATCTGACCGTCCCGAGCAAAATGCAGATAGGACATTTGTTATAATAAGCACGGCAGTATTGTATTCAACATTGCAACATCTTCCTAGACAACCGATATGTAAACTAACAAAAAATATAAAATCCAAAAAAAAAAATGCAATTCCCATGGTCGGCTCGCGCGCTATCAATTCTCGGCCGGCGATCAAATGCCAGACAACAACAATGTATACACAACCAATAAACGTATATATATATATATATATAGCTGGTACACACATACACAAACAGTTGGATTGCAATTATTATTATTTGGTTTGTGTGTGTGTTGTTCGCCGCGTTTGACCGTGTGAGCGCATATGACGGTTGTAATGCGCCAAGAAGAACCAGTTGTGTTGGCGAGAGGAGGAAGAAGAAGACACACAGTACGGCATTCCGCGCGACCGGAGGTGTTTTACAAAATAATAAAACCAAAGAGTAGTTTTCTGTTGTAGCTATATATATATATATATATGTATATATACATATACCTACACTAATTAAAAACCTATTAGAATAATGTCCGATTCTCACACGATATGGCGCGCTGATCCTTCAGAGTAATATATTTTATTAACGCGACGCTATCGTTGTCCAAGAGTAAGTATAATATATAAAATAAAAAATAATAACAATAACAATTTTTCGAGTAGAGTGTCGTGTAATTATATTGCCGGAGCGCGTTTTCTTCAAAGCGACCAACGCGCATTCTTTTCTAATAATAATATATAAAATGTATCGACAACACCGCGTTTCCCTGTGCGGACTGGGCATGTACATGTCTAATATATAAACCACGGTAAAAAAAAAAGAAAAATACCCATATTTTCTCAGCACCGCGTCGAAGCAAAAAAAAAAATAATAATAATACTTAACTGTCTAGGTGACAGTGAAGAACATAGAATTTCTTTTGATCGACGACGACGTCACCGCACGTTCAATTTCTTTCCCGCGCTTTGTTAATCCAAGAACGGTTTCGATCCGATTATATGGGTAAGTACTTTCGCAGTATATGTTAGATATAATTATTTACAAGTCCACGATATGCATTGTTAGTTATACCAACGGATTTAGCACTAGATAAAAGCCCGAGAGAAACGATGGTACACGTGCGCTTGACCACAACATTTGAAGGGGAATTTTATTTACTAAAAATGTATTGTAACAACTTTAGAGCAGGGGCGAGCTGGGACAAAATATAGGCCAGGGCGGTTATACAATTAGGCCCGTTTACTATATAAAATCATAAGACTCTTGCCTATGACACGAGTCAATGGATCTCATCCAAAAGAAAAAATAAACTACATATAATATATGTTTAGTGTCTGTTGATTATTTTAAATCAATGTACTTGTAATAATTGTGTAATATTTCTGAAGTGCGAAGACGAATAAAGATGAAATATAAGTTGATTGTGTTGAGGGCTAAACGTTTTAGTTTGTTTTTTATAGTATTTATATAGTAATGTTATGACTTAAGAAAATTTGAACTAACGTTAACTTAACCTGACCTAACCCGAACAATAATCGACTATACGAATTTTGTACAATGTCTGGATAAAATCCTTTGTCAAATAAACCGATCGACAACTTTTTTTTAATCATTTAACAATTATTGTTTTATTTATTTTAATAGTTTTTTTTTTTAATACTAATTTTTTATGTTTTTTTTTTCGTTTATATAAAAATCGACCAAATACTGTTTCCAGAAGTATGTGTTTTTAGGTTTTCAATTTTTTTCAGATATTTAAAGCATTACAAAAACTCTTTTCGATATTTCCGGAAAAATAAGGGTTTATCTTTAATTTTTTTTTCTTCTTCAGAAAACCCAATTTATTTTGAAAATTTTAAACTATTCAAACAGCTGTTCGACGTTTTCTTAACAAAACACACAGATATGCCGCTCCGCTGCGACCATTCAACTTATGTATCTAATATATACATCTCTGGTAATGGCGTGTAAACAATTTCGCAGTTAAGATTTCAAAAATAATTCTAATATAGGTATATACATAATTAAACCCTATTTGTATATGAATACCTTTGGTCGACGTTTGGTGGGAGTTGTTCTGTAGCTTCTGTTCTGCGTTCAACGCCCTGGAAAAGTGTTCGTCCACCACAGAAGCAACGTCGCCCGTGTAATGGGTGAACACCACACAGTTGACGGACAGGTACTGCGCGTGTGCCGCGGTCCGCCTGTCCCTCGTCCTGGAATCGTCCGGGTTGTCTTCGTCCTCGTCCATCTCTGTGCGCACATCTGGAGGAGAAAAAAAAGAAAAATCAAAACCGCATGAACTTGAGGCAAAAAAGAAAACTTTTTTAGATCCATCATCAGTCCATTAGGTAGTACACGTCTTACTATGGTACTATACACTACGTCTCGTCTTACGGTTTCGTCTTAATTTCTTTCGAAGCAAAAAAAAAAAAAAAAACCCCAATCCCTCTTCTGAATACATTAACGCGCGCACCTCGTTAAGTACAACACGCCGCGTGTCCTGAATTACAAACAGATATACACGGGAACAAGAGCGATTTATGCGAGTACAGACTACAGTGTACACGGTGACGCCCGCACGCCCGTTATAGTAATAATAATAATAATGTTGTTTATTAAGATGGCCGTTTTTGCAAGACAAAGCAGATTAATCTCAATACAGTTTAGTAGAGAATAAAGCGCTGCCTGCGCCGGTGTGTTAATTGAAAAAGCGTTGGGGTGGATATTGTCTTTTGTGCAACTTATACAAGCGCGCAGTTTAAGTACTTGTAAGACATTAAAGGATAATATTATATAATCCTAGTCGTGCAATAGGGTTAAACGAGGAGAGTAATTGCGAACAAATCGATCGAGTGTACCTAAATGCAATTTTTATTCATTTTAGTTCCACAACGGTTAAGTTTTTTGAACCGTGTGTAATACATTTGCTACATCAAAAGCATTCGATTAAAATTAAAAAAGTCGCTTTTGTATTTGCCCCTACAATATATTGCAAAACAAACTTATTCGATGTCATCAGTTATAGCAAATATGGCAATTGGCAAATGATTTAATTTACCCGCTATTCAAGAGATAGTAAAATATATTTATGTGATTTAGATTTAAATTATAGACGTTCCTTGAATAGGAAGTGGTGCAATTTTTATTGTACAACCAGGTTTTTTTGGAATTTTAAACAATATAAAAAGCAGATTTTACTAAAAAAACGATTAGAAAAAATACCCGTTTATCTGAATGCCGTTGGCCGTTGCTCTAAACTGTAACTCGATTTTAGAAATTGAATTTTCATAAATAAATAACCTCTACAGAACAATGTCAAAATATAATAAAAGTACTGTCAAATAGATAATAAATTTAAATAGATTCCTAATTTAGATCATATAAAACTTGCAAGCTAACAACTATAATACTATCTTTAACTGTACAGCGTGGTTTAATAAGACGGTCCAGTACCATTTTAAATGAGGATGAATAATTTCAACTTACAATGTTTTTATTGGAATACTATACCACTTTTGATACCATATTTTGTTGGAATCATAATATATATTATACAAAATATGTCAACAGAATGAAACCCATGACAGCGAGATAAGAACTTATTGGAGTTAGCTGTTGCGATGGTCTCAGATGTAGATATAATGTACAGAAATTAAATATGAAAGTAATAAAAATTAAAAACTCTTTGATTTTCGAAGCGTGCGGTTATTGTTTGAGAAAATGTAACCTTTAAGTTTTATTCAGTGCGTCTAAAGTAGTAAATAACTGTAAAGAAGACTATAGTATATATTATATATGTATATCGACCAGGGAAACGAGCATTCTTTAGATGGTGGAAATAAGTTAAAGGGTTCAAAGGTCGAACCCTAAAGTAAACTCTTAATTTTAATTAATACAATAAGCTAAGGTTTTACACCGTCCTGCGGCGTTCTTCAAACTCTATGGCCACTACTTTTAATAAAAACGACTTTTACATCTATATTTTGTAAACGGTTTTGTGTGTTTTATTTTTTACACAGCTGATACTGATGCCGAGATTGGAAGTGAATTTACACCTGTATGAATATAATCTATGACAAATGTGATAAAATTTCGATTTACCATCTCTGGACGTGTCTTCCTCCTTGTGCACTACAGCGGTACTGTTGGCCGTGGCTGGCGATGATGCCGGACTCGCAATACCGCCCACTGGACCCACACTAGATGCTCCAGAACCGACGCTGCTATGGTGAGAGTCTGTATGCTCTGCAATGGTCGTCCAACGGTTGGCTGGCGAATCGCTTCCTCCCAAAGGCGAAGACGTAGACGGTTGCTGATGCGATTCCAAAGCTCTCAACTGTAAACATAAGATGAACAGAGTTTTATATTATCAATTATTAACGAGTTCAAAGTATTATATAGAGACCTAAGCACACTGCTGCACGAGACACCACGAAGTGAATCTGTCAAAGGCTGAACTTAACTTAAGAACAGTATAAGTTAATCTCAAGGAGAAATTTCACTGTAATCTCGTTATTATCAATGGCCGCGGATCAGTTATGGAACTTTTTAAAATGTTTCCATTTAAACAGTTGTAAATTTTAATAGAAAATAAAACAAGTGATAATATAGAGGGTCTGGTGCTATATCAATGATATAAGAAACATGTAAAAGTTCCAACACAACAAAATTGAGAAATAGTTTAATATTTAATTCTACAGTTATTGTCAACAACAAAAATTAACTCAACAATTTAGTGTTATGTTACATGTAATTTGGAATTGATATTAATATAGTTTTGCTTTTAAATTTGTTCTACCATCTTTTTCGTTTTTTTTAAATAATTATTATTGTGGAACCTTTTTAAAACAACTATGTTGTACAGAAAGTCAGAAACTTTTATCGTAAGTGTCCTAATAGTATTTTTATGTAGGAAATCGTATACATAAAAGTACCACAACAATAATCGTTGTACGGAAAATTGTATTTTAAAAGTTCTTAAATAAACTGTGAAAAAAAAATAAAAGTTAGATCTTTTATTTGGTCCAATAAATATAGGTATAAATAAATGTCTCGTTAATAATCGATATAGCATTTCGGTTTTCGCCAATTCCAATGTGTGTACACGGTAAAAAAAATACTTAGTTGGTCCAACTAAAACAAATATGGTTAATAAATTTCTAGTTGGAATAAATGATCAAATAGTTGTAAACATTTAGTTGGCCGAACCGAATGCATAGTCGCTTTAACTAAACGTTTAGTTGGCTCAACTATTTATTTAGTTATTCCAACTAGAAATTTATTGTGTCCCATAATTTTAGTTTAGTTGGACCAACTATGTATTTTTTCCCCGTCTAGATACTCGGCGCATTTATTGCAACTTTTATAAAATAATACAATCATTATTAGGTATATTATATTATAGTATGCCCCGTGGACGAATATGAGTGACCGCGCGGTCTTTTTGGACTAATGACGGTCAATTATTAATATTATATACCGATCGCGCATTTGAGGACAGATGTCACGGACGTGTGGAACCGGTTGACCGTATATCTTATAATATTTATATATATATATAGACAAAGGACGAGTGCGGCAAACAATTGTGGGGAGGGAAGGAGTATAAAAAAAAAAAAAAAGTGGTAGCCCAAAATTTTTTTTTTTCTTCCGAAAAACATCAATTGTCTTATCATCACAGTAGGTATAGCGTCGTGCGGCCTTACGTACAGGCCATTGTAAACATATATATATATATATATAAACATACAATAATAGTAAAGAAAAATAAAAAAAAAAACCAAAACAAGAATAAATTGTTAAAGATGGACCAGATACTATGTCGGAATGCCGAGTCGGGTCGGACTTAAAAGAGCATTCCTCGTGTCCCGGCACACACACCGGCTGCCTCTGATGACCATAAATCAATACATATGGGGATACACATATACTGACCGCCGCCGCCGCCGTACTATACCGCGGCATTTTGTACTACACACACACACACACACACCAAATACTTAAGCCGACAAGTTCGGATTTTCCTCCAATGGGATTTTCATGATTTTATTTTTCCATCGCATACACCGAATACCGTTATTACATATAATGTATATATAATACGCCGCATTATGTGTATACAGTGATACATAATATATACTACACTCTGTTAATGTTATAAATTTAATAAAACGTGTAGGTATATGGATATGGACCCGCCCGGGTAGGATCTCAACGCTAGCAAAAGGGCTTCAGTACAAAAAAAAACATATTATAACGCGAGCATTTATAATATAATACTATATATATATATATATATATCGTCATCTGTATGTGTGTGTATGTACATTATACCTACAGTTTTTTAGTTTTTTTTTTTTAAATATGGGCGCCATTACGCGCTATACACGGTAGCCTATATAAAGATATGGAATTCCACTCATGCCGCAGCTATTCCAATTTGTTCATTAGACGTGGGTCATAAAAATATTTCAAATGTTTTTTTCCACGTGAACAGCACTGCGTTTTACATACATATCAGTTCCTAAGCGTATAATTATATATTATAATGCACGACGAAAGTATTCGTTTAAAGCGTCACGCTGGCGACCGCTATCGATCTATGTAAGTATACATAAATAGTTCAACCTATAAACTGCATGTTAGTGTTGTTATTTAACCGTTATACGGACTCTGGCTTAGATTTTTGCAAGTGCAGAAGGTTGCAGGTGCACTTGATCAAAAAAAATATATATATATATAAGCTCCCCCAGTATCAATTAATATATCAATAGCTCCAGGGCTGGGGATTGAGCCTTTAACATAAATGGGCACCGCGATTTGGGTCTAGGAGAAAAATATATATGGGTTAATAACTCGAGCAGTCTACAACAGGAAATAGACCTGAACCTAAGAAAAAATAAATAAATCACATCTGTCATATTTTATTATATTAATATTGCAATTAAAATGCATTAGGTACAATGTATTTGTAATACATTAGGCCCTGTCTGTATAATATGCAATAAGTGAAATATTTTTTTAAAGATATGAAAAGGAAATTAATTGCTTTGAGTATATCAAAAGGTTTTAGATTATTATATTTATAATTTACCAAACATCTTATGAAAATTGAGACCCACGAAGGGCTTAACCTAACTCATTGCCTTGGAACATTACCCAACTACAAATATATCAAACTAGTATTATTAGGTAAATTGTACACAAAGGAGATCTGCTGTCTGCTGTGTACAATTTTCAAGTATTGGCAAATAGATTATAAAATCTACATTATTATTGGTTTTTTTTTTTTTTTAATACGATTTTTATTGCTTATGTATGAGTATGACACAACAGCTATCGAAGGTTCTGCACGGCTTAAGTACGCTGCAAGGGAAGTGCATTATTTTCGAAAACAATCACGTCTCGCCGAAGGTTGTCGACAGAAATCCGTTCGCGCGTTACACAGAACGTACCTAATCAAGCCAGAGGCAACACATAATAAAATAATATTATGCTGTTCTTCTTGCCGTACTACAGCATACTACAAATAATTCGCCACCGTCGCCGCCAACACGTTTTGAGCTTGAGTATTGAAAAGAAGAGACGTTCATTTGCTCTAATGTCTATAAGTTAGAGAAATACACACCCGTGACACGCAACCTAGTAAATTATCAATCAAGTTTTAATTTTTTATGCTTATACACTATATAATACAAATCTTAAAAAACCTACACTTACACACAAAACATTTCTTGTATCTGCACTTATTACTTATGTAACTAATTACATCACAGACAGTAAGCGAGAATGAACAAAATGTAATATTTCTACTTTTAAAGTCAAATAAAAATATAACTGTTTTAACGTTTTTTTTTTTTCATTATGATTATAACATTATATTCTCAAGTATATTTTAGATATTTTGACCGAAGAAAAGTGAATACAGCCAAGTATACCGTGCTATAATATCTGTACTTATAACGCAAGCCCAAAAATAATGGCGGTTTTCAGTTTTGTATGTAGAACCTTCATCAAGCCAATATGACAGGAGTTCCTCCTTTTATAATTTATTAAGACTAAAGGGTGTAATTCTTCAAAAGAGAGTATGCTACAGACAAATTACGTTTTTATGCTTCATTGAATAGTAGTACCCCGTCTTAGTTGTTAGACTATAGTCAGTTGAGCCATGAAGTAAAATTGGACATTGCACTTTATGATATTATAATACCGACCATTCGACCAAAACGATTGAAACGAATAGTATAATTATTACTTTTTCAAATTAAACAAATCATGTTTAGCTAATAGATTTTGAATATCGCCTAAAATTAGATTAAGGAAATAATCTTCGCCATCGTGTCGGTCTGATATCTATGGAAATCCGCTTGTATATAGCGTACGGCATTGTATACTTACACCTCAGCTATACCGACTATCTTTAATGAGCTGTATCTATACCGTCTATCTTGATAAATATATTACAACACAACAGTAAAATGTGATAGGTCGGTAGGTACTTTATTAGGCGATTATATCTTTCATCGCCCATTTACATAAACATGAAATTATAACTTTTTAAATATTACAATATTCGTTATATATATATATGCGGTTCAAACCTATATATTTCTTTCATATCATACTTGATCCGTGTTTTTATTTAATTTTTTTCTAACTCATATCTAAATATAAAGCGTTTCTACTAAGTACTATACCTATATATTATTATACAGTTTCAAGGCAGCTCGACGTATGATAGATTTGCAGTTTGATCATTAATAGTGTATAAAATGTAGGTATAACGACAATTATTTTTACTATATAAAATATTATTCAACGCTAAAATTTTGTACGGACAATGAAAAAATGTTAAACCACAAACATAATAATATACATAAGGTCGCATGCTCGCAGCGACTTATCCGGACGAAAATTAACAATTAGCTCGTTCTTGTTTCTCTCCTTTTCTTGGAATTATTTTTTTTTTTTTAAAGACTAGTTTTCCAAAACACAACCGGTTGGTCGGTTCCTCTTTATGTGCGCGCACACACACACACACACTTCGAAAATAGGTATAACTTGACTTAGAAAACGACAAAACTCGCTATACCCGGGAACAGACCCATAAAAAAAATAAATAAAATAGTAGAAATCATACTTAGTCGCACGCGATTTTTCTTTATCATTATTATTATTATTTTTATAATACTAAAGGCCGATAGGATCCGTGTGTTCACCGTACACACATATAATATAGGAACGTGTTTGAAATGCATTACACATGTCGCTTTTCTAGGCGGTCAATTGAACAATAACGAGAACACGTGCTATGATGTATTTATAAAATATAATAGTGATATAGGTACATATATGATGTTATTATCTGCACAACGCGTACCTACCGTGGACAATAGTATGTAATAAAAATTGAATTTTTTAAAAGTTCTACTGGAAAACTATATTATATTGTATTATACCTGTGGGTAGGTATATTAAATTTAATTCATACTTGACCGGAGAGCGATAAAACGGTTTTTTCTTCTGTGCGTTTTTATTATAAGGCTGTTAGATATCAATATTTTGTTTTAATGCTCTTATATGAATTATTATGGGAATGGATTGTTTACATGAAAGAAGTTTAGTCCAAAAAAGTTAAACTTTCTGGAAATTAAAAATAGCATTGTTTTTCACATGCAATATTTTCCATTTCTATTCACTATACTTATTTAAATTTACGAAGATTAATTTTTCAAATTAATTTTTTAATAAAATTCACTTAAAAACTGGGATTGTGTGCACTAGAATGATGTAAACCAAAACTACTTTATACCAATATAATATTTTATTGTGACTTTTAAACAAATGTTCACAAAAATATACAAACCATTAAAAGAAACTTTTGTTGTAAACGTTTGAATTGCCATAATAAAATTGACTATCATACGAATTTGACTCATTTCATAAGTAAACGAATATTTCAACAAAATTTTGACTATTATGGCGTTTTATAAATAAACCATAAGACCCTTAGACTATAGTGATTAAAGTTTAGTCCTTCTCATTCTACGTCTATAGCTGCTATAGTCGCGACTGGTCTAAGTAACAGCTACCTACTGGTTCAAGTAGACATAATTCTAACTTCTAAGTAGGTATATACTAGAATGTGGTGAATAAATGCTATTAAATGTTATTTTTCACGAGAAAGGCGTTGGCTGCAAATATATCTATTACTGCGCTTACGCACAACGGTACAATAGTGTACAACACAATGGCCATAATATAGTTACAACGACACTCAAGTACTATACACTGCTTTATTTTGTTCGTTATAAACGTAAAGTATACATAATTCAGGGTCTTTGTTTAGGTTTTAACATATTATTCTGTCACAATGTCGCTGGACGCGAATAGCTATGATAGGGACAACGGGTGTGCCTGCAAAATATGACCAACAAAGTTCTTAAATCTATAAACAAATTGTTCGGATATTACCTAAAGGTATATTATATAGTTTTGAAATTTTAAACTACTTTTGGTTATTTTTTTCAAGGATTTAACAGAATGTCAATAATATGTTCAAAAATTAAAACTAGACAAATTCGTTTTATAGTATATACTTATATACTAAAAATGCATGTACCCAATTGTTATACAAGGAAAATATACACTACTTATTTAACTTTAGAGGCTGCTAAGGAATTTATTCGAGGACCTTATCCGTATAATTAAGTACATGTAATTCTTGAGTGATTACCAAAAGTTTTGACACCCCCTTCCAAACAATTTTGATAGATTGCACAAGAATATTGTTTTCGAGTAAACCGAATATTAACAAAAAAAGTCTATGAAATTGACATTTACACTCATTTAATTATAATTTATTACTTCTTAGGTTTTTTTCACCCCAAAGAAATATAGGTATCTTCTTTTCTTAAACGTTTGATAATTTAAAAACCTTTAGAAGCAACACAACTAGGTACCAACTAAAGTAATGAGAACTGGTATCTGGTGACTGGAATATGCGTTGGTGGTACATGTAATAAGTTGTTGATTTTACAGGACCATCAGACATTATGAATTGTTGGGGCAAACATCTTCCCCAATTCGGCGTGAATGTGAGGGCCTGGGAATGCTTTTCACACCCAAAATTGCTTGTGTTCATAAGCATAATTGAGAAAAAATGTAATGTTTAGTGTTCAGTGTTTAGCATCCCACAATTTTACTTAATGGGAATTATTATTCTCACTAAGTAAAATTGCGTCCATTGGTAGGTACTTGGTCGCAGTCACAGGGAAAGACCTCTGATATGTACACATAAGAAAGTAGGTAGGTAATAAGAGTTTGCATACATTTTGCACGTTGAAAGTTTTCAGGCGCAAACGACATACCGCTATCAAATAAGATTTTGGGGGCAACTATATTTTATATAATGACATGTAAATACAATTACCCGGTCATATTGGTGAGTGAACGGCGCGAAATGGTGATGCGGCGCCCTGGACGGCGGGGCGGCCGTGCCCGACGATCTCTGGTATAAATACGGATAATACGCCTGATACATCACCTCTGTGCAGCTCATAGTCCGCACTCGGTGCGCGCCCGGCTCATTTACAACGTACGTGTACTCTGGTCGGTATTACCGAGTAAAATATAACAATTATGCCAATTGTCGTGTCGCGAGTATGTCGAAAATATCGCTATATAAAAAAGTCGGCGCACAACTACACACACGGCGGTAAAAAAATTGTTTATTCTCGCACCGGTTTCGAACACTCCCACGGGCGATCGATGGCAATAATAAATAAGCAATATTACTGTACCTACACCTATACTAGGTACGTTGTGTGGCGGACGGAAACGCACAAAACAGTTGCCGCTTTAAAGTGTATACGAATTGAACACCGAGTTGGTTTGATAAAAAAAAATTGGTATTTTTTAAAAAAAACTTTTTGGTTCGACGAGACGAGTGCGTGCGACTCGATGCGTGAGCGACACTGTTGTGACGACCGTGTCGCGTGCGGTGCGCGGACCATTGAAACAAGGATCGGTTGCCCGCACTGTGGACACGCCCACCACGGCCAATCCGAACGGGTCCACACCGTGGTCGTGGCCCCGACGCGCGGCACGGCAAAGGCGAGGCAAGGTCGCCCGCGTCCCCTGTATTCGGCACCCACCCACACGCCGACCGCTCGTCCGGCTGTGTCTACCTACTAGACCGCTCAAGGGTTAATTATTATTGTTATTATTATTATTGTTATTGTTATTAATACTGTTGTGTAAAGCGACAATCGAATAGCGGATAATAATAATGCGGGATACCGCATCGAAGCTAAAATAATTGTCATGAAATAGGCTTTACTGTCTGAAGAGCGGAAAATATCAACAGAGCTATTTAATCTAATAAAACTAAAACGGTTGCAATTTTATTTATGAAAATATTGTGTAATTATTATTCTGTCCACAGAAATATACCTATAATCTATGTATAATAAACTAAATTACTAGTTGTACATGCCGTCAATAGAGATATAATTGAAGTTACCATTTTCCACCATTTTTGTGGGAATTAAAATCTTAGTCTTTATCACATACAAATATGTTTATATAATAGTTATAAGTTAAGTTTTGATAACACAGAATCACAGACATACATATATAATATTTCATACACACATAAATCCCACAAAAATGACAGACGTCGACTTCCATACTTATCACTAGTAATAGCAATCTAGTTTATTATCTTATATATTTTTGATTCTGTTTTATAATATTCTGAAAATACATACCTACAAATATTTACCTCTTTTGGCATTTACTAGAGCGCGATCGACTAACTTCGACCGGTCGATAACCACTTTTAATTACCTAAATAATTGAATAGCCATTAAGTTAAGTCGCGATAAATGGTGTAGTGTAAGTATATTTTATAGTATAGTATTGTTTTAATTTGCACTCGTTTATCGTCCCTGATGACTGTATGACCATATGGCAGTTATACAGAGTTGCAAAATGATAAAATCAACATAGATACATTTACCTATACAGTTTTAATAAAAAAGTCAACAGAAAAATATCGAAATTATGTTGCGTAAATTGTAAGCTATAAAATATAAGTTCTTACTTCTTACCTAATACTTACATTATGTTAGCCCTTTGCCCCTGTACCCTATCAACTCCAAACAAGTGTGGCAAATTTGTGAATGAATATTAAATAGGTAATTGTAAATTAGCTTTCAGAATTTGTAGATTATTTTTGCTATATGTTTTATTCCAAAATACTTTTTCGGGGTCCAAATTCACGTGTCTAGCGTGTCTAACAGACGACCCCAAAGTGGTGTCAATATTTTGTAAAACATTTTAATCGTAAGTATTACCTATACCTAAACCTTACTGATTTAGGCGTTTCTAAAATGCATTTTTTTAGCTTCGACGCGGAGCTGAGAAGGTATTGTTTTTACAATGATGTGTTTATATTTTTTATTTTTTATTTTTGTTTCTGGACCCACGATATCTTGTAAACCGCTGAACCGATTTCTTCGTGTAGCAACTCTATACATCAGAAATCATACCTGTAAAGTATGTAAAGTTAACCAGGCCAAAAATTAAAAAAAAGTCACCCCTTCCCCATCAAAATCGAGAAAAACACCCAAAAATTTTACAAATTTTTCAACTTAAAATTACGATGCTCTATAACTTATTTAAAAATAGTCGAAAAAGTTCCAAATTTATATGAATTGTTCTTCAAACATAGTACTATCGATAAACATTAACAAAAAAATATCATAAACCCTTTCCCCTGGAAGGGATAGAATTTTTTTCTTTATTTTACTTTTTCAAGCAAAGTTTTAGAGATTTAGATCTGAAAATTAGACCGAAGGTAGATCTAAAATGGAACTATAACATTTACAATTTTCTCAAAAATCTATAGTCAAATTTTTTTTTTATCAAGGAAAACCGCCAAAATTAGGGTAAATTTCCTGACATAATTACTAATGGATCTTGAAGTTGTCGGTTTGCTTTGGCTGATATTTTAACATTTATGAATTCCTACAAGAAAAAAATTATTGACATTTTATTTTAAATAATTGCGACTCCTTTTAACTTGACGGTTTATTGTCCAGTAAATGGAGCCATGCTTGAACGAGTGTGTGAACCAGAGACGGCAAGTTTTTAAAGAGGGCGTCGCACCGGTGATTTTCAGTGGTGAAAAACATGTTTACACCAACTGAAAATAACTCGCTTAATTTTGGTTTTAGGGTAAAAGCACCCATTATAAAATTAAAAGTGAACAATATTTCGGAGGGCAAAACGATGCGTTTTTTAAAAAAAATGCAGTTTTTGAAAAGTTACAATCATTTAAAAATGTTAAAATAGTCGTCATTTCTAAAATATGTATTGAGCGCTATACTTGAAATAATGAAAAAAACGCAGTCTTGCCCTCTGGAATATTGTTCTCTTTTAATTTTATAATGGGTGCTTTTACTCTAAAACCAAAATTAAGTGAGTTATTTTCAGTCTGCCTAAACATGTAGAGATGGAAAATTATTTTTAAATCGCTTTCAAGGATGCTGTGATAGTCCAAAAAATAAATCAACAACCAATATAGAGTCCTAGTTTTTGAACTAATAATTACACATCACAGTTTAACCTTTAAATTAAGATTTTGTAAAAAATTGCCTATACTTTACTCCTTAAAAATGGGCGGTGCGACGCCCTCTTAACACTACCACCTTGTTCAATTGACCTTTCCAACTTATTAGTATACTCACGTTAAATGGGATAATTGCATTATTATGAAGTTGTGTGGGATACAAAGAAGTCCAGTATTGATTTATGGCATACAATACTCGTAATAAACTGAGCACTGGCAATGAGGGATCTTGAATTTGAACATAATCAGGTAACGAAAGCTTGAAGATATAATTCTAGTGGAGACTTCACTGGAGAAACATTGCCTTCTGCAATAAAGAATAATATTGTGGAACAATTAACTCTTTGAAGCATAGCGGGACGAAAAATAATCCACCATTTTAAATATAGATATTTTAATTGTTTTAATAAACCATGTTTTGCTGTTTCTATCGTTAATAATTTTACACCCTTGTTTATCATAAGCTTACAAGAAAAAATTGATTATATTAAATTTAATCTATGAAATGACTAATTTTGTTATCAGGTTCATTCGTATCGACAGGAAATGTGTCACACTAACACATCTTAAAACTGACCATACTAATATTCGTCACCCCTTATTTCCGCCAATAAAGCAGGGACCAAATTATCAATTATTAAAAGTCCCTGAATTAGAAAACAATATTATCGAAAAAGGAACAAACCAACATATTTGATAATCATGCACAGCGGGACATTTTTTAACCCATCTCTTTTTTTATAAATAAAAAATCAATTTTTTTAGTTTTCAACATTTATTCATAAGTAATAAAAAGTATTTTATTATAAAACAAATCAAAAATAAAGTTTGTGGGCAACTAGGGTTTTTTTATTTATTAAAATCTCGTGCCTCAAAGAGTTAAATCAAAGTAGTTACAATCATTACTTTAAATTAGCACAAATTACTTACCTAACCACAATTCATCTTTGATCTTTTTAGAGGTACTTTTGAGCCTTTTGTACTTTTGTAAAAAACAAAAAATGATAATGCAGTAAACATTTAATCAAATATGCAGGGTGAATAAAGATACTATTTCTCTTTTTGAATTACATAAGTGGATATACCTGTAATATATGGTGAGTGTTTAAACCCATATTCCTGCAGATCCTAAAGGAAGTTCGGATTCATTATCAGCCTCCATATCACTACTCGTAGAAAACTGTCGAACTGCCTGATATACAGTCATATTATAATTTATAAGGAAGTATATGATTTCCAATAAGAAATTGTAATTTATGCCTGGCTGACCCTTGTCCAATAACAATAATTTCCCCGTTAAATTTATTATAGATACATATGAGTACTACCCGCTGACAAATTTTAACCAAAAGGTTCTAAAATTAAGGCTAAAAAATAAGTAGCATTCAAATTTGAGATAATTGCCGTAATAGGATGCACCAAATAAATATTCCTTATAAATTTCAATTAGATCCAACCTTTTTTTTCGAAATTATAGATAGTATGCTATATGCAGTATTAATATTTAATTCATATTGTGCAAGTATTTGAAAAAAATAAAAAAATTATTTATTAGATATCGAAATACGAAATACTTGAATTTGTTTTCACAATAAACTATACCACGCCGATAGTTTTTCGCGGTGGGCGTAGAAATCTTTCAGTGTTACCATGCGCACAATTAAACAAAATACAGTGTTGCCGTATTTGTAACGTCCTTGTGTTTTAATCAGCCGAAATTGCATTATCAATGAACATTATCAATGTTCATTTACCACTTGGTTTTATAATATAGACTAGGTATAGAGGTCATTTTCGTCAACGATTAATGTAAAATAGTTATTTCCCTTCTATTTCCTTTTTATAGATTAATCTTCCTCAAGACCGGTAAGTAAATTGGTTTACGTTTCAAATACAGTTACATTTTAAGTTGTGAATTATAACTGCGTTAGATAAAATGGCAGTATTCTTGCGATCTACCCGACTAGCCGCCAAGTTAAGCCAAGGTACAACAAAATGTTTCTCGCGGACTTACGCCGATCAAATGAGTTTTACATTTGCTGCCGCCAATCAAGTAAGGCACTATTTTCATGTTAATTTTTAATATTTTTGTCTTAAACTACTTACTAATATCACACACTTTGATTGAACAGCGTAAGAAAAATAAGTTAATTATGTTTAGTCATATAAGTGACGTCCATATATTATACATATATATCCATTTATCTTTTGTTTTTCGATAATAATACATTTAATTTTTTTAATTTTGTAAAGATATACTATGCCGAAAAGAATGTCAAGCAAGTTGATGTACCATCGTTCAGTGGATCTTTCGGTATCTTACCAAACCATGTGCCTACATTGGCTGTTCTCCGCCCAGGTGTTGTAACCGTTTACGAAGACGATTCAACATCCAAGAAAATATTTGTATCCAGTGGAACGGTAAAAATATATATGTTTTAACTTTATTTTAAGATTTATATAATGCCGTAATCGGTCGTCCTGAATACTTATGTGGATCGAGAGGGCCTATTATCAGTATATCCCGCCACCATCTAATGACATATCGCTTCTCCGGTGGAACAATGGTGTAAGTGCAAATTTTTGACTTTTTGACTTAAGTACGAAAACAGAATCGATAACATTTCATTATATCGAGTAAAACAATGGCATAAGTGTAATACCTATTTATCATTGACCGCTAGAGAGCAGTTTTGTCGTTTACCATCGTGTACGGTTACCATTACACTAAAATTTTAAACCACGTTTTCTGAAGAACAGTTAAATTTGCACTTACACCACCGGAGAAACGATATGTAGAGCAGGGTGATGGGTGGTAGGGAAAAAAGATACTAATAATTGGCTGTCCAGATTCCCTTTAGGATTTCGGGTGCCCGATTCATGTGACAATGTGTGTGTGTCATATTAACACATTTTGTTTTCTCTCAGGTGACTGTAAATGAAGATTCCAGTGTTCAAGTCTTAGCCGAGGAAGCTCATCCAATTGAAGATATTGACAGTTCAGCTGCCCGTCAAGTGTTGCAAGAAGCACAAAGTCAATTGGCAACTGCTTCAGATGAAGTTTCTAAGGCAGAAGCCGCTATTGCTGTAGAAGTAGCTGAAGCCCTAGTATTAGCATCAGGAAATTAAAACGTTTTTAGAATTATGTATTATATTAGTGTGGAAATTCGTTTCAGAATTTCCTGTTTTACAAATAGATTACTTGATACAAATCGAAAATTCATTTTTTCCTCAAAACTTGTTGATATTTATGTTTAAAATTTCAGTTTATAATTTTTTTTTTTTGTCACACAATTTCAATAAATTATATTTCCAACACAGAACATAGCGATTACTTTATAATCTATACTGATCAATAATCAGTGATCATACATTTATTTTTTTTTTAATATAGTAGAACACATACATTTAAATAAAATATTTTTATTCTCAGTTGTTGGCTTGATCAATGTCTGATTCGGTTATTTGCTTTAAGTAATTATGAACTTTCGGATCAACTATCAGTTTGATAACTTGTTCTGTGACTTCTGACGACAATACTGTGTTGGTTAGGTTTGTGTCATGTACTATGGTAGCGTCGTTGTACTATGTACAAACATTAATGATGAAATTTATGGAGAAAAATTTAATTTTGTCTGTTTACCTTTAAATAATATAATGTAATCGATCGAACATTTTGTTCAGACGTAAATTTCATTGCGTAGCGTGGTATGCTTCTAATGACTTGTTCCAGCTGTTCATTGTATAAGTATACATGGTTTTTTGTCAAAACAATTGTTAGATTTTGCATTTTGTCATTGTTGTCATATATTGCCGTAACCATATTACATGTTGCAAGTATTTTATCAGTGGGACTCAAATTTAATAACAATCGAAACCTGAACAGTATGAAATTTTCTGTGAAACATTCTGTTAATAACCATTCAAATTCAACAGTGTTTCTATCGTTTAATGAAAGCAAAATGTATTTTTTAAAAAACAAAAAATATTGGCGTATAAAAACTTTTATAGCAATTTTAATTGTCTATAGTTTTTTTACTATAATTAGTACCTTAATTCGGATATACTAAATATTTTTCTTATCTGACAATACTGTATCTGAAATTATATGGAAAAAATCAAAATCGTTAACGACACATTTGTTATTATTATGTTTTTAGTGTTACATTCGAAGTTGGTTTCCACTGTATACTCCTTAGGCACAATTTGCTTAAAATTGCAATCGCTTCCAAGCATTTTGCGATCACAATTGAAATGCTCCGAAAACTTTTGAATCCGTTAAACATTTGCGACCAACTAGATGTGAATCCGAAAATTGATAACAACAATCCACATGTTACCTTAGTTATTAATGATTTAGATCCTTCGGCAATTCCATAAAATAACCCTAAATAACCTCGATTTATTCCTTTGGCAGTGAAATTGAGGAAGTCGTACAGTCCTTCTTCGATGGTATTAGCCAAGTTTCTCGGCGCCCCGAACAACTCGACTGAACTTAAAACTTGACCGACATTTTTTATTAATGTGGTATAATAATGTATTAACATGCACGAAATCAATTGCTTTTGTGATGCTTTCATATTAAGCTTCTTGAATTGTAAAAAACCCAACTGCAGTCGGTTAAAACACAAATGGCACATAGCTTTCCAACGAAGGCTCAATTCGAGTGTGAATGGTTTTATTGTTAAATTTCTAAACGTTAACTGATTGTGTGCCGCTTGAGGATATGCTCGAAAATGTAACGGCAGAAACATTTCTGGTACAATGTCATCCTGGGCTAAGTGGTCAAACGGAAACAGTCTAAACCGTTTTATATGCTCCATTAAGGAATGGCAAAAGCTGTCTTCAATACATACAATCAGTGTAGCTATGGAAACTTCTACATCCAAAAGTTCTAAAACGACAAAATCATATTTATGTATACTCTAATTTAAAAAAGTGTAGTTTTTATATTATACATATTTTCTTTTATATTAACTTGTAATTTATATTCTTGTTTAAATTAAAGTCATAGTTGTAATTATGACGATGAAAGATTAAAAACCCCAAATTGTAATCATTCATAATGAATAATAGGAAACAATGTGTAAAGTATTATGTGTTTTTTACGTTAGCTAAAGGTGGTGCACGTTTTAACACTTATAAATACATACAATACAGTAATATACACTATTTTATCGACATTTATCTACTGCTACTCGTTTAACATTTTGTACATAAATAATTTTAAAAAAAATGTTATAGTAGGTAGATGTACCTAGACATTTTGTTCTAGTTTCGGTCATTATGATTTTTATGTTCAAAGCTAAATCAATATCAGCTCTTTGTTCATTAATGACTGTATTTGTTGGCTCGTCAAGAAGTCGTTGGGAATCTTTCCGTTGTTTTTTCATTATAGTCGGAAAATTATAATTTCCATTCAAGAAGTACAGACGGTTGTCGATTTGTATATTATAAACCGAAATATCCATCTCGATTTCGTTCTCGCAATTCTATAAATGAATTTTAAACATAATATACAATTGTAATCGAGTGTAATCAAATTAGAAATCGCGTTACTGTGTTCGAATTGATTCCAACTGCTAAATTCTCTAGCGTAGCTGTGAGTATGGCTTTTGAGTATAATTCGTCCACAAACAAAGTTATAATGAAACCTTGGGAATGATAATCAATAGTCGGCCAAGTTCCTTAAATTATAAACCATTAGTATTTTTTTTTCACGTGTTGTTGTTCAAAGAAACGTGAAATGAGCTATTATAAAGAATCATGACTCATGTTGTATAATTAAAACATTTCGAATAAATGCATTACATTTTTACCATCCAAATACATAGATGGGACTAGGTAATTGTCATTTTTTAGTTTTTGTAATTATTGACAGTTAAAAGTTTTAAGTTTCCTTTTCCATTATTCCAAGTATTAATAAATGGCACATTTTTATTAAGATTAAAATTTTTAAATGCCAGGTAGGTAACTGAGAATGGTTGATAGATTCAATCATTGTAATTAAATATTTATATTAGTTATCATTTGTCAGCTCTCGGCGTCAATAAAATTGATTCACTGAATAATGATTCCTATTTCCTAGAAAAGAGTATCTCCGGAATATTAGATGTTGGATGAGTCTAAAATCCGGTTTATACGGATTTAATTTCTTTATTGAAAAAGCTTAAATAATAAAACTACCGTTTCGAAACTTGTATAAACGTTTATAGTACTTATTTAAAACAATATTTTAGCATTACTTTAAATACTGCGATTCGAAAATTCTGGTATTCCGTCATAATACCTATCTGAATGATTTAGATTTGTCAAATCCGAATTTGATAACTCCGGATACTCCCATCACTATTATGTATTAGTTTTATTCTCACAAAGAATTAGGTTAATTTTTTTTTATAAGTTAATCGATAATAGTGATGAAAAAAAGGAAGGAGAAGGTAAAAAAAAAATGGCTCGTACTACTAGTACAACAATATGTTTGATTTGATATTAAATGCAAAAGAACATGTAATTAGTTTTAAGCTAATTTGGTGAATTTTCGGATAGACTAAATTGCATTTGTTTTCAATAATTCTGATTATCGATTGCAGTGTCTATAATAGGGTTTTGAGTTTCAACTTAAAGATAACACTGGTAATCATTCATGTGTCTAACGACAAGTCACAAGTTTAGTACTTTTAGAGGTGGTCGACAACATTGTCGAGTGTTCGAGCGGTGCAACCGGCTGAAAGGTCACGTTCCAGGTGAAAGCTTTTTTCGATACTGCAACATCAATCTTATTGTCAGACGATATTGCCGATAACGTATGGTCGCTGCTTTTCAACGTTATGCTCGCGAACCTATCTAAGAGTTACATAATATGCCCATTTCTGATTTAACACACAATATTGATTTACCAAAACCCATCTCATCTGACTACATAGCTTACCGTTAATCGAGTTTGCAGACATTTTAGTTGCATACAATGTTTGCGGGTTGTTCAGTGCCGTAAACGACAAGAATCCGTTGTCTCCCGAACATATCTTGTACGACCAATTCCAGTCTTCCGAAAACGTTTCCGATTCCACATTTTTGGTTATCAATATAGTCGTGTGGCAAAAATTGTCAATGATCAATTGCGGATATGGCTGATCGTGCACGGTCAGCACATATTGTCCGCCGTGCACCGTCAACGATACACTTAACAGCGGATTAAATTCACCCGGCGAACAAAACGACACCGGCAAAGGAAATTCGTTGTCCGGTATGTCGGATACCTTGATGGGGCAACTCACGTTACCCTTGAACACCAATGCGATGTACCGGTTGAGTTTTTCCAAGATAACCCCACTAACGACCGTGTCCGTTAAAGTCCACACGGTTAAAGGTTTGCTTCTAGAATTTCAGAGGAATCGACGGGATTACATATCAATGAAGCTAGAGCATTGGGACGGTCGAAGAGCATCGTGGCGTCAAGGCGGTCAACTTACAAGAACGCCTGACTTTTTGGTAAATTCACTGTTAGCTGGTCGATATCTAACGGAAGGTTGTACAAATCCGAAGAGGGCATCGAACACACGGTTAAAATGTCGACATCTTTTGAACTATGATTGGTGGCAACGTACGCGCTTTGAATGTGCAAAATTCGCATGCCTTCGAAATTCGAAGAACAAACGTCGAAAAAACCGATCTAAACGTACATATTTTAAATTTAATTTACAAAAACATGTTACTAGGCGGTTTGATTTATCACTCACTGAATTGTGATATTTGATTAAGATAGACAAATGCCCTTCCAAGGGTACCGAATGTCCTTCTAAGTTGTGTAACCGTTTTTGACTGACCATACTTAAAGGAACGGAGTGGTAATTGACGTCTTCATTGATCACGATATAAAAATTTTCCTGAAGTTAAATGATTTTTTTGCGTTAGAGCACATGATTATATTGAGATAGTTATAAACATCCGTATCGATACCTACCTTGATTTCTGGCGGAGCAACTACGCTCATGTTATCTAAAGTGCATAGAGTCTCTGGCGGTGAAATTTTAAGAAATAAAGCAATTTTATGACCAGTTGTATTCACTATTAATGCCCAAGGCTTTACTACAATTGATTTCGTCGATAACCCGTCATGATCAATGTAATCGTGTGGCTCTATCTAAGGCATACATCACATTTAAAAAATAGAAATTCGTAAAAAATCGTGTCCTAGTTAACAGCTATTACTGTAACGGTTGCTTTCGTATTTATTGCAAGTCCTTGCTTCCACTGGACTTTGTTGAATTGGTGTCCAACATACGGCCATTTTAGACCTGAATCTGTCGTTAGGTATTTCCCATTAATAATTTCTTCAATACTCAACTGCGAAGTTTCTTGTTCATGATTTGAATCGTTTTCCTTATGTTCCTCGTCGTTCGGATATGATAGAATGTTTACATCCGAAAACCTCTTTTTACTAAATAACATCATAATTATATAAATAATAAATCAAGTACAATACTGATTTTTTAATGCAATTTAGAGAGGCCACAGGTCAAAAGTGATAACTTCTAAGTCTGCTTTACTTTTGAGAGTAGGTAAACTAATCTTAAAAACTAAAACTAAAACACAATTTTGAGTAGTTTTTGTTTTGGGGGTCATTTTTTTTGTTTTATTATAACAAACGTCTTAAATATATAAGCACAAAACTCATTATGAAGTCATCAATATTTAACCTGTGGTCATAACGTATAATGGGTATTACGAAGATTTAGGAAAATACTATAACTATGCACGTTAACTGTGGAGAAATCTTGAGTGGAATTGGGTGAAAGTTATTATAGATAAGAAGGAAATAATAAAATACATAAAACAATATTTTTATAGAGTTCATAAGCGCGAATGATTATAAAGATCACATGTAATAAATAATCTAGAAAAAACTTAAGCAACGCTTGCGGTTATGTATTATAAAATAATTAAATAATTAAATAAAACCTCAACCACAAAGATAATCCTCTATAGCAATATAATAAATAATGCTCAACATTTCAACGCAAGTTACTGAACTGTGACTGATAAGTCTAAAAATTAAACCAAACGTTTCCTTAAGTAAATGTGACTATATTTTTCATTTTTAATGTATAACTATTTTTTTTTTTAGTTTTATTTTCATTATGCAAGGAATAAATTAGTTATTAATCAACGTTTTCCATAATGGTAATGTTTGTGATTTCCCTATGGGCTATGCATACTTTTATTTTCCACATAGGAAATTTCCTTCCCTTGACTCCTAATGGCAGCCTAAGCGTATGATGTTTATGTAATGAATATTTAAATTCATTCCGTCGCCTATATATTGAAAAATGAAACATACTTTAAAGCCACTGTTAAACATGTACAATCGTCGGTCAGTGTTTCAGGTAAGTCAACTGGTTGTACGCGATTTCCTTTAAGCGCTGACGCGACCATGACACTAAATTGACCATCTGAATTCGTACTGCTAATACTGACTTCGGTGTCGAATGTCAAGTACGATCGAATCACATACATAGGTAGAATCAGAATCTATCTTACAATAATAATAATGCCAACTAAACAGAAGGGTGTAATTGTCAACTGACGCGATTTCCGTTAACCTACCAACATTCGAACGATTTTGTCGGAGTTTTCTACAATCGAAGTACACCAAACGCTTCGGTACTGATTTGGATCCTCTTTATCGGCGACTGAAAAAATTATAAAAATGCTAAGAATTTATTTTTCAAAGGATACCTTGGAAACTCACTATTAACGCGTACGGTACTGTAATCTTCAGTATTCCTGTTTTTGTCGTACAAACAAATTGTATCCGACCACTGATTTTCAGATTGACTATGGCGTAATGCCATTGAAATGGCAAATGAATCATTAATCATTACCGATGAACTCAAGCTAGCCGGAAGAACGTTAAAAATGTCTTCTTCTTTTTCATCACCAAGATTTCCCCTTGTTATTCGCACACTTAATGAATATATCGTTTCGTTTATTAAGTTCAAAGTGCTTCTGATAATTATCTAAACATTTTCTAAACGTTAACTGTTATTCTGTACTTGCTAATAAACGTGAAACGTTTAAGTGGTAATATCTCTTGAGTAGAATATAGAATATAGATTTGAAATCTATACCTACTCAATATAGTATCATTTTAAGGTAAGCATTTGAGGCTTATTTACTTTTGTCAAAACAGGCGACGCTCGATTAACATTCACCCATAGAACTTTTGATGCGCCATCAGACGCTTTTAATGTCAAAGCTTTTGAAATATCATTGTCAATGGCAATAACTTCACTCCAAAATAGCCTATCGTATAGCATTATAACATTTAAAGCCCTATATTATATCAATTCGTGTTTTAAACTCATACATACTTAGTGTTTGTACCGTCATTACCAACGGCAAATCTCATTAAAAATGATTTGGTAGAAGTATTCCAAGTATAATGAAAACATTGTAAACTCTCGAGCACTATTGCTTCGTCAGTGTTTGCTTGGCCGAACCTGTTAAAATATTAACGTGGTTCAATGTAGATGTATCAATTATGATATATATGTGTATGTATTTATAAATATAGAACGAATAATTGATAAGTATTATGTCAAAAAATCGGAAAATAAAACTCGCATTATATCGAAGTAAGTGTCGTTACAAACGACATAAGGACTTGTGTCATAAGAAATGTTGTTCCATAATTGCCACGCTTTGTACAGTGAATTAATTGTACTAGGCCCAAACTCAACTAGAACGGGTCCGGTTCGTAAACTGTAATGACTGTTTTTTCCTGTAAAAGTAGAATTCCAAAATTTGTGCAGATACATTAATCAAAGCTGAGCAAGTTACTTGATATTGGTAACTCGTAAGTCGTATAATAAAATTGTATGATTAAATATTACTTGGGATTTCCGTGTGATAGCAAGCGAATTCAAAGAAAAGTTGCAACACTGTAGTCTGCATTGTGTTTTCATAGAATAATACTTCAATCTTGAGGTTTGATTCAGCAGATGCATTGACAATTTTATCTGTACAACGATGCGGGTTAATCGATAACGAATATGAACACATAGAACAAAATGCATAAGTCGATTTGACAATATTCAAATCGATATGATGTACTTACCACCTTCAAGGGATTGAAAACTAACCCGCCCGCTTTCAAGTCCGATAATAACTAATGGATGCTCTGGAATCGCCTTAGAAACACATTGGAATCGTTGCGCGAACATATTATTATAATCAGCCTGAGTGTTACATACGATATTTATCTACAAAGAAATACAAATAAGTTACTATAAAGTGATAGATCGATTGGCATCTATCAACTGAAGTTCAGACAAATTTAATTTTCATCTTAATTTAGTGTACTGAATGTTGTACAGGTACATTTACAAACTTTTATCGCCGAGACAGCCACGGACAATTGTAGTTGAGGTACAAACCGTGTTGAAAAAAATGAATGGATTTGAACGCTCTGTCTGAACATAAAATAAATCATTACAGTTATTGCAATAATATGTTAGCAAGTCGCAGATTAAAGCAAGCATTTTACTAAACGATAGAGAACCATATGAGAGGCTAGGATAAGGAAACAAATTTTATGTACTAAAGAATAAGATGATACCTAAGCAATATTTTGACATTATACATTGTATATGGAAAATTTCGAGCACTTAAAAGGCTAAGAATTAATTCACCCTCGCATCAATTAACTATTAACAAAAATAATAATTTAAACGGCTAGTATTCAACCTTTGCGTCCTTTGATAATGAAATGTAAACTTCATAAAATGTCTACAAGGTATGTATAAATTGTTTACCTAATTAATTTGTGTGTTATTAAATGTGAATTCTCGCAGTCAATAACCAGACACCAAGTATTTGAAACTTCCTTTTCAGTTTCTCGGCTAAGCGTCACTGGTTCTTTATTTGAAAATGAAAAACAGGCACATTGCTTGAACTGGTTTGTTATTTCGTCGTACCATTTCAAAAAAACCGTGACATCATGACTAAACTGAACTCATCACAAAAAAAAACATGTACACTAATCACATGAGGTTATTATGGTAATAGGCGCATTTTTAGCAATATAGATACACTTAGCTGCATATAAGTAGCTGTTAACGTACACAAATCGGCATTGGACGCAGTATAACTGTAGTAAGCACTCTGGGCTGTGGATACTTCCAAGTCATAACAAATTGCGAATTGGCAGGTAACAAATCAGTGTCATTCGACGTTTCGACAACAATACCGTTTGTTTGAAAATCGTCAACATAATGTTTTTCTACCACAGGCTGCTGTTCTAATAAATAACGGTCAAACGATTAGGAATCCTACAGAAATCAATTCTGATATAAAAAAAAATAATAATTACTTGCCCGAAGGTGCGCGTCGTTTTTCTTTCCGGTTTTGGGCAAAAAATCACAATATGTACTCCAAATTTTTGAAATAATTCTGCAACGGTTCTGAGACAAGTCAACCGATAAATACTCAGTTTCTAGTTTCAATTGATTCGTTTTCGTTAAACGTTCAGAATCGAGCGAGTAAACTCTTATGTTAACAGCCAGTGTCAATGGATACAATAGAAATTCATGCGTGACCGAATAACCAGTAGATATTGTCACACCGCATAACGACAGTCTACCGGTCATATGATCCATAGGGTTTTCCGGCCAAGTAATTAACTTAAAACATGCACTTCCGACACACAGAACCACATTGTCTGTGTAATATCAAAGCCAATCAAAGTAATCATCCAGCAATTATGTTGTATCTAGTGTATTTACATAACAAAGAAGATACCTTCATTGTTATCAGCAAAAAGAGTCACCACAGCTTGTTGACAGGTTACGTTCATAGTCACACTCGAATGTTTAGATCTAAAGACGACAACAACATTAAACTATTAACTATGTACCGTTATAATATTATTACACAGTATCTTCTTATGTTTTTCCGCCTCGAGGAACTTTATAATAATATTAATACTGATTATTATAAAGGATAACACTGAGTTACACAAAACTTGATTGGTTCCATAAATAATTGGTTCAATAAAATTTTGTTCAGCCCAGTGGAACAATTTTATAATATTTTGTATACTATTCGATTGACTCTTAAACTATTACGAAATTATCAATAGTTTGTCTTAAGAAATCCGTTGGACGTAGTATTTTTAGTTAGGTAACTAATTTTATATTTATAACTCATTTATATCTTCAGATTCCTTTAAATTGTTTTCCGGTAGTCCGTTTTTATTAAATACTTCATCGCAGAGTTCTGAACTGGTTGATGATTCGTTTTTAATAGAATGAGCATCAGAATTTTGTAACAAATTCGAATAAATCGTCATGATTTTAATTAAATCGTTAAGCAACTCGACACTAGACTTGTGAATCGTAATTGAAATTATTCTATTCAAGATAATATCAATCTAGTTTAAAGTGAAAATTAAACAATCCAAATTAACCTAATTAAAGAAAAAATTTCAATTCGTTCGAAAAGTTACTTCTTGTAAGTCATTTTCGGGATAACTGGTTATTTTAAATGTAAACAAATCTGGGACACACTCTTCTGTCTGATCATATTGTTTTGTACCGAATAATTGAATTGAATAAGCTTCAGCCTCTGGAAATGTGTTTTCAACCCGGGTTTCGCGAGGTGACGTCGCAACGACTAGGTCTAATATAATGATCTATAAAAATATGATAAATCTATGATACCCACTATCCATAGTAACAATAGTATTTTTAATAAAAAGAAAATTCTATCAATATACTTCAAACGATTGTATTTGTTTGGTGAAAAGTAATACAAAATTCGGTTGATAAACACAACAATACAAGAGTGGTTTAAATTCAATTTTGCTCTGGTCAGTAATTGTGTAGTTGTATAAATAAATACTTATGTCATTTCCTGTAATAATAATGTCCATAGGAATTTCATTCGGTCCATCCTGATGACTTCAATACAATAATAATAATAATTAACAATATCTTTAAGTAAAATTCATATAATAGGTGTACATCAAAGCTGGGAGGTTACCCCTAACAAAGTCACTAAGGCATTATTCCAGTTAGTAACTGGTTAATATATAGATGTTAGTTAGATAAATTTGTTTTATTTTTTTCCCACCGAAACTTGAGTTTAATCTTACCGTTGTGATATAAGTAACTATAGTAACTTAATTATTCCCTGTGAGGTGAGGTGCGATGGTAGTCATTACTAAGGATAAAGGTTTAACGGGTCAAATCCAACTGTGATTTAAATGCGAGACTATGAACTTTGGCCCAACTTTGAGTTATAGACCTATCTACAGACAATGTATTATTTTACTTGGTCATTAAGGACGTTATGCATTTGTTTGACGCACTAAAACTATTAGGAATGATTTGTTTTGGTTGTAAATCGTTCTCCAGTAATTTACTGTCTTTAATATGACTTAAAATATAATTGTCGATTTGCGAAAATAAAACCACCAGCACTGACAGCTGCTCGGTGGATATTGTTATGATGATTTCATTGACTATGTTCATCTAAAAAATGATATACACGAATAAATTAACACTCAAGTAGAGTCTAATAGATAAGTAGGTACCACTAAATGTTTCCCGCATATTAATTTATTGTCTGGTCTGACTACAATGGCTGGAGCATAGACACAACTAATCGATACGTTATTCAGCAACGCGTTAAGCGCGCTGCTTGCACTATTTCCAGTTGAAATAGAACTCATAGAATCGTATTCAAAAGCTCCTGAATATTCGTCGCTCATTTCGGTTTGTGAGTATGAAAATATTTGGTCTTCTTCCATGCTCTGGGCAACGACATTCGACCAGCTACCGGTTTTTATTGAAAAATCATGTATCATAAACTGACACTGGTTATCGTGGACTTTTTCCGAATCGTTTAACAAATCGTCTATTTCGTGTTCTATGTTCATAACATACTCGTTTAACGGCGCTCTAGCAATTGGGTTATCCGGATACGGGTTTACGTCGATTGAATTTATCTAAAAAAAAAAAAAATTAATAAAAATAGAAAGTATACATTTCGTCTAACAGCTAATATTAGCTCATTTAGCTGTTGGTTTTTATTACTTGTATTACAACAGTGTTCACGTTTTCAGTTCCTTCGTCTTCCTGGTCGATTGGGAATAATATTCTTATTAACCCGACGTTAACGTCAAACAACTGCAGTGGTTCTGAAGATGTAGATTTTGTATTTTTATCAAAAATTTCGTCAGCCTGATCTACACTATGCCGCGTCGATTTGCTTTTGAAATACACCAACGCTTGAAGGATAGGTTCGAGTATTTTCAAAAAATCATTCAAGATAATAGGTGATATAATTATTTCAAGCGACAACAAGTTAACCGACAATCGCAATAAATAATCGTCGTTAGCCGACATTGCTTCCACAGCACTATGAACGCTTCGGTCGTTCTGTAAAACGGAATGACATAATTATGAAAGGTGCCAATCTCGGTTAGGTATAACAAGATACTACTAAATTACTGGGCCATTTTGCATTGAATTGAAAAAATTAATTCGGGGAATAACTCAAATAACTAACCAAAACCACACGATCATGCGCACTAGAACTTTTGTCTATTAACGAAATCTCTCAACTTATTTATAGATAATATTATTACAGATATATATAATATGCATTGATAACACACATAAATCCCACCAGAATGGCAGACCGTCGACTTCAATTCTTATCGTTAGTTAGCAATCTAGTTTATTATATATATATATCTGTGCTTACATCTAAGCACTTTTCACTTATCTATTATCTCTTTCTCTAACGGAAAGTAAAATTGTAAATGGCGATATGAAATTTCTTGCATCCAGCACAATAGCATATCCATGTTAAAATCAAGATACAAGGCTATTCTGGAGGTTTTTAATAGAAAATTCTTTTTTTTCCAATTATGAAGTGTAACGTCCTGAATTAGTGTTCATAACGTTTCATAATCACAAATTAGCACACAATAAGCTAAAGACCTTTTCATCCAATCGAGAATCATCCTCGTCGTCTCTTTTCTAAAAATAACCAGACTATTCCAACCTAGTGAAACTAATTTTTTCCCCTTAATTATAAATTAGTCTCTCTCTCGTTCATGTCTTTTATAGCTTTCTCTTACACATTGATTCCTTATTTTAACGTCATCCTATTTACTTCACACATTTCTGCAACACCCATTTTCTATTTCAATTACTTATCCACAAAAAGTGGATAAGTATTTTTAAAATTGTTGTCTATAAAAAATAACCATTTGAAACGTTACTCGGCTCGTTTGAATCCACGAGATGCTGAGAAATTCATTCGAGTCCAAATCGTTTGACGGTGAAAGAACTTGCAATATAACTCCCGAATAAGATCCTTGAGCCCAAACAGATTCTTCGGCGTTCCTGATCATTAGAATGAAAGGAAGTACTAACAAATGTATTAAACCCTTAAACCGTTATATTTCTATTGGCACAGACTTTTTAAAATGGCGAATAGACGCTGAACGCATGCTGAACAATGTTCTTTTATAAGGCGGTCGGATATCAGCTGTTTGGTGAGACACAACCATTTTCCCAAGGTCCAAAACCAATTTTGCACTGTTCGTTGAAATACCCGACCTATTCCATATGTTCATTGAAAAACCCTGAACAATACATACAAAACTACTGGCATGTTCGAAATTTGTCTGGTTATTTCCGAGGACTGTAATGTTAGTATAATAGTACGCTTTATATCTCAATTGATCACAAAATCACAACTGCTACTTACTAAAAGACGATGATATTTTTTCTATCACGCCGATATTATAATCACAAATAATTTTGGATATTATAAATTTATACTGAATGTTAGAAAATATTGCTAGGTACACGTCCGTGCATTTTACTAACAAATCACAAATCATAACACTCTGAAATTTTATTAAAATTATACATTACATTAAAGTTATTGCATATATTTTCACGATACCCATATAATAAACTTGACTCACATCTTTTTCTGATATGAAAATATTTATTGGCTCTATTTTACACGATACGTGAACATCGGATATTTTACAAACGTTTTCACTGCTATCAATGTCTCTGTTAGTCTCCTTGATATATAAATTACAAGACATGCTAAATGGTTGGAGTATTGTTATTTTATCTATCGCAGTCTGGGTGCATGTATTGTAAGTGTAACATTCAAGTTCATCCAATTTTAACATCCAAGGAAAATAAGCTTCTCCTTTAATAGTGACACACAATAAAATTACCAGTCAAATTGAGATCATTGAGATGATTAACATGAATATACTTTCAAAATTTGTCATATCATCCAAATTGTTAACCGGAAAATATTGAAAGTAATTTTCTATTTCTTTTCGTTTCATTCCACTATCCATAGTTATTGCAGCCATACTTAAAACAAATATGTCCACATCAAAACCGGACTGTGCTTTAATCCATTCGTTAGCGTTTAATGTATTCTTCATTTTTGACTTCTTTTGTAATAAAGTTTTGTTTGGGAAATAAAAAGTTACGGCCGCAATGTCCGACAACATTATTATTATTATTTCCAAATTATTTGAGCCACTTTCAACTTTCAGATTTTCCGACTATAGTAACAAATTAAGTATTTTTTTTTTACGGTTTAAATAAAATATGAATAAACAAACAAAAATTCATAATAATACAGTTACGTTAAAATGACTTTATTTACCGAGTCCCTATTTTTCTCCTTGGGTTGGAATAAAATGTATTTTGGAGCTCTGGAAAATAATTACACTTATTCTTACTTTCCGGTTTGCCTAGTTAGTAGTTAATATTATAATTATAAATACCTGTAATGTATATAAGCCGATGTACTTTGCATCTTAGTGTTCACTATCTTTGGAACGAAAGAAATCCATTCGAAGATTAATGAATCGAAATTGATTTCTAGTTTTTGCGATTTGATATAAAATATGGATACTTTTGAAGTGGCCGAGTCGGATGTCGTTAAAAGCATAACTTAATATATAAAACATGGTGGAAATTATAATTAGTAGACAGAGAAATATTAATTTAACTATAATCAAATTGGAACAATAATATTAAAAAGGAGTTGCGTAGCATAGAGAGATTGGTATTAATAATAAAATACTTTTAACAGGACTTAATAACCTCAAGGTATTTAGGATACTTGCGCTTTTGTTGATTAAAAACACCATATTCATACCTTCCACTATGTTTTTATCAATGTGGTCGAAGGAGAAAACAACCGTTTTGAGTACATCGTTTGCCATCATTTTATCTGTTTTTATCAGCTCGACGGTTGTACTTTTTAAAGAGATTTTAATATTGAAATGTCTTTTGGTAGATACATTGTGTAGAACGAATCCTCTTAGTGACAAGTTTAATACGGATGTGACTATGTGAGTAGAACAAAGTTTTTCTACGTCATTGGTATTATATATTTATATATTTTTTTAATTTTTATAATTGAATAAGATAATAACTTGGAATTTCATCCAATAAGGTTGAATTGAATATACAGTTTGTATTGTATAGTTGTCTGCGGTCGTCTAATGTAAACATAGATTGTACAATGTAATAGAACAACAAGGTATCTTCTTTAGACGAACTAAATCTAATTTCATCTGGCAACAAAACATAAGCGGTTTATTAGTATTTGTATGCGAGTTATGATTCAGAGAAACCATAATGCATACTATCCACTGTGCTATACCTAGATACTGTAGTTGAATACTAAAATTTACTGTTGAACAAAAATAAGAATGTATTTTAAAAAATTGCATTAAATGCAAAACATTACCGACATCCAAGCGATAAGTGCATGTACTTGCTGGATCGCATTCTTTAGCGTTATTTAATAATATGTCATTGACATGTAAGAGTGTGTAATCCTTATGAAATTTATTGATTATTGCCTCTATGTTCATTACCTTTAACCGTCAAACATGACATACTTGTATTAGGTAAACATTTTAAACAATAATGCAATGTAAGTACTCTAATATTGTTTTTATTTTTCAGTGGAGTGTTACTGTTGTACGAGGTTACTGGTGCAGTAGTAGAATCACTTGAAGTAAAACTCCCATATATTTCTTCCAGTCTCACGATCGCCATTGGAGGATTTGCGAAGAGTGAGGTTAGACGCTTTTCATTCTGTATAGGTCCATTAACATTGCATTTTTAAATACTATACTCATTTTAGCAAAAAAAAAAAAATTCAAACTATACTAACTTCACAATTTTGTAATAGTTTCAATTCTACATGGCAGACAGGAAATACCTTTAGCGTCCAATTTATTATTTTCAACGTTATCTGTGTTTTTAGTACATCATCATTCGTTGTTGGCAACTCCTCCGCACCTATTTGTTCAACTTATTTAATTGGATGCAGAAAAGACACACATTGTTTTTACTTGTATTCACTTCAGCTGTCAGTGAACCGTTGCTCAGCCAATTAAAACCCCTCGTTATGATGTTATAAATGAATTGCATACGATGAACCAGCCCCGTAGTAATGTTTATAACGCAAGGTCCTGCCTCAAACGTCAACGTGCTTATTTCACTAATCACAATATTACAGAAGGCAAAATTAAATTAAAAATGTCAAAAACCAACATAACATTATGATATTTACACTAATAATGATAAATTTTATGACATTGTTAATTATTCAAATTAATCTTTGTTTCAAAATTCAAGTGTGTCCTTATAATTACTTATGGGCATTTAATTAGCAGATGACCAACGGGATTTTCTTTGGTTCAATATGTAGCCTAACTGGTTGTAAATGTTTGTTCAATTTTAGGTAAACAAATAAATAATTAAGTCTGTCGTGGGCGCTGATAACCATAAGTTGCTTAAGTTTTTTCTAGATTATGAAATGGGAACTTGTATATTTAAAAAAAAAATGACACAGTTTATGGATGTTTTAATAATTTAAAGTAAATAATATTTTTTTATCTACATTAACATGTATTAACATTTAGTAGGTGTAGTAGGTCACCGTTAAAATATTGGTAGACACCAAATTTCTGGTAGTTCACTTGCTAAACGAATACCTATTTAGGATGTATAGTATGTCAACGACACATTATGTATTTAGACATTTTTAATTATGTCATGTATTTGTGCTTTTATCGAATATACTCCATTATTTTTTATACGCCATTACGTAATTACAATAAATAATTAAATAGATGTGTCGCCAACTGACTAATTATTCTACTCTCGCGTCTACTCCATTTAACATAATATTTAGTATATTACACTTATTTAATTAGGTACTGTACAGTTTTCGTTCTATTAAAAATAAACTCTTGTAAAGAATTTATGAGTCATTATATGACTTATATATTATAAAAATGTATTTATAAGAATGTATAATTAATCTTACTTTTCACGGTACACATAATCGAAACCAAAAGACGGTGTTCTCTTTAAAATTGAATTGTCTGTGAAGAATTGAATAAGAACTTTCATTAAACAAACATTACACATTTTCTCAAACTGGAGTCACGCGTGGTGACTAATCAGGGGTACCAACGATCATTAAATTTAATATCAGTGTCACCGCACTTAGTAACAGTGTTATTTTAATGATTTAAAAACGTAAAGGTCGTTTGAGGGTATTGATAAATTATTTATAACTAGGTTGAAAGCTAAGAATAACCAGAAGAGCAACCTAGGCCGAGACGATAAGTGTCCGACATCTTGTTTTTGCGGATTACATACAATTATCGTACCATGCATTTTCCTTGAATCTGAAATTCTATAGGCCATCTGTTATAGTCTGGCTCCCAGCCGCAAAAACAATATGACAGTCGACCTTTTTTGGCGGGTCGTCAAAACCGTTTATTTGAAATATTTACACGGTTTACGGTTAAAATTATATTCACAAATTGGCTTTGCCAACGTTTCGGAAGTCATTCATCTGCCATCATCGGGGCTGTGTTATGCGCTCATTACAATGCTGTTCTGTTGCTATCTGTAGACTGAAGCGAATTGCGATCGTCTATCCCCTTCTCCGTGTACTTTCCTTGCTCTTCTCCGCTCCTCTTCTCTTCACTTCTCTCAAGGAAGATGAATGGCATCCGAAACGTTGGCAAAGCCGATTTGTAAATATAGATGTAACCGTTAACCAGATAAATTATTTATTCAAAATTAGTATAAATATTAATCTTGTTTCATCAAAAGTAAATAATAATACGCCGTATACCTTTAAAATCTTCGTCTAAAGAATAAACTATATTCTCAATACCACCAACTCGTTTGAATAATGAATGAGCCAAATATTCGTTAAGTTCTTTGCCCGATAACACGTGAGGTTTCTAAATGTTCAAAATAAATAAATTAAACTAATATTAACTGAAAATACCCAACAACATATAAATTCAGTTATATACTAACATTATAACAATCTTGAAGTGTACAAGTACAATCACTTTCTGAATCTATAGTAGTTTTACTGACACCGAACTTAATATCCAATAAACTACCAGAATCAATCTTATTAATTTCTGCCATCAACCCGTTAAAGGATATTTTTATCAACGGTTTGTAACTCCTTAATACTTTTCCTGTTTCAATCTACAATGTATGTAAAATTAAATGTATACGTTTCTTAGATAAAATAAAATCTTAACGCTAATGCCATACAAAACAGGTGGGCTACAAAAATTCTGAAATGCCAGATCTAACAATTAACCACAGTGGTGCACACAGGATTTTTCTAACAGTTATAATACAATTATTGTTGTATAACCGTTAAAAAATAGTATTTAATGATTTGTGTAAAATTTCCATGACAGAAGATATATTGTGGAGTGAATTAAATATAAACAACGCTCCCCCCATGTGAGCACTACAATCTGCAATAATTTTGTTTTTTACCTATCCTACCATTCTTAAACGTGTATTTAGGCACATGTAACTACTTACTTTTGGTATAATTTGAAAGGAATTTATGTAAAGTCCTATTTTTAGAGTTTGGTTTTCGATCGTAGTTATATCACACGTATTATAAATCCATGTTTTCATCCAATCGGCCCAACCTTCATTTGTTCGATTTTCCAATAACTCATCATATACTAGGAAATTCATTTATTGGTTATTTATTAATTGATTTTTATTAAATCATATCACAACAATAATAATATGAAAAAACGAATTTAAATAATTATTAAACTTCTGTTGATTTTAATTTGTTGTTTTAAATTAAATGTTTAAGTTGATATCCATTGTACAACATTATTTTATTTTTTTTGGTGAAATTGTAGTATATAATTAAGTATTGAAATCTATTAGACAAAACAATGCATTAGTATTCCTCAAGCACTAGGTAACAATATACAAAGCTATGAGTAAAGCCCCATCCTTTTTTTTTTTTGCAATACTCATTAGCCATACAGTGATTTGAGGCCAACGATTTAGAATTTTCCACATGACAAACAAAAAGAATATTTTAAACTCAACTGACGTCCAGTATAATCGTCAGACGGCTATACTTGTATTTTACCCAACAAGAAAACTTTTTTCTCAGAAGATAAACAAACAAATGTTTAAGGGAACCTATGATGCAAATTAATTTCACCTTCTGGTTCTAGATTTATGTCAGTCGTTTCGGTTTTGTCCGGTTTGTGTTCGTCAAACGAGTAGCTTTGAAAAGTACCCATCAGTTTTGTTATAAGCTTAATGTGAGCTTCCGTGAAGTTAATCACTATTTCGGGACTAAAAACATCCAGCTGAACGTGAAACGGCATTATGGAAAAACATTGTTCAAACACACAACACATTCTAATATCCAGTTTATTCTTCAAAACTAATGGTTCTAAAAATGTTTCAATCGTTCCCGATTCGTTTATTTTGTTGATCGACAACGTTAACGCATTAATCCCTCCGGTTTTTTTCATCAGCCATTGCATAGGTAATGTTTCTAAAATTAGCCAATAGAGTATTATCAAACAAATGTACAAAACAATCAAATATTTACTTCTGTTAAATTCATTTAATTTGAGTTAGGAAATTCAAGCTATACACAAGTACTTTAAACACTAAATAAACAATTATAAATAATATATGTTAACTGTATACATATCCTAGAAATATTGCCACGTTTTTTAATAATTATATAAATACACTGACTCTGGTCCGTCTCGGTAGTCCATAAGGGTATTTACATTTATACATTCATAAACAATAACGTTAATTATTTAACATAGACCATATGAAAAAATTCAAGGTTTCATAATAGTATGCTTACAACAAAAAACGATAAAATGTATCTTCTTCTATTCTTAACAAAGATATTTCATCATTAAAATTAGTTTAAAATCTCACTAATCTGTAAACCTATAGATACGCTTAGTTGGAAAATAATTTTGGTATACAATATTTTTCGTTTGTATTTCAATCATGCTCGCATGATTGTCTAGTTTGCAAATTATTGTAATTAAATATTTCCGCATTTCGACGTTCGACAATATTGCAAGGTTATATTAACTCTCAGTGTCATGTCACAAACGGTATTCTCAACAAAGTAAAACCTTATAACTTTCATAATTAATATTAATTATATTTTAACACGAACGTACATATTAGGAAGGAGCTCATAAAGGGACTGTACCTGAAACCCTTAATTGGACCAGTAACTTTAATATATAGTCTTGCTGACTACACCGAAAACCCCACTGAAAGAGGGTTTAGAGAATCACTTATTTTATTTCATTACTATAAGACGGAAAAAATCATAGGAAAAATTTTTTAAAAAAAAACTTTTTTTGTGACAAGGAAACATATTTTACTAATTTTGCGGAATGAATTGTTTTTTTAAATCTAGAATGCAGTTAATTTATCTATTACTCAGTTAGGTTAATTTTTCATAAGGGTCAACTATAAAATATTTGGTCGTCACTTACTTTATACTCTATACTTTACATATTTTTTATACTAATTTTTTCCTTCATATACATCATTCTAGCTTATCCACAAGTGGGTCATAACAACTTTAATAACTAAAACTGACTAACTGAAGAAAAAAAAGGTGTTACGTAAAATACATTACTAGTAAAACGAATACAATTACAAAAAAAGTAACTAATATTACCTATTAATTAAAATTAATTATACTCGTAGTAAATCATTATTTATTTAGAAAATAGACTAGTCGAACGTATATCAAAATATAGATTTAAAAAAAAACCTGTAATAGTTAATGTTCATAATGCATGTCAAACTATAAATAAAATAGTGAAATTCATAAAAATATAAATAAAAATGAATGTAAAAAAACTAGATTATTTTTATTTATATTATAAATTTGGTCGTGTCTCTTATTTTAACATAATTCTAACGTCAAAATTTCTAAATAATAAAATTATTATTTTCAACGCTTTTGGTAATAATTATGTCTAAATTTACTGTGATAATGGAAATGGGATTAGAGAAAATTAAGAAAAAAACCAATATTTTACAATTTTAATTGCTTTTTATAATTAAACAAAATACTAAAATTACTTTAATATTTATTCAATTGGTTTTTTAATTAAATTACTACAGTATATGTGTATAGTCAAATTAATTAAGAAATTATGTACACATTATATGTAAAGACATTTAGTTTGATAGTAATAATATCAATTATTCACACTTGGCCGTTTGTGATAAATCAATATTAAATTTAACCATTTCATATTATAATTTATTCATTTTCATACACTTCACCTGTTGTATTAATAGCCCATTCGTCATTGCAACAGCACAAATTAAAAGATTTCACAAACATATTAAACACAATATCATCATCCAGGTATTTCAGAGTGATATGATTGAATTTTACTGAGAGATTTTCAATTATTTTAGTGATCACTTTCGTCGAATAACTGCTCAAATTAGAAACAATCTGATCGTCACCTTCAGTATTACTCATCCTAGTAAATACCATAAAAATTCGTTAACATTTATTTTAGTCTGGGCAAATTTTTCGTATTTTATAAAAAGTAATAATATTGTGATCAACGGTTTAGGAATAATATGTATGTTATTAAATTAATTAAAATCCTAAGTTATTTTTGTTGGATCTATAGATTTACACTATAGAAATAGGTACATAGTTAATTTATCTAGGAATATTTTGTTGTATTTTAAAATTAGTAATATTAAATATTTAAAACAATTTACTTTTCGGTTTTATTTTCATTCTCGTTTTTTAATTTCACCACGAGTTCTGTAAAAATAAAAATCCTGTTTTTATAGTAGTTGATCAACGTTATGCGAGCTAATTTAAAAAACTAACAAACTTAACTAAAAAATGGTTAAAACGTACTGGCCAACAATGTTGCACGTACACACTTGAGTTAGCGATTGTTACTTAAAAATAATAATAATGTCGTTGTCTCATAATAATTACCAAGCGTGTCCACTGTGATACTGACATTTTTCAATAATTTATACCAAGGTACATCAATGATAAGCCCATTTATATGGCCGCTGATTACTTGTAATGGAACGTCAAACTCGTGTTGGACTGCTTTTACATTTAGCTCCAACACGTCGAAAGTGCAGTTGCCTCTTAACAAAGCTAACTATACATACAGTGCAGCGTCGTCATACAATAAGTGTGTTTTATGTGTCGAACAACAAGCAATATAGTGTTAAGACAATTTAAATACCTTAGTGTCCTCAGCTGTTGTATATCTAAAATATTTGTTCACATAGCCTAAGATCATATGCACAACCGATAGTTTCCCCGCATTGATTATGTTACTCAGGTAATCGAATACTTGAGACATAGCTTTTGAGAATTTTGAAACTTATAAATGCAAAATTACTAGTTGCTTACAAACATATGTAAATTGAATATTATGTTCAAAAAAACAAAACCATAAAAAAAAATACAAAATTTTATATATATATCTATATTGTTTGATGCGAGTTAGAAATTTGTTAAGATGCTTGGATACATGTTTATTTATTTTTTATTACTCCTATACATTACATAAATACCGTTTTAAACTGGTATCAACTAAAGATCAACTGATAACGCCAACTTTAAATAAGAATTCAGCTCAAGCCTGAATGAAGTGAGAAGAAAAATATTGTTTTTATGTTATGATTATATTGTTATAGTTCCTCCGGGATACTCTCTCTGATCTATAGCCATGAAGAAATCGGTCCAGTAGTTAAAATGTCATCATGGACCATAGCAAAAAAAGTAATAATAATAGTAAAACACATAACTGTAAGACAGCTTCTCATCAAAGCTATAAATGTTGTTTTATTATTTTAACGGTTAGGTACGTCGGTTGTCATTCATATAACGGCTGTTCATATTTGACTTTCGTTTTCACTCAATTACTCGGTTTTGTGCAGAACTGTCTAAAAAAAAAACAAACACTCACGAGACCTAAAGAACCTTCCAAATTTTGATTCAATCAATATGGGTCCACTATTTTTTGTGAAGAAACACATAAAGTACCTACCGAATATTGTCCAGAGACGTTTACCCTTCCTTGCCAAACAATATCTATACTGTTTTTACAGTGTTAATAATTATTCAGAGTGTTTACATATTATCAACTATAAGCAAAAAAGGTAATTTTAGTGTCATACACGAAGCGTGCACTTACCGAATATAACCTGAATTCGCGATTAGCACATAATATTATTAGATCTCGTTACGGATTGCGGCTTGCTCGCATATTATACCGGTTTCACAATGATGCACAAATACTCACACACACACACTTGCCCGTACGTCGATGACATAATTATATTACCACTCACATTGGCCAAGTATGTATACATATTATGAAGAAAGTCGTATTAGTGTGCGCGTTGAGCTCTTACTTGGATTCGTAATTTGTCGGCAGCAACATCAGTATCGTCGTGCGACTTATTCTCAGTGCTTTTGTTCTGTCCAAGTCAACTCGATTTCATACTTAATAAATAAATTTAAAAAAAGAAAACTCCGTTTAAATTATAATTTTTTCTAAATAGCATTTAAAACAATACAAATAAAATGCGTGGGATATTTTCAACGGCATGTGTTTTACTGGTGATTTTTGTGCTCGCTCCGAGTAACGTGTCCAGTCAAAAACACGAAGTAAGTATATTACTAGTTATAAGTAATTTAAATTAAAACGTTGTATGTAAAAACGAAATCTATACAGGTACAGCAGACCGGAAAATGCAGAGCTCCCGAAAAGGCACCACAAAATCTCGAAAAAATCATTAACGTCTGCCAGGAGGAAATCAAATCCGCGTTGCTCCAAGGTAAACGTAAACTTAATTAAAAACAATTATCGACTAGCCAGTAATAATCGAGTGTTGGAAATTCTTTAGAGGCGTTAGAAATCCTTAATGGCGGACCTTTAGACGAGGACAACTTAACGCCAAACCGGAACCGACCGAAAAGGGACGTCGATGACGAATTGTCCAACGAAGAGCGAAGAGTAGCCGGGGTAAGACAATAATTGATAAAAAAAATATTGTCATATTCATTTTTTAGCTAGTAGAACCGTTGCCTTTCATCACTACACGACGATTCTCTAGCCCCCCCCCCTGCTCCCCACAAGTATACTAATTTCAAAATATCACTTACATGAAGATTATTGATGAGTATCCCTCTGCACCTCGTATATAATTTTACTAATAGTGTTTAAATTTCCTGTCACTCACCAAGACGCCCACAAAACAAATTCAGCTTTATTATGTTACTCTTTAACTCGATTTCAACATTGAATAAACAATGATACTTAACATAATTTTGCAACTCAATTGTTCAGACAATTTCTAAATTTTCTATCTACTTAACATTGACATAATATTATACCGTCGGTACTTATGCAAGAAAGCGTGTGAAGTCAACCCCCTCCTGTCTTTTGTTGTCCAGATGGACCTAGATAAACTTCAATTATTCATAGGCGATAATTTCTAAATAATTGTAAGTGGCTTGCTTTTTTTTTAATCTTCCCAAAAAATTAACCTAGCCCTCAACGTTGTCCAAATCGACCCGGAAAAATTGTAAATGCTATAAATAAATGTAAGGGGGTTATCAAATGCTTTTTGCCGATCTCTACCTGTATTTTAAGTTATATAAGGATAGTATTATATCAAGAGTGATATTCGAAAAGAAAACTGACTACTTTTTTTTTAGTAGTTTTTAATATTATAAATAGTAGTTACAGCGTTGTTATAATGTTATTATAATCGAGTATGGAATGTCGTTATAGCTAGTGTCACCGGTTCGCTAATTTTGTATTTGATAGTCATTGTTATAATACCTATATTGACGGGTCGCATTCGAACCCATAAATATCTACAATATTTTGGAAAAGGATTCATTCCATTCACCTGTTGCATAACTCGAAACCAGTTTATTAAACGTGGTCAGCAGCAAGGAAAACACCTCAATGCTCCTTTTTATGATCATAGTATATATTATAAAATAAACTTTATTATGATTCGGCTGACCGTCGTAATACCTATATAGTGTGTAGTGTATAATATGTAGTGTGTACTAACGATATTGTTTTTTTTTTTACTTGCAGTGTTTGCTCCAGTGCGTCTACAAGAAAGTGAAAGCAGTTGAGTACACATGTCTATATTATGGTCACTACCGCACCATCATGCCATTACCATGTGCACCTATTAAACCAGACTATCTAATTGATGCGAAATTCACATTTTTTTCTAGGTTGATGAGACCGGGTTTCCAGTAACCGAAGGATTGATGCAATTATACAACGAAGGCGTTCAGGACCGAAACTACTATATGGCCACGTTGTCCGCCGTCAGACACTGTATATCCATAGCGCAACAACTAAGACAATTACAGCCACTACAGAGATTCGGTAAGCAAAACATTTATATACATGTTATGATACAATTTTTTTTTTTTTTTATTTAAGTTCGGACGTCTGTGAATTACCAACTTGGCAATTAGTATCGGATAGCATTCGACAAATCCATAGAAATTAAATAAATTCTTAAAAAAAATAAACCAATCAATCCAGGGTCGGATAGGCACTTGGACGCGCTCCGTTTTTCTTGAAAGAATAGTCTAAAATCTTACCACCGACACAATTTCCATTTCTACTTGAAAAAAAAACTTTTACTCATAATATTACCTATTAGAGGGCCTTAATTTCGAATGGTATGAATATTACAAATAGGTGTATTGTAAGACATTGATTTGGGTACATTATTTCAATTATTCTGTGGCCCTGTAATCATCATAGCCCATGGACAATGAAGATAAGTGCGATTTTCATAATCGATACAAAATCCCCTTAAAACAAAGCCGTATACAGATTTATCATTGTTGTATTTGCACAATCATAATATGATGATAATGTGAATATTTTGGTGTAATTGATGAGTAATAATAATAATGTAAAATTAATAAGTGTGCATACACCAATTATACACGCGTTATGTTTGGTATTATAGCGGTGGTTATTATTATTTTATGATCCTTAGATTGCATAACTTCATTGTTTCGCATAACACGAATACATACTTAATGCGATATGACCAATGCTAATTATTATTTAAATTATGAGAAAATGTAATAAAACAATCATTTATTTGCGAGTTAATTATTTTCGAAAACAATGGAAACTATTTACAATAGATGGCCGATAACGACGCATGTACATTTAAATTCAATTACAAATATTCGCGATTAAATTTCATAAGAATTTCTTTTGAGTACTTACATTTATTACTTCAATTTGTTTATTAACAAAACATTTAAGTAGAAAATTGTAATGTACAAAAAATCAGTAGCTATTTTTAATGGTTTTTGTTGATTGGACGGCAAATTATGTTTTTCAATTCGCCGTTCTGAATAATTATAGTGATGAAACAAGACATAAAAAATCTCCTTTGCATAGTTCTACCGAGATCAAATAAATATATAATTATGTAAATTTACATACATAATAGGTATACTTATACATATTTTATATTTTCAGATGACGGTCAAACCTGTGATTTAGCCTACGAAATGTTCGAGTGTGTAAGTGAAAAAATTGACGAAGTAAGTTAACTGTTTTTTTTTACTACATTTATTTAACATATATAATAAGTAAAGATGATTTTAAAATAATATTTTGTTTTCTCAGAGTTGCGGAGTTGGAAAACAGCAGATCAGTCCAAGTCAGCATCTCATTTAATCTAGCGCTTATTTTATTATTGTTAAAAAAAAAACCCCACGAACTCTATCAAACTTAGGCTTTTAACAAATAGTGTACTGTATACTAGAACTAATAATTATAATTATTATTTGTTAACTCTATTGCGCAAGATTTTAATATCTCCTCGTCGAGCATTGATACGTATGTGCCTAATTACTGTGTATATTGTTTTTTTTTTATGTTGTAAAAGAAATTAGGTGTCTTATAACTTATCTGTCATGTAAATTGTAATATAGATAAAATAAATTTTATTGTTTTTGTTCCAAAACTGAACTGTAAAAAATGTCACTTGAGAAAAACTATGTAATTAAGTCAATTGGTCGCAAAAGTCCAAACATAGTTTTCAAAAAAAAAAGATGATCGAAAGATCTCTGTTCTGATATTAGATAAAACAGTTACACAATAACTTAGAAATGGCTATAGTAATTGAATAGAAAAAAATCAGCCTGATGCTAATTCATTATCAGCCATAAAATGCTCTATCCGAACAGAATGTTATCTGTTGACTGTTAGCACTAATATTTCGTTTTTTAATACAAGCAACAATGTATTTTGAACTTAAGATTTCTTAACTGAAACTAAAGATCATCCAAATATATAAACAATAGAATACCATATTATTCATGTCGTGGTATTGTATTCAAATATACATTTGACTATTTGAGTAACTCAATTGTAAATTAATATTTATTTTCTTTGTGTAGTTAATTATTTTTTTAAGCGGTTCTTTTAATTTGAATAATTTTGAGTAATTTTTAATAAAAATAAATATTTATCCATAATGGACTCATGAATATTTTTTGTTGGTGGTGGTCTTCCTCTTAAAATAATTTTAGGTATAAAGTGTAATTTGTTTGTATAGTGATCAGTAAATTAAATAAACGTTTTTTACACTAAGACAATCTCAGTGAGGTTTCATAAAATGGCGGGTTATGTTCTCAGCCCGTATTGTTCTCTGAATAAAAGAAAATTCACAATACCACTGTAGTTGAGTTATATTTTATAAACAATTCTTTTTCGTCTTCGCCCTATCCAAATCAAATTAAGTCCGCTATTTGTAAGTATTTATGATTGATAATTAAATTTGATTTCCAAAACTATCACAACGTTCAGTAAAAAGTGGTTCGGTAAAAAAAATGACAAGGTTATTTTATTGGTACATGATTGAAAATGAGAGAAAGTAACCGGAAATTGTTTTAAATAAAAAATAGTGTAAAAGAGGATTCAATATGGCCCTATAAAAACATTGAAGGTCGTATTAGCTGTTGCTTTGTAATTAGGACTCTATGCATATTTTTAACACATGTGTAATACTGAGAAATTTATTAGGATTTTTTACTACAAAGATCTATCAATTATAATATCATTATTATTTTTACATATTTACATCTACAATAGATAATAAAACTGAAATCAACAGCTTACTTTTTAATTTAGTTTACGTTATAATGTAGGTATATTATGTAATATAAACCATTGTATACATTTTTCAAATAATAAAAAGTGAATTTGGTGTTTATGATTTCCATAATATTATGTACCTATTCCCAAGAGCGCCCACAGCTCACAGGAAGGGGTAGAGGGGGGGACAACTCTCCCCTAGCTTCTTTGCAAATTAAAAAAAATGTAAATCCAATATCCCAAATTTGTAAAATCTATTAAAAAATCGTAGGCCCCCCTCCCCTGAATTTTCACCCGTGGGCGCCTTTGCCTATTCCTATAATATATTTATGTATTATGCGGTAATCTATAGACAATAATAATTATCAAAATAGAATACCTACTCATTTATTTAGTATACATTTTCATATGAAAAATTCGTTTACATTATGCACCAGACAGTCAATGTACCTATCCATTAGGAATCTATAAAGCGTATAGAAATAGTGTATAGTTTAAAACGCAAACGGATTTTGTATAATAGTATATATTTTGACAATAGCTATATAGTTTCCAGTTGGAGACTGACAACAGCGTGACTGAGTGACTGGCTACAAATTATAAAAAAAATATGATATTAATCGTGTACCTAGTACCTACCTAAAGGCTGTTCATATAATGTACAATGATATATATTGAATAACTTCTATTTTGTAATATATAATTGTAATCTCGTTGATGACCACTTGCTATATATATATATTAAAATATTGTGATCTACATCAGTTATTTTGTAATATTATATTTCTGTCTATGATACTCACTGTGATTCACTCTGTTTTGTTTTTCATTTATAAACAAATAAACCATTAACGATAACTTGGATTAATTGAGTTTCGCAACAGCACCTGATATTTCGGATTCCACGGGTGTAACAATGGATAATAAAGCGATATTTGTTTGTAAGTGTTTTTGGAATATAAAAAACCAAAATTAACAATACACCAATGGCACCTGTTGACCGTGACGTCAGCGGTATCTTCTGAACATCTTCACGGTGAGTTGGGCAAGACCTTAAGACTATCCGTAAGTTCTGCACGAGACGAAAAAAAAAACAGCCGGACACTTGTCGATTGGCGCCACTCGAGTTAAGTCAGCGTGCGAGACAACATTTTGGATAAGGTCCGTTCGGTTTCCAATACTTTGATAATATTATATCTTATGTAAGTACAATATATATTTTACTCGGTTTCGTTAGTGTAAAAAAAAAACATAGTGTGTAGTGTAGAAATTAAAAAATATTTTACAACGCTTTAAAGGGACATGACCACTTAGATAATTTTTTCACTTGACAAGGTATTTAAAAAATATATTTGAAAAACACATTTACTTAAAATTTCAAGCGATTCGAACAACACGGTAGACGACGTTATGATCATTTCAAATTTGAAAGTTTAAACGCGCTTTTCTCAAAAGAAACATTTTTTAAAAAGGGTAACCACGATACGCTTCTAACTACACGTCTACAAAGTCTCAAAATTCAATCAGTCCTTGTGTAATTAACATATTATACATTTCAAAGGGCTTTCTAAAAAATAAACATTTTTTTTTTTAACTAGTCATGACTGTTAACAACTAGTCAAACTGTCAAAACTGTCAAATGGTCGAAGAAAATCTAAAACCGTGCTCGAGCATTGTGTTGAAAATGTTTGGAATTTTATTTTGGTTTCGGTATAACAAGTAGTAGTAGAAGTACTGAAATATGTTTTAGTGAAAATACTCGAATATATAAAATAACTTTGAGTTGTTCACAAAGTATATAATTTTCGATTCTTAAATGTATTGCCTAGAACATTTTGGGTGACTGAAAGCATTTTTCCATTAGACGCCCAAATGGGAATGATGAAATAAAAATGTAACCTCCTACTTGTTGTACTCCCTGAGGGCTGCATAAAGAAATCTGTAAGATGTTTATTGGTTTCTTTGGGATAAGAGTAAGAAATGGAGATGGCGATGGATGTGAGGGATTTAAGGAGAGAGAGAGTGAGAGGGGATGAGGCCAGCCGAACTTGTTTTTGTATGAGTAAGAAGATATTGGGATATTGGAGCTGTATTATGAAGTGCTCTTTAAAGTTAGCTGTTAAAGTAATGTTTCGTAAAACAACGTCCATAAGTATAGGATAAAGCATAATTTATAATTAAATCTTAAATATCTTAAAATCAATTATATTTTGATATACTTATAAAATAGGCAATAGCTGCGTTGTTCGAGTTGTTTTACAAATCGTCTTACCGCAGTTTAGAACAGTGTGGGTGGTACACATTAATAGGCACTATTAATAACATTATGTAACCCCAATTAAAATCCGAAAAATAACAAACTATCCTTGGATCCATTTTTCCCATAGCATCTACAGCTGCGGTATGAATGAATTACAAGATGGAATATAAAACTAGTAATTAACTAGTAATTTTAAAACTCATCGATGTTGTTGTATTTCGAACATTCTGCACAGTTAAATAATAATAATAATGATAACAACAGTAGTAATAATTAACGTTTCAATATTTGATGATTTGTGTATAATATCAGATTTCAGTTTTTTGTTTTTTTTTTACACATACTTAATATAATAAAAAATCATTTAATTTATACTTAACTAGGTTAGCATAGCAATGACTTTTCCCGTCGATTTTAATTCATGACTAAATAAGTAATAACGTTATAAGTCGTGTAATAAATTAATTGTTATTTTCCATGTTATCTCGTGCGAAACGTTCACATGCGGTTTTTTTATTATACAATTTAACTCAAAGTAGTAGGTTACCCTCATGTTAAGTGACCCTGTCGCATATCTTCAAGTATACCGAGTGCAATCCTTGTTTTCGTATTTTTACAATGTTTCATTGCGTTTTAATTCTGGAATAATTTTTATAACACACAACAAATAGTTTTTCTCACTCTAAAATATCTGTATTTTTTAAGATTCATATTAAGTGGGTCAAAGGAACCAATATCCTAGCTACGCCACTAAATAAATTAGGCAATTACCGTTAAAATAAATATTTTTAGTAGATTATATTTTTATCCAAGCAAATTGCACACCGAGAGGTGCAAAAACACGATTACATGAGTTAAAATGTATTTTTGTATTGAACTATAGCCTATAGGAGTATATTATACTGATTATAAATTAACAAAGTATTAACTGTTATTAAAATATCCATCATAATTAATATGGTCATTTAATTGAGTATCATATTTTAACGTTAAAATGCAATAATTTATATAAAAAAATTTTTTTTATAAAATTGTTAGATAACAAATAAAATAGTACATACCTATGTATTATTATATATAATATCATTTGTATACTATCGGTATAGTGTTGAGTATATAGAATATAATCAAAATAAATTAAAAAAGACAGTGCGGTTTGGTAAACTGTGTCAAACGTGCATATACGTCAGTTATGTATTATATACTTATATAGAGTTATAAAAACATAATATCTCACATAAGCATGTATACAGGACACGGGTAGACCAGATATAACAACACTTATTGTTAGTGTTATTATATTGCACGATCCAGACGCAAATTGAATTTCAACGGCATAACATTGAATTGATTTAATTCAATTATAGTCGGAATTAAGGGGGAAGGGGGGGGGCTTAAGTCTTAACCAATATCCATCTAAATAATATTATCGTACCCGTCTGTTTTACAATTGAAATTTGAAAAATGCTCAGAGAGATGAGCATTGTGATACGAGAGACAATATTTTGATTTATCCGTGAATTATATTCCTGTTATTAACCTATACATTTTCATCTTAATGTGTACTCGCTTAACTATTAGTTGTAAGCAACATGATGTACTTAAAAATCACTAATAGTTATTCATATAATATATGTATATTAATCATTAGAATGGTCGACCAGTCTAATCTAAGTGGAGGGCGCATTTGTGCATTTCGCAAATCTGCTGGGCGCCGCTTACATAAATATAAAACTTGCGTTAAAAATAAATTCAAGTACAATGGTAGCGATATAGTAATAATAATAATAATAATATATTACATTACACATTATTGTAAATTTTCCAATTGGACGGTCATAATAATGTCATATCGGAAGTCATAATACAATATTATTATGTCGAACGGCGGCGGCACGTGCCATTCGCCAAACAACAATAAAACGATGAATGACCAGAAACCTGATGACATTTTTGCAAAAAAAAAAAAAAATACATCACACGCCACCCGCCGATACGCTGTTACGTGTCGCGCAAAAAAAAAATCACCTTACTCGCGACACACGGCCGGCACGCGCTATCAGTCTGTCGGTCCCAACCAATATGTTCGCCGGTACGAAAGCGAATTTTATTTTTTTCATTTATCCGCTGAATAGTTCCATATAGTTTAATCTTTATTTATAATTCGAAAACGAAAACCTTTTTTTTTTCTTCTTTTATTAGGTATACGTTATTTATTTCAGTACGATATGCCGCCTCCGTTTCTGACGTGGATGCTGTATTCGGTGGCCGTCGCGGTGTCCGCCGCTGGCCAACAGCGGCCGTCCGTGGACAAACGACAAGTGCCGGTGGACGGCGACTTCACGGACAGGACGTCCGACGGCTCGTACGGTTTTCGGTACGCGGACAGGAACCAGTTTCACGTGGCCGCCGCCAACAAAGACAACGTGGTGTCCGGAAGGTACGTAAATGAGTGTACGAGAAAAATAATTTTGAAATTTCCAATTCAAAAAGACGTCAAGCCAGCTGGAAATATTTAAGTGATTTTATTTTCATCGTTTGTTTAATAATTATAACAGAAGTGTATTAAATTTTATTCAATCGAGTCGGACCGAGTTAATCAAAAGTTGTATTAATTGCAAATGTTTTTCCTTGTAGATTTGGATCTAGAAATCCGGGCACTGGTATCATCGGTCAGACTTTGTACTCGGCCGGTCCTCGAGGTTTCCGAGCCCGGGGCCCTGACATCGCCCGACAGACGGACCTGTCGCAAGTGCGTTTGCCGTATTCGCCGCCGGTGCCCACCGACTCGTCCAAGTACGACCCGGCCTACGACCGTTACTACGACCCCAACGAGGACGCCAGTTACAGATTCACCGTCCGCACGCCCACGTTGTCCAAAGCCGAGACCGCCGACTCCAGAGGTCGCGTCCAAGGCGTTTACTCGTACGTCGACGATGTCGGTGTGTAATTTAATCGATATTCGTATACGACTATGTACTATGATAATTACCTACCGCACAAAAATCGATAAAGACAATAATATCGTGGCGTTGCCAAAAATATTTGAATTTTCTTTTTAAACGGTCGGGTCAAAAAGACGTGTAGGACAATAATATAACAGGCATTGTATCTAATAATCTCTTACGGTATTGCAGGTAAGAGACACGACGTCCAATACGAAGCTGGCGCCGGCACAGGGTTTCGCGTGAAATCGGCCCATCCTGACTCGGAACCGTTCAACGGGTTATTCTATAGCGGTCCGCCGGGCAAACCGGGCGGTCAACCGCGGGGCACCTCGTCCGTGGTGATGGGACAAGACGGCTCGTACGGGTTCACGGCATCCGGGCCGGACCAACGGCGGACGGAAGTGAGCGATTCCAACGGGCGCGTACGGGGCTCTTACACGTACGTGGACGACAAAGGCGTGCAGCGGACCGTGCAGTACGTGGCCGGTCCGGACATCGGATACCGGGTAATCAATAACGCGCCGGCGTTGCAATTACCGCTTCCCGTACCGGTAACGTCGATATTGCCGCCTTCGTTGTTGGTGACGTCCACGCTTTCGCCGTCCGACTTCGAGCATGACCTGTTCGGGCCCGTGGCCAGCAGTACGGTCGCCCCACCGCCGTTGCAGGCCCCGCGCAGGGACACGGCGAATGACAACGACAACAATAAAAATATCAACGACGACAACGACGACGGCGACAAAAGAGGAGGAACCAATTTTCTGTCATCCGACAGCTCTCTGCCGTTGGGTTCGGCGTTCCCGGAGGACGATCCCCGGATACCGGCCAAAAAGTGGCCGTCCACGTACAAAAACAAAGAAGAAGAATCATTTTTCCAGTCTTTTGACAAATTCTACAAGCGCAAGGAAGACGGCCAGAAATCGCTGTTCGGCGTCCCGGAAACGCCGTACGGTCAATCGAGGCCGATCGTTGTCGACCAGATCAAATACGGCGAGTACGGCGGCACCGACTATCAAAAACACCACCACAAGGATCAGGTGGAATACGGGAACGAAGACAGCAACTTCATCGGGTTCCCTGCCGGTACCGTCGTCAAAGGGTACGTCCAGAACTTGGACATACTGCCATTCGGATACAGAGTGCCATCGCCTTCGTTTGTTTTTGAAAAACAATTTGGTACCGGCGACGGTTACCATAATTCAATTAAAAAATAAAAATATTGACGGAAGCGAGTAATTGACCTGCTGAGTTCCTGTATACCATATTTTTAACATACTACTCATTTTCATTTTCTAGTTTTTACTAACGCTCGCTTAAATACTACTTGTAATTTTTAAAACGTATTTTGTATTGCTTGGCGAACCATAAACTAAAAACGTGTATACTTAAGTATAAATCAAAATTAGATTAAGGTATAGTAATAACTAATAAAATGTGTTTGAGAAGGCCGACGTGCAGTTTAATTACCATTATATTATATTTAATTTGTCCAATGTTAATCATTTGAATAACAAACATTGGCAATATTATGACATAAGACCGCTTTGATTCTCTGATTCTATGTATCTAAAATCTAAATGTCTACTTCTAATTTCTAAGGTTATACTATAATATACATTATTTTATATTCGATTTCAGTTAATTAAACGTTGCCGTAATTAACAGTTATTGCTCTTAGACTTATTCGTGTGGTTTATTGACGAGACACCGTGACGCCATTTCATTCTTCTATTTTGAAACCAAACCTTCACCTGAAAAGAAAAAACAATTACAGCGTTTAACGATATACAAAACAGCTACGAGCAAATAATAAATTTATTTTTGATCTAAGTCGACTATTTTAAAGCACAAACCTGAGAATCGGCAAGTCCCAATGCAGAAGCTAATTCATTTCTATTGGCTTTGGTTATATATTTTTCCATTTGAAAATAATATTCCAGCCAATCTTTTTGCTCGGCTGTAAAGACAGCTCTACCGCATCTTTTTTTTTCTGTGTTGAAAAAAAACAAAATTTGTCATTAGACATTTTTTTTAAAATTGAAGATAAAAAAAAAAAATAAACGAAGATAACTTCGTTTAAAAAATGTTTTGTTCGTATGCATGATATTTCTAGAGCTTCTGGAGCATAGGCGGAGATTGGGTCATTTTAGGGGAAAAAACGCTAGCCCCCCAAAAAATTAATCAAACCTCCGCTTATGTTCTGGAGTAAAGTTTATATAACACAGGCACAGTCGATCAGTCAAATATTTAGCTTCATCATTTTTAAACGGCCATTAAATGTCAATAATTTACAAATAATGAAACATCATAACTTTGTGGATAGAGGTCGACTCAATCAATTAATAAAAAAAATAAATAATGAATATAATATAATTGTTAAGAAACAAATCTGTATATTTTCAAGTATTGCAGGCAATTATGAGATTTAGGTAAATAAATGTAAATACTAAGTATACCAGGTCAAGATATTTAAACAAACTATTTGTCTATTTACAAAGACTTTTAAGTAATTTATAAAAAAAATAATGTCGTAGAAGATTTGGAAAGAAAATAACATTGACTACCTAAAAAATATTCAAACTATGTAACTAGGTGGTACTCACGTTGTTGTTCATAATTTGCCAGTATTCTGTCGATACCGAAATTTAGAGTCCCCGCCGAGTGGCTTAGCTGATGGCTGTCCATTGTTGAACTGATTTTAATAAAAGAATTGTTTTTTTCCCCTATAACTCGTTAAAATTTCTCTACGCTATTGTAGTAGGGGAAGATAATAAATGTTAAATAGTCTTGGCAGTAGCCAGTATTATTATCTCAAATATTGAAACGCTCAGTGTTTACGAACGCTGTGGTTTAATATTGTTTACAGCACTAATACAATAGGTAGGTATAGTTATTCTGTTCATAAAAAATGCATACTTTTTGTACTTAAACAACATTTGGTCACAGCTGTTACAATCCAAATAAATTCGTATTGGTCTGTTTAGACACTTATTGAAATAAACATTTTCAAACAATCTATTTTTACATTCAACGTCGACGTGTTATTTTTATTTTACCGCACTACTTAATCGTTTTTCTCACACTACATTGGTTTTTCGTTTTTATTATATTTAATTTAGTCCATCCCGTGTGACATGAACGAGATGCCGTCGAACTTCGGCTGCAGGTAGTTAAGTGTTACCAGAAATGGATTTTTTTTTTTGGGGGGGGGGCACTAGTTAAGACCTAAGGGATAATATATACTTTACAATAGTGTATAATTTGCGTGCTCACTCACACGTATAAAATAAAAATATTTTTCAAGAGGGGCACACGCCCCCCTGGCTACTTCACTGTCCGGATAAATGTGTTCCCTTGCGAATTCACAAAAAATAGCATGTTTTAGGGGCTAACTATTGTTTCGAAAATATAGCCATATAGGTAATAAGTACCGACTTTAAGGTCTGTACACATCAAGAATGTAAAACTCGTGTCACTCGTGTATGCTTAATTATATATTTTAATATAATAAGTCGTCAACATATTACACGGTAGGTAATTGGAACATTATAAGTGTGTAGTGTACTACAATCTGTAATGTAGTGTGTTATCCTATTTGGTATTTGGATTGACACACAAATCTCCGTCATTCAGTGCGAAACGTCATTAAGTCTTGTAATTATCCGCTATAAAAACGAACACCACACACACTGACTAGATAAACTTTTAGTATCATTTTTCAGTTGGGCTCACGTCAACCCGCTCAGACTGCTTAAGAGCACACGCAATAATCAAATAAGTAGTATTTAAATAAATAATAATCAAAATGATCGTAATCGGTATAATGGCGTCGTTAGTCTGTCAAATGAACGGCCAACATTTAGCTCGCCAAGACCGAGAAGCTGTGGATTTGGAAGCAATGCCGTTGAATAAACTATTGGAAATGAAGAAAGCGCTTAAGCCAACGGGTAAACACAATAAATAATAATTTATTATTTTTCGTCATAATAATATTATGTTCGAGTCACTATTACCTACTGTGTTAATAAAAGTACACAAAAGTTTAGATGTTTAGAAAATTTGCTTAGGTAACCCAATTTAAATTACTTATTTTTCACCTATCTATGAACAATAAATTACCCTAGTATTTTTTGTTTATTGTGACAAATAATGTTATTCGCGAATAAGAAATTATCCATTAATTATTGTCTTGTTTAAATTTTGCCCAACTCCGGACTTTTAAAATCTATCTGTTCCGATAAAGTTCGAACATTCGAGTCAAAAATATATTGTTTTAAACTTTTTTTGTGTGCAAAACGATTGTTCTATAGCTAATTCAGTAAAACACAAATTTATTTTAATTACACTACAATAATGAATTTTGCCGGGATCATTATCCGAACCCCTATGGTATAAATTTAACTGTTAACTGTTTTTTTCGGTTTTACAATGAAGTGTTTTATTTTGTGACTGAAAAAACCACAGCTTTTTATTTTAAAATAAAGTTACTGAATTTAAATCGATTTTCCTTAATTATTACTAACTATTACTATTGCTTGGTTAACACTGTAAGTTTTTCAGATTTCCCCTCAAGCCGAACGGAAGAGCCCGTCGAACAGAGTACACGTTTGCCCAACGCTTTAGCTCTGCGACGAACAGACTTTTTAGAATCGACTGCTGGCAGTTCAGTGCAAACGGCATTTCAGATGTCGTTGACTGTGCTGTCTTTCTTGGCGTTCGGCGGCTACGTGATCAGCTTGATCGCTCAGAATATGCGCAAGCCCACTCAATTAGACGGTATGACGGCCCCTCAAACTCTGAACAAAGTGGTGGTAAATCAAAACAGGCGACCATTCAGACCCTCTGCTACCACAGCTGTCGGTTTTGGCCGGCGCAAACGGAGTCGGAGATACACTTGAACCGATGTCGTACACTTGTTGAAATTCAAAACCCTAAAGTGATTAAATTATTACAAAATTGTTATCCTAATTGCAAATACTAATAATTAATTTCACGTTAACACATAAATCCATATAAAATTGCACTCTCTGCATTTTTTGATTTCATATTTTGACAAACCAAATTTACTTTCTAAATTATAACCCCTTTAGTACCTACATCTTGAGCACGTACGCCCATTACCTTTTCATGAGCGAACAGATTCAACATGAACTCGACGGGTTTTATATGGTATCTCGGCCGCACTTTTTTTTCCAACGAAAAACCTCAAACGACCACGAAAGGCGAGTGAATAATGGCTATTCAAATTAATGTTCGTGGGGCTAAGCTCTTTCTAGTTTTTGCCTAAGCGACGATAAAAGTAGTGCCTCTCCATATGCGAAAATAAATAGAGGATCTGGAGACTAAATCCCCTTAAATATATCAGTAACAATTAAATTAATGTCAACCATGTCTTGTGCACTGTGGTTCACGCTTAACAGAATAAAAATGTTTTTTTTTATATACATTCTCGGAATTTAAAAAAAAATCAAATTGAAAGTATTAAATTGTGTAGATATTTGATAAGAGAATCGTTTTAGACGATACAGCGTAAACAGATATCAAGAATTGACGAAAACAAAAAATTCAACTGAAGTTTTAATCCTAACAACTTTGTTGGGGTACAGAATAAAAAAATAGTGCGACTATAAAAATAATTTTGTTGTCTTTAATTTTATGAGTTAACTGTTTAATACCTAAACCCATTAATGTTCTAAATTTCAAGTATATTAAAAAAATGTATTTGGTGTAATATGGTAAATATTTGAATACAACTTATTTTGTATATTAAAAAGAAGCATTAGGCACTTTATTATAACTAAATCTTAAACTATACTCTAAATTTTAAATTTATAAGTTTAACAGATTTGTGGGAAAATATATATTGAGATATATTTGCCCCTTCATTAAAGCCTAAATATGCTAACTTGGTAAAAATGTATACTTTCCTAATTTTTGGCTAGTATCATTTTCACAGACAACTGAGAAGAAAACACAAGACGCCCTCATAGACGTAGAAGTAGGTATCCCGCGAGGAGTAGAATATATAATATATAAATTTGTCTAGAATCCGTCTCATGATGGCAACCTTGGGCCTTCAAGGGCCAAGGCCCGTTAAGCTACATCATGATGATGATGATGATATAAATATAAATAAAAACAATACTTGGTAACAATTCACAAACATTTTTTAAAACTCAATTTTACAATACAATCTACGCTATATTTATTATACTGTCATTTTTTTTATGTATTATCTATTAAATTACTCTCACTTCACATAATTAGGTTTATATGTAATTTAGCCCATTATCAGACTTAAAATACTTTTGAGCATTACCTACCTACCTATTTGAATTATTATACATTATCTAAATTGGAATGAATAAATTGTAAATTATATTTATACAAAACAAAAACGTTAGGAGTTTCATGAGATAAAAGATCACTTTTTCCTTTAGATCAACATATATTCTTATAAAAATAAATATTGTAAATCTTAAAATAAGACTGTCTTATTGCACTAAACCTTAGAACGATATAATATTAAGATTGAATAATGATATATTACTTAACATAGTTCATATAGTTATCTTACTTAGTTATAATAATTTGATTTTAACTTAATTTTAATGTCATATTATTATCATCATATATATAAGTAATAATAAGTAATTAGGAAAACCAAAACATTCATTCAAATAAATATAATACAAATAATCGGTTGCGTTAACAGTCATAATCAAATCATATGTGATAAATAAAAAAAAAAGACTAACTAAAAATTTAATTTACGTCAATAAATAGAGTTTTAGGCAAACAAATCCAAAACATGGCACTGTCAGTTGATGATTATCATTTACTAGATAATTAAATCATCCCTATGATAGAGCACTTGTAAAAATATTAAAGACTCATCATCCATTTTAAAATGGTCTATCTTTCCTTTAATTTAAATTGTGAATATTACCCTTCACCGATTGCTTAATTAACAACCTAATTAGTCACCATTTGTAACACAAAAACTTCAGTTAGACTTCAATATTCATATCAGAACGTAATCCACGATTTTTTAATTTCTCTTCAGCTTTTAATACAGGTTCTTCAGTTCTTGTATGCCAAACATACACCTAAAATGTAATGTTACATTATGAATAAACTCTAATCCAATTAAACTATACACACCTTTGTACAATTGTCTGCAAGAGGTTCTAATTGTTCTAAAGTGACCACTTGTGATAATATAGCACTTTCCTGAAAGCCACGACTTACTGTCCATGAAAATGCCGCATTTGGATGCTTACGCAAAACATTCAAATTAATGGCAAAGCCTGCCATGTCAACTGGAAACGGTCGTTCTGGTCTCCACGCACTATTCCATCCTATCACTTTACCGTTTATATCTGTTAATGGCTTTTCGACTAAAAGGCCTCCAACTAAACCAACGGGCCAAACCCCAACACCTTTGACAACACGTATCTACAAGTAAAATATAATAAAATACATTATTAAAAAAAAATATATTTTGCTATTTAGCTATTACTTCATCAAACAAATCAACACTATATGTATTGTCGTCATCGGCAAAGTAAACAATTCCATCATGTTCTTTTCTAGCTCTCTCTGTTCTTAACCATTCTAAGGCAATATTTCTTTGTTTAACACCTCTAGGTTTTTTCCATTTTGGTTCCTGAGACAATAAAATAATCAACCATAAGAAGATCATAAACACTCGACTTAATAATCAAATTGATTAGTTTTTCTTTATAAATTACCTTAAGCTGTCTCTTCCATTCAGCTGGTGTTGCTATAGATAAGTGTGTATAATTTAAGTGACTTTTTAAAAGCAAATTAGCTACAAGTGTCGACTTTGATTCAGCATCTTCAACAACAATCCAATGAAAATTGTTCACAAGACGAAATGTATTGGATAGCCTTAAACAATAAATAAAAAATTAAAAAATCATACATTTTCCTTAAAAATTGCAATTTATTTACCTAGTTAATTCGGCTCTTTGAACAGGTCTTTTATAAGTGGGTGTAATAGCATAAACTATAGGTTCATTTGGTTTCCATTTATCACAAATACTTTCAAATCTTTCTTTTAAAACATTATAACTATCAGTTTGAATTTTTAACTGAAAAAAATATATTAAGTTTCACTTATTTAATTGAAGCAATAATTATATTAAATAATTAATGAAAGACTTCTTAAATATACAATTAAAAAATTACTAACCTGATGCCTTGTTTGTTTTAAAGCTTCATTTAAAGCTTGATATTGTGCTGCATCTAAATAGCATTTTTATCATTAAAATATGAATTTTTAAAAATTAATTTTGATAAGTATGTCATAAATTATTTGATTTACCTCTTTTTTTAATATTTACCAACCAAATAATAATAATGAAAATAATTCCAAGGTATAGAATTGTTCTTTTCTTGTTAAGCATTTCTAATAATTTATAATTTGAAAACGTATTAGTCATAATAACCAATGGGAGTATAGTAATTTTAAATTTAAAATATTTTTATTTTCTTTAAATAATTTAATTAAACCAATCATTTTCCTCAAAAATAGAGCATCATCTTTATGACTTTATTTAATATACCAAGTGTAAATGAACTATTAACTATACTAACGATGTCTTAAAATAAAGTGTTTACAACAAATTTAATAACAAGAAACATAATATACAATTAAAATAAACAAATTAATCGTAATTTTAGTTTTTTAAATTTTAATTCATTTTTTAAGTTATGGGTATATTTCAGTAATGAAGGGTGTTTACGTTGCAGCTTGCAACTTGCCAATATTGATAACAATATTGATATACGATAAGAACAGTTATCACTTATCAGCATAATATACTACCGAGTGGTGACTGGTGAATCCAGATGTAATGCGGGTAGGTGGTGTAGTCACGGCTATCTTACTCATAAACGTATATATAACTATCTAGGAATTCGAATGCGCATGCGTCATACAGTGCAGCAATATCTAAACAGTGACCTCACGTCAGTACACTGGAACTACACAAGTAATACTCTGATATTACATTATAGAAGATAATACAATTTTCTGTGGCAGTGGTTAGCTGATAGGTACGATAAGTGATAACAAGTTCTTTGCAGTCAAAAATACATTTCCATTTTCCATGTATTTCCATGTATAGATAAAAATATATAAGTATAATATTTATTCACAGTTCACTATCAGCGCATCAATCGTTAATCATTCATTTTCATTATGTACATTGTTGTCTCACTGTTCGCAACTCGTATTTAATACTCAATTTAATTAAGAACGTTTGGATTTTTGCATTTGGTTTTTGATTTTAGTATCGAAACTACTTTAGTTCATTAGTGTAATACAGTCTAGTAGTTTAAAGTATTTCAATTATTATAATCATTTCCAAAAGTGATTAGTCTATTCCATCCTTACAGAAACATTAAGTCACCATGCATTAATAGGTAGGTAAATATATTTTACTTACTTACATTAGATATTTGTTTAGATAAAGTATTATATTTGGTAATAGTTTTTGTATCTATTAGGTTTTCGAAAAGGTAGTTTTAGTTTTCAGAATAGAAACGAGGGTAAAAGGCGTTTTATTAACTTATTGTACCAGAGTGTTCTATTTATTATCTATTCTAAACAATAACAATAGTTTCACTGTAATTATATTAATATGAAATTAGATTTACGAGCTAATTACTTCACTTGTATAAATCGGGACTTGTAAACTTTTAATAACATAATTTTATTAATATCATAGGGTAGGCTTTTCTCATTTGTTTTTGTTATTGAAATATGAAAATGTTTACAACAAGTTTAAAATGGAAAAAGCGAGTTATGATATTCTGTTTAAGCCTTGGAAATAATGCTACATGTCTAGCTATTAATTCATGTTATAATTGTGTATGTTTTGCAAGCATTAAACTATTACATTATTTTACCAAATGCTCCAAGCATATCATTATTAAATTACAAATAGATTGTTATTACAACAATATAGTGACTATAGTTACGAGGTCAAGGACATTATACTCTTTATTTATAAAGAAGTTAGGTAATTTTTGGCGAAATCTTAATTGAAAGACTAAACTGTAATGTGTAATTTTTAGTTCAGTATTTTTGCTCTAAAATCATCTTGAAGCGAGTAAAACAAATTCGGCTATGTTATGTTTTAACACTAGAAAATTGGACCTCTAAATAGTAATTATTGTTGTAAGTAATAGTTTGTGACTGCAAATTTCGGTACCGAGGCCTTTAACATTAACCAGTAGGCAATGGCATAATTTGCTTAACATTGCCAGAATAGTAAAATATTATCATCACCACAGGGCTTAGATACACCACATCTTTACAATAACGTATATACTTTTAAAGATCTCTGAGGAGAGAGATTAATGCTTGTTTTACAAACAATATTTTTTGTTTAGAAGTCTGTGTTTAACCCAATCATACAAACAACTAGATAGCTAATTGTGACACCGCCTGTTGGTCTTCGAATGTTGCTAAACATGAGGTTAGAATTTTAGCTCATCCAGTCCATCGATAAAGCTTTGCACAATTAACATTCTAACAACAATTTAGCAAAATATTAAATGTATCAATGTTTACTGGGTATCTTTTAGTCTGTATGCATATCTAGATGGGGAGATTTGTAGATTTTTAAAAACTAAGAAACAGGTTGGAATAATTATTATTTACTATATTTTTGTAAATATAAATTGACATGAATATTTTCTATCGCTGGGGGTCTTTCTAAAAATTTGTCCAAAACGTAACAATCAACAACGAAATCGCTGTTAGGAAAACGGTTTATTTTACTTTTTTGGGTTGTGTGTAAGACATATACATGTGCCGATGTATCCGTGTATACTTATGATTTTGTTCATTAATTATCAACTATTATTACCATTTGATACTTTCCGTATTGTATTTTGTAGTAATATACCAGAAAATAAGTACAAATTAAAAATTATAACTGTTTATGATAATTATTTATCAGGCAATTTTTGTCTGTATGTTCGCTTATACTTTTTGTACAAAATGCATTAATGGACTCATATTTCACACAATTTATTATTTTTATTTCTTTAAAAAAACATTGTTGTGCGAACTATGATAATTGTTACAATTTGTACATAATCATTATTTAAAATCCAAAAATGTTTTAATAAGTTAATCATTCTCTTTATGACGATCTCTAAGAATTTAAAAAATATATAGCATTTGTAGGAATAATAAATATTATAAAGTAGAAGTACTACTTATTAGTAGTAAGCTAATTAATAATGCACAAATAATCGTAAAAAATAAAAAATATTATATTATTAAATTAATTCATATACAACATAGCACAATTCTTCACCTTTCATGTAGTCTCTTACAATTATATATATAATTTTTTCAGTGGTTAAAAGCTGATTGCGGTGTTGCATAATATCCCATCTATATTTTTCAATTAAACACGAGTATTTTCCTATATTCAAAGTTTGACATTGATATAGTTGTGTAACAAATACAGTTTCTAATGTAAATGTTATCACATTATAATACATTAAAGCTTGTTAAATATATTGATATTTTAAATAAAAAAGTACAATTTTAAAGAATAATAATTACATAAATACCAACTAATTTTTTGTGCTCAAGGCCACACAAATAAGCATTATTAATATCCTATTAAATTATTGATAATTAATAATTATACTATTTTTGGAAATTGTCAGGAAAAATATAGTTCCAATTATCTATGTAAATGTTTCTATTAATTCAGAAAGAATCTAATAATAATGACTTGTACAAGTTATTATTTTAAACAGAGTCTATTCACGGAGTAATGGTAATTTTTCATGTAATACACATGTCGTTTTGGCATCAAAATCAATAATTGGCTCCTGACACTTGTTATCGCTTTGAATTATATCACAAGCTCTAAACAATACTTGCTTAGGATCTTTCAGTATATGTTTTTTACAAAATTTACTTTTTGGTAACATTTTTCCAGTGCATTTAATACCCATTTCTACAAAAGTACAATGTGAATGATGTGCTTTCCCTTTATTACCCAATAAGGCAGTTGCTCTAATTTTTCTATCCATAGCGGTTTTAAAAACCACTGCTTCTTGACCAACTGTCATTTTTTGATAATGTTCCAAAAGTTTTAGTTTTCGAAGATTTGAATACTCTTGTTCATTAGACCATTTTAATTTACCTATCATTCCAAATGTCTCCAGGTCACGTTTTTTATTTAACAGATATTCTCGCCTTTTAACACGATATTTGAACAGTAAATATCTGAAAAACATAGTTTTAAATAAAACATTGATTTATACATATTACGATTGACATTCATACCTGTATTCTTGGGCATATAACAGTTGTAGTTTTATGAATTTATTTCGCACTCTACGTACAGCTTCTTTCTCAGATAATGTTGGCATATTGCATAGAGAGTCCGATTTTGTCAAATCTACATCTTCTAATGGTGGAATTTGCTTAATAAAATCTATTGTTACATTTTTTGTTTGTTCTTCTTCGTCCAATGGTTTAGCGTCTTCTAAATTTTGCTTGTATCGTTCTTTAAGTAGTTTTTTAGAGTCAATCTCGTTAAATGGATTCAAACTCTTGTATTTGGTTGCATAGTGACCAAATTCTTTTTTCAAATCTATTTGCTTTTTCCCTTCCATTTCTGTACACAACAACGTTATAAGACAAAAGTTGTATTATAGTAATTATTAATAACTACATCAATAGTATAGTTGAATTTTAATTTTAATAAGCTGAGAAAATATAAGAAATCAGTTGTCTCAAACGTTGGGCAGTGGGTACCGCAGTAGAAATTAACCACGAAAGCGGAGCGGACAGCGGCGTTCGTGTAAGACAAAAGGATTTTAAACTACTGTTATAACTAACATAATTTGTATACCTATATTAATTACTGCTTAAATTTAAACTGTTGGCTGTGTATTGAACGTTGACGCGCAGAAGGTAGTTGATGGTTGATTATAACTTTTTAATTATTGATAGCGTTTACTGTTTTGTCGCGGTAGCAGCATGTTGTAACCTGCATAACATGATACATACATAATATAACCGTAGTCCGTATAAAACAGTACTGCAGTAGTGGTATAATATTATAATATGGTATCCAGTCGATTGGTGACACCCGCCCCAGACCCTACCCTATTAGTACGCATGCGCCTACTCATATGATTTAACAGCTGTTGAATCAATCCCGTTCTTCCATTGTCTTTCTTGACGACGTCGGACTGTTTTGGCTTTTGGGTAGCAGTGGAGTGTTCAGTGTTGTGTTGTTTGCTGTTAGTAGTCCGTAGTCCGTATATGAAAAGTTGATAAAATGGCAATTCGTATCAGCCAACAATATGTGAATAAACGTTTCATAAAGAATGATGATCCTCGCGAACTATAAAAAGACTATTCTATAACAAATATATTCCCCATTACACTAACTTCCGGTTTTTTGGTGAGTCTCGTCCTAAGAAGAAAAGTTAATTTGTGTACACCTAATTAGGTGCTGATTATGTTATTATTGAATTTCTACTAATTAAAGTTAATGCATACATTTATGATCCATTTTTACTTATTATTCAATTTTCGAATGAAATGTTATCCGTTTAGGTATCTACCTAGTTGTTGTAAAAACGTGTAATAATTTACAGCTTAATCGTGGTTGATGAATTCATTATTTTTTTCTTACAGGGATATTTTATTTGATTGTGGCATGATTAAATTGCTTGGAGGTGACGTCTATGGCCGAACAAGCTAGTTCCGCGTTTGGTAACGCGTCTTCTATCAGTACCAGGTTTAAGAGAAGAAATAATATAAATTGATAAGCTAATATTAAATAAATTAATATATTTCTGTCATTAGGAGGGGAAATTTAGAAGGAAATTCTAGATCAAGAATTGGTAGTCGCAAAGGTAACAAGAAAAATACAAATATTCCAGAAGCAGAACATTCTGTTCCGATCACAGAAAATACAGAAAAAATGTAAGTGTGTTTTTGATAAAACAAAATATAACCATTAAGTAAAAAATATTAATAAATTAATTATTAATTTTTTTTAACTATTTAATTTTTAAAGTAGCTTCTTAACAAGATTCAAAACAAACTATTACCAACAAATGTTAATGTCTTATTTTTTATAGTCATTAGTAATGACCCATTACTAAAATTAATAGTGTTACTATCACTGTTATTTGAGAATAATTTATTATTGTTTTAAAGGTAGTAACCAAATTACTATATGGTATTTATTTAATTATTCATAGTGTATGAACCATTCATAACAACTCTCCCTTCTAATAGACACCATTCTAATCGAGTGTAAATAAATAATGTTAATTATAATAAATTAAAAATTTAATGGGATTAATATTGTTTTAGCCCTGTGGATGAATCTGCTGTTCCTGTTCAAAATAATCGTAAAAGTAAATCAAGTACCAGAAATAATCGAACAAGTCAACAGGAACTGATAACTGTAAGTTCTTTCTTGATTTCTTTTATACCTATTTAATTTAGCATTGTTTATTAATTTTTTTAATTAATTGAACGTTTTTTATGTAAATGTATCATTTTGGAAGTAAACAATTTTGTCATTAATTATTATTTGTTTTTAAGCTAATTAAATTTTAAATCAGACTTATTGAATAGTTATCTAATAAATTTGTTTTTATATTTTTAGCAAAAAGAACCTAGTTCAAGTAGGAAGTCTACATCGGTAAAGTCGCCTAATTCAAGTGAGTACATGCAAACATTTTTTTGTTTCAAAAAAAAAATATATATATATAAGTAATATTTACATTAATATTCTTGTTGGTCATTATAAAATTCAACTAGTCATTGAAACTAAAATAAGTACTATACTAGGATATTATTATTTTTTACACATTTTGTGTTTGTATTTATATTTTTGCATAAACTCAAAACGTGGTATAGTTAGGTAATTAGGAGAAAAAGTAAAATGCATTCATGACTTATAATTGACCTTAAAAAAAATTCCTTATAATGTGGTTTGCTTAATATAATTTAAAAATAATTATTGCTTTTCATTATAATTATAAAAATAATAAAATAAAATAGACTATTTCAGTATTTTGTTTTAAACATTTTTTAAATTTAAATTTGACAAATTTTTAAACAATACATAATTTGCTGCAATGTATATATATATTTTTTTTTTTTGCATATTTTATTTAATCATGAATGCATTTTTTCTGTGTCTTAATTATAATACTTAAAAAAAAATTATTTTTTGACTAAAAATTGAAATCCTCACAGAATGTATTAAACATGCAATGTAATGTTTTTTTTTTTAAGAAAAACATTGTTTAACTACATAAAGACTAGGTTGCAAAGTTTTAATGTAGCAATAGATTTTTTAAAAATGTTCTTAACAGATCGGATTAATTATTATGTTATAGATAAAAGAGATCTTGGTGTAAACAGTTTTAAGGATTTAGATTTATCATTGCCAAATCAATCTTCTCAATTTTCTTTTCATCAAACCAGATATAGAGCTACACGTAAAAGGTAGATTTAAAATTATTTTGCTAAATAATGAAAATATATTTTTCCGATAAATTTTGCTTTTTATTTATTTTTTAGTCGTTCTTCTTTACCTGCTGCTGTAGGAAAATCATTGGACTCAGAAGGTACTAAAATTTTAAAAAATACTCCTTTAAAAACTGGTAATATTAAAGTTTCTAAATATTAAGCATTTTTAAGGTACTAAAATAAGTGTTTCATCATTTTTTTTTTATAAAAATGGTACATCAGTTTTGACTAACGTACTGTACGTTTTTAATATTAATCTTTCTTATCACAGTAGGTGTGCAAATTAGGTTTATTTAGTTGTATTATTCAAGAAATAATGCTTGGTTTATTATGCTTACACAAATGTATAATATTACTTTGTTTCCCCATTATACAATATGATAACAGTGTTGTCACACTAACAAGTAAACCTACAATTTATACACTTTCTCCTATGATTTCATGCATTTGAAATTATATGAATTAAATCCTTGCTCCTCAAGTAATTTAAAGGTTCTCTTTATTGTACTCATCTATCTATCTATAAAACATTAAAAAAAAAAAAGATTAATTTTGTTTACATTTATAAGTATACCTTCTCAATTCTTATACAATGTTATACTTCTAAAAATATATACTTTTATTTTAAAGTTAGATACGTAAATTTATTTAACTTATAGATAACAACTGTAATTTGATTAGTATAATTGACTAAGTGTGTATTATTAGGTAACCAGAAAGAAAGACCTTCTGAAAATAGATATCCGCTACGTAGCAAGTCAAAAGTGTCTGTTCAAACTGAAGATACTTCTAACGATAGTCCTGCTCAAGAAACTGAGCCTTCGCCTAACAAACGTCTGAAATTAGAACTTCCTACGCTGGGTAATACATTTTTTTAAAATTTATATGTATTTTATAATAACTAATTTACTTTAACTATTTCTTGTAGGTGCATCTTCAAGTCAACGTAAGACTAGAGAGGAAAGTACATTACGCACGTCTTTACCGTTGCGTAGAAAACGCGGAAGACCAACAACGGGGTCTTGTGCTAGCAATAGGTAATATATAATTACAATTAAAAAAAAAAAATTCAGACATTTTTTGTTAATATCTTATAGACATTAAATCATTTAAATATTAATATGTTTTTAATGTTTATTTTTGTAAGTCTCGTATATTTTTTTAAATATATTTGAGATAACTTAAAAAAATTGTATTTTAAGTTTCCTTTATTTTATTTTAATAAGTTTAATTAATATTAACTGGCTCTACAATTTGGAATACTTAATATCTTTTAATTTTATTACTTTTTTTCTTTCTCCGTCATAGTATCATGTAGTAAATAATAATTATACATTTTTTGCCAGCTCAATTAATCTTATATTTATTTCAGTCGCCGCGGTAATACCAAAGCGAGTGGAAGAGAGGCAACGGAAGTGGCAATGGAAGGAGTGGTTGAAGGGGATGGTATAGCAGAAGGCAATGATAATCTGAATTTGATTCCATCTACATCTAGTTCAGTTAATACCAATACACAAGATATAGCAACTTCTTCTACCACCCCATCAAACACTAATCCATCATCTTCTGGCACACAATCTGGAGGTGGGTGGTCACACTGCTCATTCATTTTTATTATTTAATTAAAATTGTTAGAATGTTTTTTCAACTATTTACTTGATTATTAAAGGGCCATCAGCTTGGAGTAGCAATGCAAGTCATGACAGTGAAGAGGAAGGTGAAGTTGGCCGTTTACAAGCTTTATTAGAATCTAGAGGTTTACCACCGCATTTATTTGGTGCTCTAGCTCCTCGTATGCATCATTTATTTAACCGTTCGATGGGTGCTGCATCTACAAGTATATATAATTATTTACTTTTAAGAATTAATTGTAATAATAATAACAAATTTAACAATCATTTAGCTTCAAAAGCTCAACAGTTGTTGCAAGGCATGCAAGCAACAGGGGATGAAGGACAACAGCTCCAAGCGGTTATTGAAATGTGTCAAATGTTAGTGATGGGAAATGAAGATACTTTAACAGGATTCCCTGTAAAACCAGTAGTCTCGGCATTAATTGTTTTACTGTCAATGGAACATAATTTTGATATGGTAAATAAAAAAAAATTGGTTATTACCTTGATGAAAAGAGTTCATTTCTCTTACTATTAATTATGTTTTTTTATTTTGATTCATTAGACTTGTTTACAAAAATTATCTTGACATTTTTCACAGTAGTATCTTTTTAAATTGATCTTCTGAATTTTGACTCGAGTATTTTACAAATTACAACTTTTATTGGAACTTACACATTGTAATTATTTTATTAATACAAGATAGTTCAAATGATAAATAATAAAACTTAACCAGCTCTGTATAATAGTTATACATGTATTTTGTCATATAAAAAAAATAAAAAATTGGTAATTAATTATGGATGGAGAATTTTTTTTAATGCATGTTATTGAGAAAATTGCGGAAGGCGACGGGAAACCACCGCACCATAACCACTTCCCTAGGATGGCAACTCTTGTCTCTATTAGAGCAAAGAGTTATCTAAACCAACCTGTTAGGTTGTAGACTAAAAAAAAAAAAAAAATTAGTCACTATATAAGAAAATGTAAAAAATAAAAAAAATGAATTGCCTGGGTCTTGTCGATGAATTGTTCCGTATAAAATAATTATTTTTTATACTCATTCAGTATATTTTGTTTTAATGCACAGAATGTGTATACTATTATTCCATAAATTTCTATTCATATGTATGTTGTTAGATGAATCATGCTTGTCGTGCATTAACCTACATGATGGAAGCCCTACCCCGTTCGTCAGCCGCTGTTCTTGATGCTGTTCCGGCCATGCTGGATAAATTACAAGCAATTCAATGTATGGATGTAGCAGAACAATCTCTTTCTGCTTTAGAAATGCTTTCAAGGAGACATGGTCGGTCCATACTACAATCTGTAAGTATTTGATAAGAATGTGCTAAATATTTAAATTTATAATATTTTTATTTATTTAAAAATAAAATTTATGTGGTGAATGTTTTCTTTATTGGGTGTTTTATTTTTAATTGTTTATTATATATTTTTAGAGTGGTGTAGCTGCTTGTTTAACATACATAGATTTCTTTAGTATAAATGCTCAACGAGCTGCTCTTGCCATCACTGCAAATTGTTGTCAAAATATGAATGCAGATGAATTTCACTATGTTGCTAAATCATTACCGTTACTTTCAAGTCGAGTCACTCAACAAGATAAAAAAAGTGTTGAAAGTGTTTGTTTAGCGTTTAGTCGCCTAGTCGACAACTTTCAGTCTGATCCTAGTAAACTAAAAGAAATCGCTTGTGACGAACTATTAACTAATCTTCAACAATTGGTAAATAATAAACACTATAAAATATTTTGTAATATATTAGATAATGGTAATATATTCTATTTTAAATATATTAGGTTGTATCTTCTCCGCCAATTATGAGCTCAAGTACATTCATTATGGTATTAAGAATGATGTCTATGCTGTGTACAAACTGTCCAGAGTTATCACAAACGCTGCTGAAAAATAATATTGCTGATACGCTTGGTTATCTGCTTACAGGATCTCCTTCCCCAGAACTCACTCAAGTAATTTTAATGTATTTTATTTTGTTGAGGGTGGAAAAAAAATGTTTAGAGCCAAAGGCATTTTAATTAAAACAACTAACTAGAGTAAATTTATTATATTACAATGTATGTGTTGTAATATTTTAAAATTTATTTTTGTATACATTATGGCAAAATTTTAATTAAAAAATTACTTGTAGGATTTATTTTTCGGTCTATGTATTTGACGGATTTTAAAATTAATATTTTTATGGAAAGTTTACAACTTTTTCTATAAGGCTCATTGCCAATTTGTTTTATATTATTGCAAAATTAATGAAATTTATGTAATACATATCTTTATTGTACTTAAAGATGTAGAGGTTTTATTGCAATTTAAAAATATGTTTTTACTTTATTTTAGATTGAACTACTTCCAAGAAGTTCCCAAGAACTTTATGAAGTAACTTGCCTCATTGGAGAACTTATGCCGCGTTTACCATCTGATGGCTTATTTTCAGTAGATAGTCTTTTAGATCGACATGGAATATATGGCGCACTTCCAGGTTCTGGGGTATCCCAACAAATGGTTCAGTGGCAATGGCGAGATGATCGATCAATGTGGCATTCTTATACGTCATTAGATTCTCGAATCATTGAGGTATGAATTCAAAACTACTTTGGACAAATTTTTCTAAATTATCACCCATGCTATTGTATAACTTTGCGCCATAGTCGAACCTTTACTAAAGAGGGGTAATTGTTGTGGGGACATTATTAATCTCATATCTACAGTTGGTCACAAATATCAAAACTAATTTCCATGGATTAATGTTAAATTGTATTTTAATAAAATGTAGGTTGCACATCAAGCTGGCGAAGATGAAGTACTTTTAAGCCACGCTCCTTACACAATTGATCTACATTCTATGCGACAAATTAATGAAGACACTGGAACTACACGTGCTATACAACGTAAAGTTTTAACTGTTTCAGCTTCTTTCAACAACAATCACCAAGCAAGATCATCAGCTGATTTGGAATCTTTAGTCGCCTCATTTGGGTAATTTAAATTATTTTTCACCATACTCTTATACTATAATATTTTAATAATTTAGTGCTCAAATAGTATTTTTATTTGTAAATTAAAAAATGATTGGTTGTTAAAAAACAAACTTTATTATAATGATAATTTTAACAACAATGAATAAAAAACATTATGATACATTAGTACACAAAACGCAGTAAATGCATCACCATAATATGTGACTTTGAAGTCCAAAAAAGACTAAAATTTACAAACCCTCAGGTAGGCGTAACATAGCTACGATCTTCCACACATACAACTAAAAACTTTTTTCTCTTGTTTTTTAAACATATTTAAGTTGCTGCTTTTATGTCAGTTTTTACTCAATGTAAAACAGCCAAACTCTACCAACATCAAATATTTTCAAAATTTAATATTACATTTCTTTGTTTGATTCATTTTGTAGATAAAATTGTTCAACTCAGTAAAATCAATAATACATTACTATTAATTTTTTTTTTTTAATATGATTTTTATTTTTTAATAATAATAAGTAATAATGAAAAAACTAAATTACTGAGCATCTTTAATATCAACTTAAATTATATTTTCCTCACAAAATATTATTTATAACCATAGTTTATACTTTTGCTCCTTATGAACATATTTTTTTTGTTTTTAATACCCTTATTTTGTTAAAAAAAATCTTAACTTTTATTTTTAGTTCACTAGGAGCCCTGATTTATATTTATATGTATTTGGTAACTTAACTAGTTATTTTTTTTTTTATACTACATGTCGAAAATTATATTTAAATTTTTTAGTGAAAATGAACTAGCAGGATCATTTGTACGTTTACTATTCAGTATTCTTTATGAAGTTTATAACAGTTCGGCTGGTCCTTTGGTCAGATATAAGTGTCTACGAGCCTTATTGCGTATGGTTTACTATTCTCCTCCGGAATTACTCTCGGTAACTATATTTTATGAAAACTATTTTAAAATAAAATACAACTTGTGTTTGCATACATTACTTTAAATTTTTTAAGGTGATTCAATTAAAACGTTTGTTAAAAGTAATTAATTGAGGGTTAAATTTTTTTTTTTTTATCGTTACAACATAATGGTAATCTTAATAATATGGTATCATATTCCTGGTTACATTTATTTAAAAAATAAACTAAGATGAATGTGTTATGATAAATTAATTATATTTAAACGTTCAGTTAGATTTTTTTATAATGTTTTAAAATGTTATTATAGTATTTTATTTGTTTATACCCTGGTTTTGTAATCTTATTTAAGAAGGTAGTTACCCAAAAACAAATGGTAGCCAGTCACATTGCCGGTATGATGGCTTCACAAGACTTGAGAATAGTTGTTGGAGCAATGCAAATGGCTGAAATTTTAATGCAAAAACTGCCACAAGTCTTTGAAACACATTTTATACGTGAAGGTGTTATGCATCAAGTAAAACAATTGGCAGAAGCAGATATCCAAACATTAGTTAAACTATCTCCGCCTTCTACTTCTAATACTGGAATTGAAGGTCTCCCTGGACCATCTAGAACCACCCAGAACGGTAAGAATATCTTTGTAAATATATAAATACTAAATATTGAACATGCTTGACAGGTGTGGTAGATTAAATGAACATGACAAAAAAAATTTGTCCAAAACCTAACCACCTATATTGTAAAATTTCTTTAGTTACTTAGCTTATTGCTGGTAAATCCATTTCATTTCCATGATGGGTTTATGTTAAATTCTAGCCAAATATTTTAGTTCAATTTATGAGTAAAATATAAATGTATAACAGATTACGTCAGTTGCTACCAAAATACGTATATAGGCTAGTGTATTATTTTTTGTCTTGAGACAAACCCATGGACATTTTTTTTAATTTGCCTAAATTAATGTTTTAAAAAAATACATATTAGTATTTTTAGGAATGCATTGTAATGACTATATAAAATTGTTTTTAAAAGAAAACCATATAATTTTTATAGATAACTCTATTCCTCCATGGTCATTACCCATCGAAAATGGAAATAATGAAGTACAGTCAACTACTGGTGGCCCTGATGGTGAAGGAGATGAAGTACCTGAAGCAACTGTTTTGGCACAAGTAGCACAACGCTGTTCATCAAAGTATGTTTATTTTAATGATTATCTATTAATGTATAAAGTGTTGTTGACTAAAAAGAGACTTCTTTAAACAAATGTCTATATTTAAAAATTTACGAGAAAAACATTTTTCTATTATTTGGATCCTAAAAGCATCCCTTATTAAAAAAGTACACTGATTTCCAACTATCATAATATTTTTATTAAATCTTCTTCTTTATGTGACATACTTCAGTCTAGCTGGGTAAATAAATATGGATAGGTCAAGTAAAATTAATTTAAAAATTCAAACAAACAGATTTGATTTTAATGTGTGTTTATCAGATGGGGTCAGTGAAACTGTGTAAACTTATCTTTATAGGTATCTAATCATACAAAACCATAGTATATAAATACAGCATAATGAACAAGACATTTTATTTCAATTATTTACTATTTTGGGAATTAAATTATGTACAATTTTTTAATATTACTTCTTATTATTTTTATCATGTATACTATAATTGTTAAATTGTTAATATAGAAAATGTTTTTTGTTTTTCAAGATAATATAATAATAATATTTGTACTTGTAAAATATTTCAGTCGAATTTCCGAAGTTCTTAAACGCAATAAAAAACATAATAAAAGACAATCTGGAAGTACTCCACGAAAAAAAGGAAATCAAGACGAAATTAGTGATATTCAAAATTTAGCTAGTAGTAGCGGTAGTACACTTTCACCAAGTTCAGCACAAGCCATGACACTACATGAATTTTTTATATCAAAAGGTAATAACAATTTGTTTTATTTATTTTATATTTGTTATTTTTTTAATTAAAGCTATAGTTAAATATTCACATTTGTGATAAAATATATTCAAGCACTTACAAAAATGAAATTATAAGGTACACATTCATGTTAATCATTGACTTTTAATAATATACTTAATAAGATTATTAAGTGCAAAACTATAAAGAACAGGTACGAGTCATACACAACCAGTTTCATAAATTATTAAGTCTGACTGTTAAAAAAAATTTGATTATTTATGAAACTGGATAATAGTTGCCTATGTGCAACAAGGTATACTTAAAAGTTTTATTAATAATAAAACCACAGTTAGCCATTATTAAATCTATCTTTATTTTAAAAAAATAAATATAAAACAAATAAATAATTTCTTAGGTGGAAGTTCAGCCTCAAGAGCAGTTGGTGTTAGCTCTTCATCAAGAACTCGTTTTTCAAATTCAAACTTAAAATCAACTTCTGGTTTTCTTGCATCGTTAAATCCAGCCAGGTTTTTAAGAAGCACAGAAAGAGCATTTTCAAAAGTAATTTTGTATTATAAAAATAACTATAGAAGTGTTAATTGACTATAAATTTGTCTTTTAGGAATTGAACAAGAATTCTAATATGTGTGGCAATGGATCAAATTCTTCGAACTCTGCGTCAAATATTAGTGTAATAAATCGAGAAAAAGCTCGATTTTGGGTGAAAGAAAGAGCTCAACATTTCTTAAGCTCTTATGACAAGAATATAACCGATGAGGAAATGGACAAGGAGAATGGACTCTCTGACACCATTTTAGTTCGCCTTACAAAAGCAATAAATAAATTGCAGAATGAAGTAAGAGCATGTTATTATACTATAATGAGTAATGATTTATTGTTCAGTAGTTATTATTTTTTAAGTATAAAATAAAAAGAAGTCTTAACAAATATTTGAAAACGAGTACTTCAATTTTAGTTAAATAGTTTGCATATGATAAAAAACATTTTAGTTGCTAAAAATCCATACTTGTAACCAACTGTTGTATAACTTATAAAGTTATACTTTTAAAAAGAGTATAAACAATCATGTACATTTATTTATTTAGGGAAATGAAGATATAAATGCATTACTAGAGTTAAGGGAAATTGTCCTTACATCAGATATATCATCGTTTGAAGTTAATCATAGCGGCTTAATACGATCACTGACTGTTTATTTAACTGAAACCACTTTTGGATTAGATCAAAGAAATGAAAGGCTACGCAAATTCCTTCATGTTTTTACTGGATGTCCCGTAAGTATAATTTTTGTCACAGAAATCTTACACTTTTTTTTTTTTAATTACCAAAATACATATAAGACTTACGAAAACATTTTTACAGCTTGACAGCTATGAAGCATTTACAAATGATACACATAATATAAAAAATAGTAGACCTTTTTCTGCGTTGATTGGAAAATTAGGTAGTTGTGTTTCACAATTGGAACAGTTTCCCGTTAAGGTACATGATTTGTCAACAGGTGCAGGAAATAGTGCTCTCAAGTTCTTTAACACACATCAACTGAAGGTACAAAATATCATTAAATAAATTGGTTTAATTGATATTAATATTGCAATCATGTTTTCTGTACAGTGTTTGTTGCAAAGACATCCAGATTGCAATAATTTAAAACAATGGAAAAGTGGTACTGTTAAAATTGATCCGCTAGCTCTAGTACAAGCTATTGAGCGATATTTAGTAGTTCGTGGATTCTCTCACATAAGGGAAAACAATCAATCCAAATCAGATGATGATAACAGTGATGATGATATTGATGATACTTTAGTAAGTTAATTAAGTCATTATTATACAATTATTTTAATTCTAATTTTAAAGTCTAAATTGTATCATTTTGATAATGTGGTGTGTACCTGATTTTAGGCAGCTGTTGTTATTGGACAAGGGTCAGCCAGGCATAAATTACAATTTCTTATTGGAAATCATATACTTCCTTATAATATGACTGTATATCAGGCAGTTCGACAGTTTTCTACGAGTAGTGATATGGAGGCTGATAATGAATCTGAACTTCCTTTAGGATCTGCAGGAATATGGGTTCAAACACACACCATATATTACAGGTATATCCACTTATGTTACTCAAAAAGAGAAATAGTATCAATATTCACCCTGCATGTTTGATTAAATGCTTATTGCATTATCATTTTTTGTTATTTACTATAAATATAATTATAGACCGGTACCAGAAGATAATACTGAATTACACTCGCCAAAACCTTCTACCAACTCTACTGGTAAAAAAGGAAGATCAAGTACACACAAAAGTACCTCTAAAAAGATAAAAGATGAATTGTGGTTAGGTAAGTAATTACTTACCTTACAAATTTGTGCTAATTTAAAGTAATGATTGTAACTACTTTGATTTAATTGTTCAACAATATTGTTCTTTATTGCAGAAGGCAATGTTTCTCCAGTGAAGTCTCCACTAGAATTATATCTTCAGCTTTCGTTACCTGATTATGTTCAAATTCAAGATCCCTCATTGCCTGTGCTCAGTTTATTACGAGTATTGTATGCCATAAATCGATACTGGACTTCTTTGTATCCCACACAACTTCATAATAATTCAATTATCCCATTTAACGTGAGTATATTAGTAAGTTGGAAATGTCGATTGAACAAGGTGGAAGTGTTAAGAGGGCGTCGCACCGCCCATTTTTAAGGAGTAAAGTATAGGCAATTTTTTACAAAATCTTAATTTAAAGGTTAAACTGTGATGTGTAATTATTAGTTAAAAACTAGGACTCTATTTTGGTAGTTGATTTATTTTTTGGACTATCACAGCATCCTTGAAAGTGATTTAAAAATGATTTTCCATCTCTACATGTTTAAGCAGACTGAAAATAACTCACTTAATTTTGGTTTTAGAGTAAAAGCACCCATTATAAAATTAAAAGAGAACAATATTCCGGAGGGCAAGACTGCGTTTTTTTCATTATTTCAAGTATAGCGCTCAATACATATTTTAGAAATTTACGAAGACTATTTTAACATTTTTAAATGATTGTAACTTTTCAAAAACTGCATTTTTTTTAAAAAAATGCACCGTTTTGCCCTCCGAAATATTGTTCTCTTTTAATTTTATAATGGGTGCTTTTACTCTAAAACCAAAATTAAGCGAGTTATTTTCAGTTGGTGTAAACATGTTTTTCACCACTGAAAATCACCGGTGCGACACCCTCTTTAAGCACTTGCTTAAAGAGGGTCTCTGATTCTCTGTTAAAGACCGTCTCTGGTTCACACACTCGTTCAAGCATGACTCCATTTATTAGACAATAAACCGTCAAGTTAAAAGGAGTCGCAACTATTTAAAATAAAATTTCAATAATTTTTTTTTTTTAGGAATTTATAAATGTTAAAATATCAGCCAAAGCGAACCGACAACTTCAAGATCCATTAGTAATTATGACAGGAAATTTGCCTGGTTGGCTTCAACAAGTGGCTTCAGCGTGGTATTTACATAATCCTTATTGAAATATATTCTATTGTTTATTACTTATTTAAAATTACAATTAAAAAATGTCGTTCTTAATTTATTAGTGCGTTCTTGTTGCCGTTTGAAACTCGACAACTACTTTTTTATGCAACTGTGTTTGATCGTGATCGAGCTTTACAACGTTTGCTAGATTCTAGCTCAGAACTTCAAGGTGCTGGAGGTAGTAACAATGGAGATATGCATGAACGTGTAGCGCCACGTCTTGATAGACGAAAACGTTCTGTAACTAGATCTAATATACTTTCTCAAGCTGAAGCTGTGATATCTGAAAATGCCTCTTCACGTGCATTACTAGAAATACAATATGAAGATGAAGTAATATTAAAAATACTTAATGAAATTATTTAAAATAAAAATTGATTTTATATATATGTATTGTTATAATTTTTAGGTAGGCACAGGTTTAGGACCTACCTTAGAGTTTTATGCTTTAGTCTCTAAAGAATTACAAAAGGCTGAGTTAGAGTTATGGAACAATACTTCTAAAACTGAATCTGACACCTATGTATTTACACCTGAAGGGTTATATCCAAATCCATTATCTCGATCAACTAAGCAACCACATCAAGTTAAAATCAAATCGAAATTTAAATTTTTAGGAAAATTTATGGCTAAAGCCATTATGGATTCCAGACTAGTATGTATTTTTATATGTAGCTACTACCATTGAATGTAATAAAAAAAAATTCAATTTTAACACCAATTTTCAGTTGGATTTACCATTAAGCATATCCATGTACCGCTGGTTAATAGGTCACGAGAACTATTTATCTCTTAGTGATCTCCTTTATATAGTTCCTGATGTTTATAATACTTTATCTCGTCTTCATGAGCTTGTGCTTCTAAAAAGATCAATTCTAGTTGATAACTCATTAAACGATGAACAAAAATCAGAAAAGGTAATGGGATTTATTTATTTTTTATAATGTATACTACTTAGTACTTATATTAGAGAAAAGAGTTTAATAGTAATTTTTTTTTCTTTTAGATAAATAAAATCACTTTAGATGGTAGCTCCATTGAAGATTTAGGTCTTGATTTCACTCTACCAGGGCATCCATCAATAGAATTGCGTAAAAATGGTCAAAATATAAATGTTACAATTGAAAACTTAGAAAAATACATACAAGTAAGAATAAAATAAGATTTTGCGATTTTTGAAAAATTATCATTTATAATCTTATCTTACAGCTGGTATGTCATTGGTATTTACGTGAAGGGGTTTCAAAACAAATGGAAAGTCTCAGAGAAGGATTTGAAAGTGTCTTTTCACTTAAAAGGCTTGGTCAATTATTTTATCCGGAAGAATTAGAAGCAATATTTTGTGGCCACACAAGCCCATGTAAACATTGGGACGTGCGTATGCTTTTAGAGGCATGCCGTTTAGATCATGGATACACAGCAAATTCTAGGGCAATCGGTTTTCTTTTCAACATTTTATCAGAATATGATCATCAGCAACAAAGAGACTTTCTACGATTTGTTACAGGCGCTCCTCGACTTCCTGTTGGAGGTAATAAATCATTTTATACTAGAACTTAAAAACTGAATAACTTTTAAAAATATGGAAGACATCTATTTCTGATGGATAAGATGATAATAAATTTTAAAGTTAACTTGATATTTTTATTTTCTTAACATTTTTAAACTTGTGTGGAGCCATTGGATAAGGTAAGAAGTGGTGAGAAAGGAAATAGGAAACTACTACACTATAAATCCCCTTTCTTTAAAAAATAAATAAGAAGTTTATTACAAATTTACAATCTGAATTGGTTAGTTGTGAAATTTATAAACTGATACGTTGTGGTTCGTATGGAGAATTAAACTGGTCGTTTTTTTTTTTAATATTGTGATTTCGTTTGTTTTCAGGTTTTAAATCTCTCTCTCCAGCTTTGACCATTGTACGGCGAATTTTTGAAGATAATGATAATCCAGACAATTACTTACCATCAGTAATGACTTGTGTGAACTACCTCAAATTACCAGATTATTCCTCAATAGACATAATGCGAAAGAAGTTACATACAGCCGCATCTGAAGGACAACATTCTTTCCATTTATCATAGTCATGTAAAATTTTAAATGCCGATTGAAAATAAAACTTGTCATAAATATATTCCACTTATGATTAATTAACTTAAAAAAGAGCAATATATTTATATACGTGCATATTAAGTGTATAATACACTTTTATAATTTATGATTTGTAAATTTAAATATCTATTCTTAAATTTTTTTTCTTGTAAATATTATACATATAGCAAATGCAAAGTTTATTTTAGAATTAATTTTTATTGTATGATCCAAAAAGCTTGTTTAGTGCTAAAAGTTCATTTTAGATGTTATAAGATTTAGTTTTCTTTTTCCAAGGTGTGCAAGTGTGACTAGCACAAATATCTATTAGTTCATACATATATACATATGTATATAAATATTTATAAATAAAAACCACTTTAAATTTAAGTTTTAAAATATGTATATATTATTGTTAAGTATACACTACATTAAAAAAATGCTATTGTTTTTTTATATACTGAATGGAAAAAAACTATCGACAAAATTAACAATATTTGCAGATTTCAAAAATATATATATTATACATAAATAATAAATTGTCACGGTCATACCCGGGTCAAAATATAGTACATAGTATACATTCACATGACACAAAATAAGTATATGTTATAAGTGTATAATCTTAAATTTTAGATCACAACATTTTCAATTACGCATAGTAGCAAGTTAACCATAGACAATGTCAAGCTTAAGTATTAGTTATTACAACATTGGCAAAAATGTTGACTAAAATTGAATGATAAAAGTAAAAAGTTGCCCAGCAGGTAGTTGAATCAGCATCTAAAAAGAAAAATATGTTTTCTATCATCTAATTAGTATAGATAAGAGGGTAAAAGACAGTGAATCATTATTTACATAAACCTGCACAGAAAATTGATTTAGAACTAAATATCCATCTTGTAAAAATAGATTTGAATTAATAGTGGATTATTGTATGATTGTAATACATTATATCGTCTAAGATATATACAAATATTATATAAAATACTTAAATTTAGCATCCTAAAATGGTACTTGGCAAAGTAAACTTTTAAAGTCCAATCTGGTAATGAAGTCAAATTTAAGTGATTTGGGGATAATTATAAAACTGTCCAATACCATACAAGTAAGGGATATGAGATAAAGATTTAGAAAACACATTCAGTTACATAAATCAATATTATAAAAACATAATTACCATTTTTCTTGAGGTTAAGGTTAAGACTGATCTTCATTTTTGGTTTGTGGATAAAAATTCATTGATGCGCTGTTAATGCAAAACCTGCGACCGGTTGGAGGTGGACCATCTTTGAAAACATGCCCCAAATGTGCATCACATTTCTTACATTGTACTTCAGTTCTGATCATACCTGGGTTGTTTATTAATAACAGCAAATTTGCTCCAACTGTATCCATCACCATAATAAAGCAACAGCATTGTTGTGTATAGTCGAGGAACCAAGGAAACGTAACCAATACCAGACAAAATATTATCAATAAAAATTAATACATTTTCCATACATACTAAAGACCAAAACACTTAACCAAGAAGCACTGATATTTTCCAGTTATATCTTATACCTTATGTTAATACCTTTACTATACATAAATATACAGGGTATAATGTAAAGTTCTACAGAGTTTCAATGAGACATTCAGGATGCTCTATGGGTACAATAAATGGTATTCATTTTTTTTAATTTAAAAATTATTTAAAATAGAACTTGTATCTCATTAAAAAATTGTCTTACGAAAAAATAATTTCAGATTTAAATTGGGGGAAAAAATCTAGTTGAGTTGATATGTAACTTGATTTTTTGGTATCTGGCCACACATACGTCCACAGGGTGGATGTCATGTGACTAAACCCAATATATGACATGTGACACATCATTTAATATAAAATAATTCTAAGAACACCACTGAATTAAGAATAAAATTCTAACCCAAAATTATGTGTCACATATAAATATAATATATATATTATATAATATGTAGATAAACTTTATACCAGTATATAAAATTAGTCAATATTTTAATAATATTTTAAATTAAATATACAAACCACCAGACAAATAAATACAATAGCTACCAGTTATAATTAATTAAAAGATAGTTTAAAGATATTAAAAAATAATAATGTTAATAACATTTCACCACAGATTACATGAAAATGAATTATTTAATTAATTTATCAATCAACACTTTTAATAGCTATGAAAATGTATAGCGGCACACAGAATTCATTAAACAACAAGCTTTTTAACAAGTAATGAATGTTATTAAATTACTTTGTAGCGTTTCCAATCCTCCGACAAATACACAACTAAATGCCAAAACTACAGGTGCTATATATAAATGATTGCCAAATGTAAATTACCATTTGAAGTATCTGACGTTAATTTTACTTTGCCTTGATCTATCACATTATTGAATGCTGGCCATCCACAACCCGAATCGAATTTTGTCTCGGACGTAAACAATGGTTCATCACAGACGATACAAGTATACAATCCAGCTTCTGTAGTTTTATTATACTTGCCAGTGAAAGCTCTATAAATCAATGCATTCTTAGTATTACAATTTTTAAAAATCTTTACAAATACTATGCACATTAGCATTATAAAAATGTAGGTATTACAAATGACAAATATGTATTAAAAACCCAATAAATTTATAAAGCCAGGACAATACATGTATATCAAAGGCGGGTTTAGAGGCTAAATCTTAAAAATGCTGAAAAAAAAAAATACAAAAGACTGAGTGACAATACAGGTAATGACTAATGTGTACTATTGCTGGTACGACTCTCAGCCGCGGAATAGATACCTGCCCTGATGCTACAATTTGGTCGTTTTGACTAAATCTGTTGTCGTGTGCCGATTACGATCAGTGTCCTAATTAGTGGGGTGGTCAGATGGCAATGCCACCTGATAAGACTCAACAATATTTTAGTCAGATGACCCTGTCTACACATAACTTGTACAACGTCTAACCTGCTCAAATTGTCCTGTCGGAATGACCAGATCATACTGAGTGTAAGGGGCATAAAAATACTAAATTTGATAGCTATTGCAGCTAATGCAAACGCTGAACGTCTGCCTCCCCTTATTCGTTATATGTATATATATATATATATATAAGTAGGTAGGTAGGTAGGTATCTTGTATTGTATGATGCAAATGTGTATTATGTTAAATTATATGGTCTGGGTATAAAATATTTACTATGATTATTAGTACTTACCTTTCTGTTCCTTTTTCTTGGGTAACATGATACTGTATTGGTGACAATCGTTTTTTTAATTCAGCCTTGGCAGAATCTCCTTGACTCATGTTTCTGTTTTTTAAATTTGTTTTACTTATACTATATCGAATAATATTGATACTGCACAGTAGCTTTTTACGACAAAACATGAAGAAATGTAACTTCTTTAACTTTTTTCTATTAACTAGGTCATCAATTTACACATGAAATTTATTTTTGAATTACACTAGTTTATAAATAAACATGATGATACGGGTCATATTTTTATGTCAATTCCCTTTCCATTTACCAAAAATTACAAAATATATTGAGATAGTGTGTGGTGTGATAAAACCACACGACAGTCGGCACGCTACGCTATAATATGAAAAAAAATAGTAGGGAAACTCAACCGAAACCAATGTTGTATAAAATCTAATGTATATATAGGTATATTTAATTATATTCATATGTATCAGGGCCGTATTTAAGCGCAAGCTTCATAGGCTGCAGCCCGCACCAAAAACAATTTTTTTAGTATAAATTAAAATATTTGTGCTTTTTGTTTTACAAAAATATATGAAGGGCACAGGGGAAAAACGGTAGTAGTCACATTATGAAAATTTTAGAGTATAGCAAAAACAAAGTTCGTGAATTCTTCTCCCTCTTACACAAGAACAAAAAAAATCACATTAAATGCTATTCTAATAAAAAATGTGTTTAATTAAACAATTTATTGACATAAATAAAAAAAATTAATGCTATACCATATATACCATAATTAATGGCCACCAATATATTAAATACTATATTCCTGTACCATTCCATGGTAGGGCTCCGGGCCCGCACCATAGGCTAGCCTAGGGGCTAATATATCCTAAATACGGCCCTGATATGTATTGTCTATATTGTGCATGGAAACGTCTTTCTACTGGTATTTTTACTTTTGAACAATTTGTGTATGATACATAAATCATAGTTATGCGTACTAAATTATAAGATGTTATTATGTCATGAAATGTTAATGCTATTTATTACATATAGTTTCAAATAACAATTATAAACTCGAGTTTTTTAAATACTTACTTTTTCCTGGCAGGCTTCAAACCAACGAAGTGGTACAATTAGAAACTAAGATCAAACGTACTTACTTAATTTATCAAATCTTATTCTAACCAGAATACGAAATTGTATAGCTATGTACAGTAGTACCTACAAGTATGAAAAATACTTTGAAAACTTTAGAATGTGTTTTACTCTTGAACTATAAAGTGATTTTATAAACTGAAAAGTGTAATCTAAGGTAGAAGACGACTGAAGAGTATTAATAATCATCAAGTACCTAGGTATTTAATATGTTTACAAGAAATACTTATAGACTAGATAAGAATAAGCTCTCTAATAATTATTTTTAATGGGGGAAAACATGTTTTTATATACTAGCATTTTTAACTTTTCATCTAAATTATAAATACGCTACCAGGTACAGAAGTTTTACGTTAAGAAATTATGTCAATATATTATTTTTTTATTTTTTGTTTGTAAAGAACTACATCGTGGTACAAACTACAAGCTGATTATTTAAAAATAATGTACTAGTTTTTGTAGTCTTTGAATTTTGGTTGAGAAGTTTTTTTATTTTAGCTACCCTGTAGTCTATATAGGTTTGTAAGAAAAAACAACTTTATGCTATAATAATTTGTTGAAAATAATGAGTGACTCGATGTTGGGAGTTATTTTTTCTTTTTTACATTTATTAATTAAACTTGTAATTTTTTTTATTGGGTACTTAAGACAGGAGTGAGATTCAGTGTAGTAAATGTAGATAATACCTATTATCTATGAACACATTCATTAAAAATCGAGCATTTAAGATAAAATTAATATTATCTATGCTGTAAAGTTGATCTTTAATTTTTTTTTATCTATATTAATGTCAACTATTACTGCTGCGTTGTTTAATTGAATGTATCTTAAGATTTTGATATGTAAGGGGGGGGGGTCTAGACTCTAAGATATATATTATAATTATAGATGATTGATTTCTTTTACCTGCAACGTAAAATATTAGTCGGGAAAATGGCCGACTATACTAAAGAATTCTAGGTAATCTATCTGTATCGTAAAAATTCAGATTTTATTCAGCCGGTCATTAGTTTTATATCAGATATATCTATTAAACTATGGTTTTAAATGTGTTACGTTAGGTATCACTGTATACTATAAAGTATATACACAGAACAACTGTTCTGTGGTATATACGTAGTTACTAATAACGAGGAGTATCATAAAAGGCCATTAAAAATTAAAATGTGGTACCCCGTACTACCGTAAAATATTCAAGATGTGAGACGTGGACCGAGAGTAAGTAATTCAACATTCATCGATTTATAGCAAATTTAGCGAATTATCCAAACTAAAAATTAGAAGTTACTAGTTAGTGATCTAAATCTTTGTGGCTCAATAGAAAAGCAGTCGACAATCGAAATTATTTTACAGGATTTGATTCTTTCTCGCACGCTACCAAGTCTGAAAAGTGCGAACAGAATACATACTATGTTAATAATAATCTAATATCTGTCGACTGTCCCTATTACATACATGACTGCTTATTTGTTTTTTGATGGAGGTCCTGGAAGGGGCGCAAGAAATTAAAATTGTATCCAAAAAATGTGTATAGAAGGTAAAATACCTATACCATACTTCATAGATATAAAGTCTAGAGACTTTATATCTATAGAGATTTTGTCTATACTCTATTGCGTATGTAGATTATACGTAGTATTTAATAATTCGTACGTAATAATTATTTAATTTTACAATTATTATAACATCGTATAATAATTTATTATACCCGAAATTAGTCGGGTATAACCGTAATTAATTTCTCTAGAGAAAATTATGAATACCGTAGAATAACCATAGACCTTATACCTAATGGCTACTATTGAGTAGTGTGAATACTGACTGCTGTCTAGTGTCTATAGTGTTTTTTTTCTAGTCACTAGTATCTACGATGACCGTGCTCGCACCACACGCCCGCATTCTACTAGGATGCTCCTGAGTCCTGACTAAGGTCTACGAGAATAAAAAAATACCGGTGTCTGTATTTTGAGTTTAGTTTCTAAGGTTGGCAATATGATTAAAAAGTGGTTGGTACTGTAGACCATATACTAAGTATCTGGTACATGGATATCAATAACACGTCCGACTTATCACAATAATTATTGTAAAATGGTCCTACATCGAACAGGGTGTACATTTTGTAGAATCGAACAATTTTTGTTTTATTGTTTACGGCGTTTGTAGTGTGAGGCGTGAGCACTGTATATAGCATAGGTAGATGCTATAGCATTTTAGTTAGAAACCGAATATAATATTGTATTGAGTAATTTGTGTTATAGGTATGGCTTGTTCTGTATGTTTGTATGTTTGGTTAAGTGTTGTTGATTGAATTGTCGACAAATGTGGCTTTATTTTAGTTTTCACTTTTTACCGCTAACTATTACTCGTTAATGAGTGATTAACGTTGAATAATAACTTGACTCAGGGCGCGCATTCCGTAATTTTTAATTTTTAATATTAATAATATTAGTTAATTTTGCCGCCAGCAGTATCTTAACCCGCTTAGAACACACTAAGTCAAGATGTACACTGTAAGTTTTATACGTTATATATTAATTAGAAGTAATGGTTAAGGCGTTAAATTAATTTCATTGTAGTTGCATAAAGTATAAATTAAAAAAAATTGTCATTCCAATTGGATGTATGTATTCTGCTTGTAAATGAGTAGTTAAAAAATGTCAATTTAAACCATACATTATGTATAATTTTACATCTTTATGGTATTATTAATCCTTATCTCAATTCTCAAAGTAAGATGTCTCATTTACTTTATTTAAATGAAGCGTTCAAAATGTTTTGGAAATAAACTGATTTGTAAATCATAGTTCTTGCTGCGGAAGGCAACGGTAAACTACCGCATCATGCCCACTTCCCCAGGATGGCAACTTTTGTCTCTTGTAGAGCAAGAGTTGTCCAAACCAACCTAAACAAGTCGTAGACTATAAAAAATAGTTCTTGACTGTTTTGAAAGATGCTCGCACTATGTATGTTAAATTCATTTGGAAATATTTTTAAGTTTCAACTTTCATATAAACATAGTATTTGAGTTGTATTTATCTAAATCTTTTTCGAAGAAGTCTAGTTTAAGATCTGAGGGAATTTTGTATTGCCTCCCTCCCAAAATATGAATTTTTCACATTAATGACATGTTTTTTTCTCATTTAGTTTTAAAGTAAGCTAAATAAAGTATAAAAAAACGCTATTTTCTCTCTTTAATACTTGCTTATACAAATTTTCATAACAATAGTTTAGTTATTGGTTAGATCTATGTAAGAGTTTGTTAAGAAACAAATGACCATGTAAATATTAGTTTTAAAAACTGTTTAAAAAATTCTCATCAAAAAGTGCTAAACACATATTTTTGTTTAAAATATTTAAAAAATGTCATTAACCCTTAAACCGCTATAATCAATACAATAAATAAAAAAATATATAGTTTAAAAGTTCTTAGCAATGGTCTTGTATTTAGTCACGTGAGGGAAGTATGTACCCCAGTCACACTGTGACTCAAGTAAGAAATATATGCTGGTCACACTTATTTGTTTGTGATCGAAAATCAGGTGACTAACAGAGAGTTAATTTGTTTATAAATTATGTATATACCAATTAAGCCATTATTAAGTGTGCATTTTGTAGTTTTAATATTTGCATTGTTAATACATTTTTTTTTTTTTAGGGAACTAGTGCAGATCAAGATACACGATTTAGTGATAAAGAAAAAAAGCTGTTAAAACAAATGAAATTCAGCGAGTCTTTAAATGCTAAGGTAATTAAATATTTATGAATGTATAGTTGTATATTATATTCCTTTTTTATATTGTTGTTTTGCTTTAAAATCATAAGAACTGCCTAATTATAAGTATTCAAGTATTAGTAATTATTAAGTATTTAAACATTCGTTATTGTATGAATAAATATATACATGTATCGTATTTGCTTGCAAACATGTGTTTCGAACAACCTGTGCTCAGGTGAATTTGAATTTCCAGTTACATAACTGGGAATTTAAATCCCACCCGGATGTTTTATCTATTAGTATATAATTAAGTTAAGGCAGCTTTCCTGCTGACATATGTTTTATATATTCAATTCTATATCTACATGTAAATATACCATCTATATACTTTCATCTAAGCGTTTATTTGAAAGTAATGTTATCTCTTCCATTGTGCTGGTTTATTTTTATGTAGACATAAAAAATATTAATTTAAAAAATATATTGAATTAATATTAAAAATATTTATATTAATTGTTAATAGGTTGATATGAATAAAGTTAAGCTTGATACTATTAAACCATGGATCGGTAAACGCATAACAGAATTACTCGGTATGGAAGATGATGTTGTTGAAGAATTCGTTAATAACCAACTTGAAGCTGATAAAGTAAATAAATAGTATATTTAAAAAAAATTAAAAACGTGATGTATCATATTTATTTAAAAAATTAAAATTTTGTTATAGTGCCCTGATCCTAGAAAGATGCAAATAAATCTAACTGGCTTTTTAAATGGAAAAAATGCTCGTGTGTTTATGACGGACTTATGGGAATTACTTTTGTCTGCTCAAGAATCTCCTTCTGGCATACCACCAAAGTTTATAGAACTTAAAAAAGAAGAGTTGAAAAAGAAAATGGTAAATGTAGTTATTATTATTATTATCTTCTATAATTATTAAAATAAACAATTGACATTTTAATTATTATGTTAGTACTATGCATTGATCTGAAAAGTGATATGAATTTAATATAAAAAATTTCAAAAAATCAATTTTCATTATTAGTTTATAATGCAATTCTCTATGTTGCAGGAAGATCAAGAACGTGTGGGTGACATGATAAAAAAATTTGAAAAAGATAAGGAAGAAAGAGATAAGGAAAAGAAAAAAGAAAGAGAAAGAGAGAGGTGAAGTTTTATTTTTACCTTGTGTACTATATTAATGATTTGTTTAACATAATATATTAATTTAGGAAAAAAAGCCGCAGTAGATCTCATACTCGTGATCGCCGTAGCCGATCACGAGACAGACATCGAGAAAGACGAGATAAGGAAAAAGATAAATATAAGGACAAAGAAAGGGACATTGATAGAACAAAAGAAAAATCTAAGAGAGAGTAAGATTTATTTTTTTAAAATAACATTTTTCAATACATATTAACCAATGTACGTACATAATATTATTTTACTTATTTTTTATGAAATTTATGCAGGTCCCGATCTAAGTCCAAAGGAAAAGTTGTAAGCAATGGACATAGTTCTCCCAAGAAAGACAAAAGTCGTAGTGGTACACCTAGAAATGGTATAGGACTTCCTGATGAAAATACAAACGATAAACGGGAAAAATCTTCGTAAGTTAAGATGCTGTTTAAAAAATTATGTATTCATTGAGTCCTTAAAAAACATCAAATAAATAATTATGCTAATCTAATAATAATTTATGATAGAATATCTCCCAGTAAAGACAAACATATTGAATCGAATAATAAATCCAAAACCAAAGATCGTTCTTCTTCAAGAGAGTCTATACGTCGAAAAGAGAAAAAAAGGCACCGTTCTTCATCTTCAAGCCGTAGTTCGTCATCTAAATCATCTCGCAGCTCTGGTATTTAAAATTTATAATTTTTTATGCCATATTATTTTGAACATTTAAACTATAAAAAGTTTGTAATAGGTCATAAAAAAGATAACTTTGAAATTCAAAAGAAAGAGAATAGTATTCAAAAAAAGAGACAGTACCGTACTAACAAAGATGATTCTTCAGCTAGTGAATCAGATAAAGATAAATCCAATGATAGACGGGTACGTTTTTTATTATTTAATATGTACATTTAATGATGAAAATTTTTTGTTGATGGTAATTTAATCAACCTTCTAATGAAAATCTTAAAACAGGACCGCCGTGATCGTTCAGACTCCCGTTCTAAACGTCCATCTAGACGAGGTTTCAGCAGAAGTCGTTATCGTGAGAAAAGTCGTGAACGCTTTTATAGAGATAGAGAGCGTGACAGAGCTAGAGACCGAGAACGTAACCGCCGTGAGCGAGAGCGTAGAGAGAGAGATAGAGATAGGGCTTTTCGAGAGCGTGAACGTGAACGTGAAAGACGTAGGCAAAGAGAAAGAGAAGAAAAGTCGTCTCCAAGAAGGAGGTAAAATTCCTATTTTAATTAAATATTAAAATATTAATTTTTTTTAATTAAATAATTAAAAAAAAAAATTACAGAAGATCTAGAAGTGCTGATAGAAAATCAAGATCACCTAAAAGAAGATCAAAATCAAATTCCAGAGTAAATATTTGTTATTCATTACTTATATACACATACATATCATACTATAAATTCCTCTATTTATATTTTGTTTGATTATTGACATAAACTTGTCTTTTGTCTATCAAACATTTGTATTATATGAATTGAGTAAAATTCATATGTACCTAAATGTTCATAGTCTTTCCTAGAAGGGAAAGATTTCCATTCCAGTTTTTTATAATCTAGTAACTAAGTAAGCTAATATAATACTTACAGCTAAAATTGCAATTTATTTTTTTTTTTTAAGCGAAAGCCAAGTATAAGATCACATAGTAAAGAACGTACAGTTAAAGAATCCAGTACGGTATCACCCATAAAAAAAGACTCCTCTAAATCTAAGGTAAAATAAAATATAATAATATGTTTAATTCATTTTTAGTTTTAAAATAGTTTATTTAGTAAAAATAAAATTATTGCTCTTGATGTATAAGCTACTACATTACAAAGCGCTAATAATTGTATTTTATTATGAAGGTTTCTCAAGAAAGTTTGTCTAGAACACCTTCACCTTTTAAAAAGAGTGACGATAAAGTAGATCGTAAATCAGTTAAGGACAGATTGTGAGTTGTAAATAGTAATTTAGTATAAAAAAATGTATTTTAATTTTATTTTTTCTCCGTCAGAGGTGTAAGAGAAGAATCTGCTTCTAAAAATTCCCAGCTTCATAAACCAAGGATTCGTTCTCCTTCTGCAGAAAAAAAAAGCAGCTGTGAAAGGAAAAATCAGTAAGTAAACTAAAAATATAAATTTTTATTTTGCTTTGTTTTCAGTCTTATATCATTTACTTAACCTTTTTAAGTATGTGCATTTTTTTTTATACACCCAAGGTTTGTTTTTTTGGCGACTATGATCTCTGGTAATAATGTTTAGTGTGCTGGTATTAGTGTACCATCCATTTCCATTAGAAAATATAAGTACCAAAGTCACTTCCAGGTTCTTAGTTACGGAAATATGTGGTTGCAATTGTAATACAGCACTTCTAGTCCTGGAATTTAGCAACATCGCAAGACATTTCCACAGCTGGGAATTCAACCCAATGATTCGTTTCCAAATGTATCATACCCCACACCCACCACTTTTTTTAAAATGTTTTATGGCTTAAGCCTACTAGTTATATTGTGTAGCATGAATCCTCTTCCTAACCCCCTCAAAAAAAAAAAAAAAATGAAATTTCAGTTGTATTATGAGAATTTCTTAGCAAATATGTCAATATTAATAAACATTTTTACAATAAATAAACTTAGTACCTAGTTAATTTATTAATAACACTAATTTATTTTTATGTTTCATAGAAATTCTTCTAGACATAAATCAACATCACCTATCACTAAAAATAAACAAGAAGTAAGTTATATAGTATCAATATTAACTATTTGTGTTAGTAATAGCAAGCTTCTGATTAAGTATTTGTTTTACAATAGGTAGTATGAATGAATTAAATGTAAAAAGTTTCTGAAAATTTAACGTGTTTTTAAAAATCTAAACAATTAGTCATAAAATCACAGATTTAGGTTCAATGTGTTGTTGCCAATGTTAACTTTTTTTTTTTAATTTTCCTATAACTGTAAAATATTCATCGCTGCAATAATATTTGTTTTTATATTTCTTACCATCTAGAATTGTTTTAGTAGATATAACTTGGTAAAAAAATTATTATCTCTAATGTCAAATCAGTTCTTATCATTTAGAATAATATATAAAGAACATTCTGGAATAGAAATATTTTTTTATTTTGAGAAAAAAAAATGTAAATTTTGGCCTTACGAATTCCAAACCCTTGCAAATCATACCTACTTACTTATTTTCCTTTATTTGTTTATAATAGTAAAAAAAAAAATCTATTTAATTTTAGGATAAACATGAAAAACTTAATATCAAGCCTTCAAAAAAGTCTGAAACATCAGCTCCAGACACGGAAAGGCCTAAACCGAAGATAAAAGATGATACATCAAGTTCATCTGATGAATCTGTAAAAAAACATAAAAAAAAGCCAAAAAAAGATTCTAGTTCAGAAGATGAAAAAGTAAAAGCTAAAAAAAGGAAAATAAGAGACTCTCCTTCTTCAGATGAAGGAGATTCTAAGAAGAAAAAGAAACGTAAAAAAAAGTCGTCGAGTTCAAGTTCAGAAAATGTAAATTGATCCAACTTTTGTTTATTTTTATATCGTTATTTATAACTAATCATTATTATAGGAAAGTGATGTTGAAGAAAAAAAAAAGAAGAAAGATAAGAAGCATAAAAAACATAAGAAACATAAGAAACATAGAAAACATAAGAAACGGAAGGCGGAGGAAAGTGTGAGTTAAAATAATTACAAGATAATATAATGGTAGTACTAGGTAACCAAGGGCTGCTTGGTTAAAAAAGCAATTGACAGCTTGAACTTTTTAACATAGCTACAGTAAAATTTAAGTTTCAAAATTAAAAACTAATACATCTTAACTAAAATTGTTTAAATACTATCATAATAAGTTCTTAATTTATAAACTTAACATTTTTAATTGGTTGAATTTGAAGTTATTATCAGTATTTACTCTTTATTCTTACGCATTACAACATTTTTTTCTAAGTTGCTGTTTCTTTTAGGTAATCTCTAATTTTATAATATTTTTAAAAAAGATTGTTTTTATTTAATTGTATTATTTATTTATTTAGGGCTCAGATGCCAAATCTGGAGATGAGTTAGAACAACGTTTACGAGAGAAAGCTCTTCGATCCATGAAGCGTAAACATGAAACAAAACAAGAAGAAAGTGTTAATAGTAACAGCAGCGATTAATATAAGAGGTTAGTTAACCGAGGCAAAAAAAACTTGTAATATTAATGACCTATCACAAAACTCAATGATGATTGATTAACTATATGACTATTTATACTTTCATGTTTTTTTTTTTAATACTTTTTTGGGTCATTTTAAATAATCTGTAGTAACTATTCAATACAGAAGTTAATTTTAAATAATAAACAAATAGCATTATTAATGGGTTTTAAATTATTTTTTTGTAAATACATGTATCCTTATCTTTTACATTACATTTTTGAATGACTAAAAAGATGTGTTCAGGTTATTTATTTCATTTAACAATTTTTTTTTACTTATTGATCACTTACATTATTAGTTTTAAACTAGTACTCAAATGAGTGAAGAAAATAATAAAAACCTCAACAACTATTAGCTAATATATTTATTATATGTTTTTGTTGTTATAACCTTTCACTTATGAGAAACACTTTTGATTATGGTAGGTAACCAAATATGTTCCTTTTGTGTCACTTTAATCGTTGTAATTCTACCAGCGAGAATTTGACAGGTTAGCCTACTGCCCAGTCATCAGGCTGCCAAATTGTTAGCGGAGTTGTACTTGCGTTATTTACATAGTGCGGAGTCTAGTTGATCATTTTTGAAGACCCGTCAGTATCAGTTTGTTAACTTTCAACCAACATTTTTAATCAAAATGAACTCTTCTTCAATTAACATGTCTTCAATCAACATTTCTTCAATCAACTATTAAAGCTATTCCAACATTGCTAGTTTCAAGTCTATTTGCAAAACAAAGTATTCGTTCATCAGAAATTGATTTTGGCTGAATACTTTTTTTCTTCTACAAATGGGATTAAATTGTAACAACCGCTATCTTCAGTTGGATGTTTCTTTAACCCAAAGGTATTTAATATTTTGTATTTATAATAATTGCTCCATAAGTTCAGGGTGACTAATAAAATATATTTTTGTATTCGCTTACTAATCAGTGCATTATATAGTGTTTGTGAGAGAAGAAGTGCAGTGTAGTATTCTTTTGATCTTAATGTTTTATTTAATTATTTTTCCCTCAGCTTAAACTTAATTGTCTGTTTAAAAATTAAGAAGTTTTGAATGCTGCATTTTTATTAACATTATTTTAAGAACATTATTCTTATCCTGATTGCTATTTGGATGATAAAAGATAATAAAGCTCTAGTAAATAAATCATATAGGAATTTTTATGAGAAAGTATTACTGGTATTCTATTCTTACAGAATAATTGAGTGATTTTTTTTATATATAACTAATCTCAGGCGTGTAGAGAGGGTAACAGTGATTAGTATAAACTCTAAATAAATGTGGATTTAAGTGATCAACTTTGGATTTATAGCTTTTGACTAAATAATAAAGCAATGAAAATAAATATGATACGATGGAATTTTTATTTTATTTTAAATTTAACTTCTAGTACATGTTTTAAGGAATATTAGAGAAAATAGAGTACTTTTTTTGTAGTTGTATAAAAATAGTTGCACCATTTAACATTGGATTATATAAATTTGTCAGTTATTTGTAACTTGTTGCATTCGGCTTATATTATAAGTCTAATAACAGTTATTTTCGATCTTTTAATAAATTATTATTTAATTTGAATACTTATGCTTTGTTACAGATGTCACCTGTGAACAAATTGGAATTATCAATTTATAGCATATTTGGTTCACTTTTAGTTTATTATTTTATAGCTATGATTTGTATGTTATTTAATTTATTACAACAAGTTATTCTAACGTACTAATACTAAATAATTACATCAATATTTTAGTACACAATCCATTTATGTATATTTAATAAACATCTTACATTAGTGTCTAAACATAATCTTACTTAAGCTACAAAGTTGCAAGTTAACGAACATTTTTAAATTAAAATTTGTTTAGAAGAATATAAAAGCTATATATTGTAAAAACAAAAAAGAAATATTACCGAAATTGGTATTTATTATAATAGTATTCATAATGACGCATTAAATTGTGAGCTGTGTATGTATTACACAAGATTACTATAATAATTATGTACAATTCTTGCATCTTAACTAAGTAATAAAAAGTGATGACAATACGTTTTATGATAGAATTAATAATTTTATTATTATTGTAACTAATTATTATATTATATGAAAATTTGCTGAAAATAATTTTTATGTACTGTATATATGTGTAAGAAAAATAAGAGTGTTATATCCTTAACCTTTTGTATTGTTGTAGTTGATATTTATACAAATGAATCATGCCTAATAATTTTAATTTTCATCATCATTAGATCATTAAATGAATAATTGATTTAGTATTTATAAGGAACTGTAGTTTGTATGAGGTAGATGCCACATATATAAGGGCACCTCATGGTATTAGACTTCTGTTAAGTTAAACTTTGCTTACAATAAGTAACAGTCAATGGATGAATTAGGTTTCTCTTAAGTATTTTGTAAGATCAATACTGCTTAAAGCTAATAATTCATTTATTATATTTCATAATGAGCACTACAAATCAAGTAACTTGACACAACCTTTTTTAATAAAGTTTGTTCAAACATACATTCATTTATATCAATTAAATATAATTTATAATAAAATTCTTATAATATTAACAAGAATTTTCAATTAATTGAAATAATTTTTTTGCATTTTCTTGTATTTCTTTAACAGGACTATCACAATATCTTTTTACTTGCTTATTAAAGTCTGGAGACTGATACAATTTGAGATGTTCTTGATCTAGACCATCTGAAAGAAAATAAAGTATATCATCAAAGAATCTAAGCAACATGGCATATACTATCAGATAGAGAAAATTATGTTTCTACTCAAGCTTGTCCATTGTTTAGCGCATAATTCAAATTAAAAGTATATGGTATTAACGACACTAAGATGGTGGCCATCTTACTAAGAATTTAAAACCATAAAGAAATGTTGGTACATTTTTTATATTTTACAGTCTATAATTTTTATGAAAAGTAGGTGAAATTAATTATTAGTTTTATGTACTTTTCCGTATTATGCATTCAATAACATCTAATATTTTCAAAATAATTGGAATGGATGTTGATGTTTCATTCAAAATTTCAATAGTATAATTAACTAGTTTTTTTTGTTCATTTTTGTGCAAAGATCCAAATGATGAAACATATAAAATATTCCTGAAAATATAAAAGTAATTTATAAGTAAAACAATTCAATTAGAATTGCAGATGTTATATATTTTTTATTTTTCATTAATTTATATACTCAAACTCACTTGAACAAGCATAGTATTGATACTGCCAAAACTGTACTTTTTTCCTTCCCGGAATTTATTAAAATATCAAGGAACCATCCCATATTACTTTCTATTAAATTTGCCGGGTATTTATAAACATCATTACCACATTCGTAATCTAAAATAATTTAAGTACTTGACTTATAAAAATCAAATAAACTTAACTCAATATTATAATTTATAACAGATTTTGTTTTGTGTTATAAGAATTAATAAAAAAATAAGATTGTATATTAGAAAACACTTCTGTTAAAAATGTACCAAAGAATTATACATACTAAATCGAGCAAAATTTCCCAATGATCTTATAGCTGATACTTGTATGTATACATTTTTTGATTTCATTTTAATGATTAACCATTCCACTAGATACAAAACGGCATCTCTTTTATCAATTTCCTGAGCACTATCTTTAACAATAATTAAAAGTGATCACATTTTCTAATAACAGCAAATAATAAAAAAATACTTAGCTTAAACACACCTAATTAGTTTCAGTATAGCATTAAAAATTAAAATATATATATGTATACATATATAATATAAATAAAATATGAATGTATTACTATTTTATTCCCAATCCAGGGTAGGGTTCAGGGAGTCTATTCTTATATAAAACTTACAGTAATCGACAAAACATTTGTTTTATTCATAGTTGTGATCTAACATCGAAATTAACAATTATTTTATTAAACATTAGTGACTATCTAAAATGCAACACATTCACTATTTGACAGCAAACTTTAAAAAAGTTAAAATTAATACTGTTTTTAAATAAATTGAAAATAGACCCCATAGAAGTTTAAAATTGCTTTACATAAAAAGTAAATAAAATTTCACCCTTTTATTAATATATAGTTTAAGGAATAATCCTAGGTCATAAGCTTTAGTAGAATTAAATTTATATAGCCACATTTTTTTTTAAAAGTAAAATAATGTTCTTTTTTTAAAACAAATTGATGACAATTTTTTTTTTAATCGGAAAATACGCACCATCATTTGATAGTAACACTATTGTGTTACATATTTTTTTTATAATTTGGTTTGTGTCTTCTTCAAGTTTTTCTTCATAAACATTCAATACTTCAGCCATTATTTTATGTTTTCCATTTAATATCCAACAATAATTATCTAAATTAATAAAAATGTAGAGAATTGTCTAATTAGTGAAAATAATAGAAAAACATTTGTTCAACTTACTACTTGTTTTTGAAACTGTTTTGATAAACTTAATACAAATATAAGCAATATCACTGTGAGAGCTATGGTTTTCTAGCAACCAATCAATAATAGAACATTTTTCATACTTCGATATATCATTTTTTTTTGCAGATTTTTGGACAACATTGATTAATACTGATACTAAGTTAAAGTACAATTGACAATTGAACTTATAATTCATGTTAGAAACCCCAAAAGAGTTTAATTCTTCTGTCATATTATCTGGAAACTAATCATTTAAGTATAATACATATGTTACATAATAATGGTTCCCTGTTGTAGCAGACTACAATTAAATTAATTTCATTTGATAGGATTTTGGAAGGCAATTTTAATCATAATTCTTACTTCATATTCATATTCATGCAAATGAGTTAAGTTCATTAATAATCCAATGATAATAAACTGGGTACTTTGTTTATGATTCAAGCTAATTAGCTTTGTTGTAATTGATAGACATCCATCTTCCAATGCTCGTTTAGTATTTGCTTCTATTTCAATAAATCAGGTTTTCACAAAATTAAGCCTTTATTTCTACATTTTTAGTAATAATATAATTATTATATGGTATAATATATATATATAAGTAGTTAGTTATTAGTTTAGTTTTTATAATTCATAAAACTTATATGAGTTACTTAACAATATACTTTTGTAAAGTAATCAAAATAAATATTTATTATATGAACAATGGTAGCAAACTAATTTTGTTTATGAAACAACACAATATTTGTTTTGATACCACGTACATAATTTAACATCATAGACTAAATTGATTTAGTTATATATCTATACTGTTTTAAAAATGTTTTGCAGTATCCAAATTTGTATTATCTATTTTTTTGAAATGTATTCAAAATGGTATACCATTATAATAACACAAGTTCCCTATTACACGACCAGTTTGTATTAAACATTCTTCTGTAGTTTCAATATCATTTTGTAAAGCAAATGTCTGAAATGCATCAATAGTTATTTTGATCATTTTTTCTCCAAAATTATGTCTTGCCGATTCATCCGAGCATAATGATGCGACAACATTAAATGCAGCAGCTACAATATCATTACTATTTTCATTTGGCGAAAAAGGCAAATATTTTATTAAATCATTATAATCATTTTGTGACAAACCTAAAACATATTAAAAAAAAAAAAAAAAATTAATATTGTAATCTTGGGTAAACCGCCTAACACATGTTTACGTCATTTGATCCAGTAAATAATACCTAACATCAATTAACTAGCAATAAAATACTTAGAGTAATTATTAGATATATTTTTATTTAATAGGATGTCAAAAAATATGGAAGATACTTGAGATTTACACTAATTTAATTGTTTCCATTATTTATTAAAAAAATGGCACGTCCATTTATACCTTGTCTTTTATTTTAAAAATTTACTTGATAATATAATTTTTAGTTGCATATTGTTAAAATATTGATATTAATGCTGGATACAATTAACCATATAAAATTATGTCTAACAACTTACTTTTTGGATCAAGTTTAGAAAGAGAAGATAAATAATTACAAATTTCATATTGACTTGAATTATTTGTTGTTTTGTTCCCTTTTTCTCTATTAAAATACGATTTCAGAATATGAATATTTTCCATTTCGTAATGAAAAAACTAAGTGAATGTCATAAGAAACAAATTAATTTTCAAAACATTTTCTGTCGTATTCTAAATTTAAAAGTTCTATTTATTTAAATAATTAATTATTACTAGCAACATAATCTATTTTATTATTAAAAATTCAATTTTGATTTTTAAAAATTAAAAAAAAAAATCAAATCGACAAAAGTTTAACATTTATCAACATTCAACAATTAAATTTGTGAATTGTGAATTATAATTATTTATTATAATTTATTATGATTATTATGATGTTTAATGTTTATCACACGAAGACTAGTCTTCGCGGTTTATCATAACGTTTTATATTCGGGTTGCAACCACTTTTCCCAATTTGTATATTTTCCAAAGACCACATTTCCTATGGAAAAATTGTTTATTGGGAAAAATGAATTTGAGGTAAATTGTCCGTTGGGAATGTTTGTATTTCCATAAAATTGATAAATACCATTTTTTTCCAATAATCATTTTTTCTAAAATGTAAATCCTATCCTATGGAAATAATAAACATTGGAAATAATGGTTTATTACATTTAAATAATTTTGGTTTGCTTACCAATGAAATGATAATTTCTAGTTGTTGATAAATGATAATACCTCTGCTGGTCCTACGTAATTTTTTTTTGATTAAATACATGTATTTAATCTATGATTCCGTGTAATAAATTCAAACTATAAATATTGATAAAACTGATAATACTGATAAATATTATCACTATTAGTAATCAGCAGGACCTGTATAATCAGCATTGAGTATACGGCATTTAATACAAACTAACTAGACACGTAAAAAGTTATTCTTTTTGAAATTTGGTACAAAATTGTAATTTACCAAAATCAATGATGTAATTGTGTAATTTGTGTAAATGATAAAGATAGAATTATTGTTTCTAAAATGTTTAGAATTGAATCTTATATTACTTCTATTATTTTGAGTTATGTAGAAAAATATGTTAAAAATTTAAGACGTCAAGATGCTCAGGTATATGTTTTATTTTTATTAATTTAAAATAAATAAATTTTAGTGATTTATAACGAAATTATAATAATATTATTTAGGAATTACTTTCTGATGTATTGTACACTAATTTAAATATATTTTAGGTGTCTCTGTGGGACGGAGAAGGTCTTTTCCAAAACTTAGATTTGGATTTAGATGTGTTAGAAGAAGAGCTAAATTTACCATTCATTGTATTAAGTGGACATATTAATCAGCTTTTAATTCGAGTTCCTTGGACAAAACTAGGGTCGGAAGCAGTCAAAATCACTATTGATACAATTGGTAAAAAAAAGACTTTATAATATTACGTTAATAAGTTATTGAACCCCTAACAATTGAGTTGTGGTATAAAAGGATTGAACAATTTTTTTTGTTATTTAATTAGAATACGCCCGTACATTCTTTTTAGTTAACTTTTGTAAACAATACATACAATTGGTTTTATAACAAAATAAAAAAAAAAATTATGTAAGATAGATCAAGTGAGTACAAATTACTCATGTCACCAAATGTTTATTATACATTTATGTTACAAATTAAATACTAGTATCAATTTGTTCATATTGTTCCCATCGTTTTTTAGAATGTGTGTTAAAATTAAAAACATCACACCAGGAGAAGACCAGAAAACCAGATAAAAGGTATGTTAACTTTATATTAATTTTATAAATTTATAATGTTGTATTCTAAAATGTAGATTTTATAAATATTTCATGTCTATAATAATTGATTTGAAACAATCCGGAATAAATTACCGATAAGCTACTTGGGTATGAAGGTTGTTTATAACCATGATACTTTATTTATGTTAATCGTGACATTAACGAGTTATTATTTAATTATTGTTTAACTTTCGATAAGTGTACACTGGGAAACACTATTAATACTATATTTTAATTTTATATATTTTTAATTTAATATTACAATAATATTACTTTTAAATGATTATAATTTACAGAAAAAGCACAGATTATGATGAGTTACCACCTCCCTCATATGTGCAGAGTTTAATAAACAAAATAATTGGAAATTTATCTATTACTTGTAATAATGTGATTTTGAAGTTTGTTGAAGATGATATAGTATTGTCTATGAATATAAAGTCAATAACATTTGATTCTTGCAATGAAAATTGGATTTCTGATATTATAGGTTAGTTTAAATTTATCATAATTAAGTATACAATATTTTCATCATCATTTAGTCGAACCTTGAAGGCCCAACGTTGCCATCATGAGATGATTTATTGAAAAAGTCGCTTTTTTGAATGGCCATTCAGTTCATCACTGTAGTGGGGATGGCGGTTTCTTTTCACTAGACAGTTTCTTGTCCACCAAATAAATCTGCCTAAATGTACCTTTAATAGAGAACGCTAACTTAACTGCCACCTTACTGACTCAACCAATTGTACTCCCATACATTTTATTTTACAAATATTTTTTTACTTATAAATGTAAAATGTTCTTTTATAAGTTGAAAAATTAACTAACTATATTAGTATACTAAGAGACATAATCGTGCAATTCTTTCCCCATTTGGTGAATTGGTATTTTTATTTTTTAAAAAGTGGTAAGGGGAGGGCAGGGGTAGTTACAAAAAATTAAAGAGAAAAGTTGTATGCATTTTTTTATTTAACAAATGTGTTATTATTTGAGTTACTTTTTGTATTAATTGGTAATTATTAACCAGTATTATAATAAGGTTTTAATATTTATAATTTTTTTTTCAGAATTAACACCAACTCAATTAATTTTAAGAAAGATAATTGATTTTTCTGATGTAACTATTTGTCTGGACAGAAGAAATGCTTCAGGATGCATAGAAACATATTTAGAACCTTTGCTGTATAAATGCTCAATGTCTATTCGATTATGTCGCATGTATCGATCCCCTCATTCAGTTCGACCTTATTCGACTCAAATAAATATGTTCTGCTCAAAAATAGCATTTACACTTACTGAACCTCAGTTACCAATGTTTTTAAGGTTGTTAACTATGGTGCTTGAATTTAATCGAACAGATACATCAGAAATTAATTATTGCACTGATGATGACAAAAGAAGTCCTAGCAGCTGTAGCTCAAGTAATTATTACGAGTATTTAACATTAAAATTTAAATCTTTTTCTAGAAAAATATACATTTATTTCATTCCGAGCTATTATATAATAGTTTATTAGGCTCATTTAAAGCGTAGTCAATAATTGTAATTTTGCTTGTCAATAACAACCACTCTAATTATTACAAGGATGAGAATGAGTGCTCAAGTGTGTAAGGCTACAGTATGTTAGCTCTATCCATAATTCTACACTCGGACAAGAGTGGACTATCTCTTAAGGTCTGTACTAGAAAGAGAGCGACTACCCTCATTCTCCTAGACTAAACTATGCCTAAAGCTTATTCTGGACCAATAAAGCTGTACAAATATATAAATAATAATAAAAATATAGTTTTTGTGTATATTAAATATTTGATATAAATTTAAAATCGATTATCAAACTTATATTAAACTATGTAGAATAAATACAAAATTGTGCATAATTCTATATTTTAAGATTACTTGGAAAGTCTAATTATTAAACATGTTTTATTTTTTATAGTTGCATTTAATATTAACATATTTTTTTTGTTGTTTCTGTTTATTTTATGTTTAAAAACATTTTTTTTTAAATATTGTTAAGTGATCATTATTGGTTATAGTTTCAGAATCAAACTTAAATCATAATGATGGTTGGGTTGATTGGATGTGGAGTTGGGTACCTAGTGTAACATTAGACAATGCAAACATTAATGATGCTTCATTCAGTTCTATAAACTCAATAATACACGGGCATACATTAAGTACAGGAATATACATAGAAACTCTTTTATTTATTTTTAAAGTAAGTATATTATCATAAATTATACAATTAAAATTTGTACTAAATAACACGGTGCTACAGTGATGCTAAACTTTTCAAGTGACCACCTAGTGCAGGTTTTAGGTCTGGTGGTGTCCCCAAAAAAATGTTTGAAATTTTTTTACACCCTCAAATTTTTTATACCTAAAATCAGTTTTCCCAAGAGAATTTAACGTTAAATTGAAATTTTGAGGGTGTAAAAATATTTTCAAACGCCATTTTATGTTGGATCCACCAGAGCTCAAACATAAATTAACACTATATTTTATATAATGGGAAATATGCTATAATATATTATGTGTTATTAGTCTTATATCTTAAATTTTGTCTTTTAGATAACATCAAAAAAAGCAAATGATTATAGGCCATTAATTCAAATTAATTGTTTTGGCACTATGTTTGAATTAATTTCGCATCATTCAGATTGGATAAATATTCGATTTGGAATGAGTAAATCTACCCTCGAGTCTTTAGGGTACTGTACATGTGGAGCTCAAGACTGTTATACGGTTTGTTTATTAATCATGCCATATTTATAACTAAAATATAAGTTAAATAAATTACTATTTTTAAAATAGTATAATTTTATTTTTCATTACAGAATACATATTTTTCATCAGGTTCAGAACAACAATCGTATTTATTGAATTCGTTATTTAATACAAATTTGTCATTTGATCCAAATTCTGATTTAAAAGAATTTTCCTTAGATCATCACTTAAATAAATATAGTGGTGAGTATTCCTAAGTAGTATTTTCAAATATATTTACAAAAGTTAGTAGCTTGACCCTTTGAACTTTTTACAGAAACAATTCTTTTAGAAAAAACGCCCGCATTTTCAATGGATTATTTGTCTACTCAAATTTATCATCCACAGCAACAAAGCTATGATGATAATGATGAAATTTCAAATTTTGTGTAAGTAATAATCATAATAAGTGGCTTTATTTTCCATTTTTCTATGATTTGAGGGGTTGTATGAATATTGATTGGGCGGAAACATGTGTCGGTGCTTGAGGGCACTGTTCAACTTTCAGCTAACCTTAACATTGTTCAATCCTAGCATTAGGTCTCTGGTGTAAGCTGACCATAATTATGAATTACCGAAACCTTCCTTTTTTTTAGTTAACTATGCTTGCTTGCAAGGGTGGCTCCAGGAGGGGGGCCTAGGTGCCGTGGCCCCCCTAGGCTCGTATTTAAAAAAAAATTTATACAGTTAAAAAATAAATTACATATTATACTATAAAATTGTTGTTTTTTTGTTATAAAGTTTTTTGAAAATTATGACTTGCCCCCCCCCCCAACCAAGTCCCTGGAGCCGCCCCTGCTTCCTTGCGCTAAGTTACCCAAAAACCAGCTATGATTCTCAAATATGTGAGAGGTTAACCAGTAAGCATGTTAGAATAGGAACTACAAGAATTTTTATCTGGCGTTTTTCTTTGATACATTTTTTTTTGTGTGGCCAGTGTAGATAAGTGGTGATGTTGGCTAAGACTTATATAATGTGGTCATCATTTCTACTCCTGGTACAGTGCTAAACATTTCTCGCGGTATTCCGAGACTACATGTGCCATCAATCGATTGCACGTACCCGTTTCCCAATAGGATCGACTACTAGTAGTGGCATTCATACCTAAACCTTTTAACTTAACAAAGATTGGTGGTACACTCTACTACCAACACAAAGTGAAAAGTGTTGCTAAGATCATCACAAAAATATTAATCTTGAAGACATTAAAAAAAAATTGTTTTGTGTATTATAAAATATAATTCTTATGTTTTTTATAGGACTGAAGAAAAATGTTTACTTCGGTTTGTCGCGGGACCAAGTGTTATGAATATTTCTTCGGGACTTATACACAGAATTGAATTTATTTATAAATTAATACTTAGCCATGATTCTAAATTTTTCACTTCACAGCCAGAAAATTCTCAAATAGGTAATAATATTTCAAATTTAAAAGTTACATCCTTAGTATTATTAATAAAAATGTTTGGATAGATGTGGAAGACAAACATAGTACTTTAGTTAATTCTAATGTTGAACTCATGGTGTATCAAATTACAATATTCAGTCCAGTCGTAAAAGTATTTCCAGCTTGCCATGTTCCATTATCTTCTCAGAAATACAGAGTAAGTTTTATTATTTTATTTTCATTATAATTACGCTTCAACTACCAGGTTAGCATGGGAGAATATTTTTTAATTAATTAATTTTAATCCTTAAAAAATGTATTAAAATTAATTATTAAAAAATATTCTCCCATATTTGTAACTTTACAGAAAAATCAAAAAACCTGCAATAAACAATTTGATCCAGCATTTGAAAACCCACCAGTAGCTGTCTTTGAATTAAAAGTTTTTGATTGCCGAATTGTCACACCAAAAAAAAAATCAATGTGGTTTTTATTGCCATCTAATATTGTACAAAATATCGCTGAAGAAAAGAAATCACAATTAAAAATTAGAACCATTTTCAGAGTAATAATACCATTATAATGCTTACAAATGTTTTTTTATATCACATAATATACAATTATCATGATTTTTTTCAGATAAAAGACATTTTACTCAACATAAATCTTCCTAAATCTACACAAAAATTGCTAAAAATTAATAATGTATCTTATAATACTACCACAGATTGTTTTCACACTTATAACTCTGATTCTATTTTAGATATTGGTAAAAAATTAAGTTTTTACTTTTTATAATTTTCAGTTTATTTTGATTATACTAATTGTATTGTACTTAGATATGATTACTGTTTCCACATCCAAAGAAAACTATTTGTTAATGTACTACATATTATACTCACAAATAATGTCCAATCATCGGCGTTTGATATATATAACTAATTATATTTTCAAATCTTCATTATTAAATGATGCCCCAGGTATTAATTTAACTAATTAATCTATATATTAAACAAATATTTGTTTATTATTCAACGAGGAATATAATTATCCCCCTATACCAAGTAAAATTGTAATTTATAATCACTGTTATTTTAATTTATTTTATTAGGTACAATTATACTAAAAATAACATTAGAAGGTGCGAAAATGTTTCATAAGTTGGACTGTCAAACAACATGTACTAAGATAATATTTAACAACTGCACTACTAAAATTGTAAATAACATATTGAATAAAGACAATGGAGAAAGTACAATTTTATTTTCAACTCCAGAGTTTATTCATAATTCTTTACCTTTTCTACATAGTAAGTGATAAATATAACTATATATAATATCTTTATTTTTAACTCTTATGAACAAGAATATATAATTTAGTATTTATTTATCCCTTTATGAAAATTACTTAATACTTAATAATTCGAATCAAATATTAATGAAATCAATATAAAACTTTTCATCTATAAACAATTTTTTAATCATTTTAATTACAAAAATACATTTTAGAATTTGTTTTTCAGTTATTCTGCAGACCCCATTTGAAAAAGACACTACAGCAATTCCATTAGTATTTTTAAAAGTTGGACAGTTGGATATGAATTTTGATCCATTATTTTTTGACTGGTTGGTTTATGTGCCAGAGATGTACAAAAAAAAAGAAATGAAAAAAAAAACATCATCAGTTTCTGACTTAGCATTTTTTAGGTTATTGTTTTACATTTTTTGTTCAATTAAATCTAATAGTTAAAAAATAACATAAGTACATGTTTTATTTACAGTGCTCCTAGTCGAAAAATATCAGAAACTAGTATTAGTAGTGATACAAAAAAGAAAACATCTAAGGCTTCTATCCAAAGTAGTGTTTCAGAAAATATTTCATTCCATTCAGCTAATTACATGCATTTAAAAAGCGAAGTAATTTACTGAAATATGTTTTTTTTAAATTATTATTAAGGCCTTTTTGTTAAGGCATTGCTAAATTTCAAATCATACATAATTAATATTTATTCTTAAAACAAATACCTAAAAGATATTATTCTATTGGTTTTTTATTAATTTTTTTACTTTTATAAAAAGTATAAAATATTTGATAAAAAATACATTGAAACAATACTACAGTTTTTTCCTTTTATTTTTTAGATCTAACATAATCACAATCGCTCAAATTATTAATTTGATTATTTATTTTGTAATTTTCATTAATTTATTCTAGTCAAAAGAAATAAGAATTGTTCGTTTATTTGACAAATGGAAATCATCGATTATATTTGCTGATATGTCTAAAGTTGCACTTTATTTCCCAAGCAAAACATTATCTACTTTGAAAAAAAATGCTGGTTGTAAGCATTTTGACTTGCATGAGTTACTTCAAATGTCAATTAACAATGGCAACGGATTACTTGTGCTGAAAATCTCTAGTATATCTTTAAAATGTGCAATACTTAAACAACATGTTGAACAGTATTTGAATATGTCGCCAGTTCGATTTCCCAATAATTTATGGTCTAACGGTAATAATCATATTATATATCATCTAGGAAGCATTTTTGTTTTTAAATAAAAATATTAGTCGTTGATTAATTGTAATAATACTGTTTCTTTTAGATGGTGTTTATTTTCCATGGGAACTTAATTTTTGCAAGTTGGAATGCTATACACTACACAATTCTTATGAAATAGCATTCAAAAAATCATATAAACATAAAGTGCAGCTTCTTTATCCGTTTAGTGCACTGTGTACTTTAGGTATTACAACACAAAGCCACGATAACGATGTTCAATCATTAAAAAGTCTCGCAGCATGCATACACTGTGATTCTGATCCTATTTCACTTTGCATATCAGAACAACAAGTAAATAAAAAAGTAAAAATCCAAAAAAATGTTTTTAATTAAAATTTATTTCATAAGGTTCGCCTTGTCGCTCATTTATTAAAAAGGCTAATTGATGTGTCCAAAGTCATATATTCAAATGTCCAGTATGGGACATTATTTAATCGTTCAGTGGCTCACGAAATGTCATCTATACCTGAAGATGAAGCTGTTGAAAGCAAAAAACATACAAGTACAAGTAGTTTTGTAATTTTTTTCTTATTAAAACACTGCATTATATATATTAACATTTTAACAGTTCAAAGCAAATTTGAAGAAACTATGAAATTATCGGGGTGGTTTCAGTGGACTCTAGCTCGTTTGTCATTTACTATAAGAAACAACCCCGAATATAATTCTTCGGAAAATATTAAACTTGTATTTAATTTAGAAGACGTCATTAGTTCACTAGACTTTGGATTATCATACAATAAATTAAAGTTGAAAGTGTCATCAGCTTCAATTCAACATTTTACTAAGTAAACATTTTTTTATTTATCAATATATATTTTTTAGCTTTGGTGCAAAGCATTTCAATTCATTCAGATCAATTTGATGTAAGACACGTTCATTTTTAGAGAAAATATTATTTTGTAGTTTTTTTAAAAATATTTTTGTGTGTTTTTTATAATATTATAAACTTTACGTAATTGGTGAAACAAAATTTTAATAGATTATTATCATTATTAAAAGTTAATATAATACATATGTTGACTTTTTTAATTTCATAAATGTGTAAATACATTTTTGTTATTAAAAGCACCCCAAAAAATAAAGACTTTGTCAATATACATTTACTTATATTTGGTAGTTTTTACCATCTAAAGTTTTGCATCAAAGTGTATATTTGAAATTGATTTTACCACATTTAGCTATTATAATTCTTTAACACTTATGACCTCTCCAACCTTAATATGTTCTGTTCCTACTATGCTCTGACTTCACTGTACTGTATTTTTATTATTAACTTTTATATTACATTTATTATTATATTTTTTTTTTTTAATGAAGAAACGTCAAAGAAGAACATTGGAAACATGGTCCATATTTAGGATTAATGCTTAAAGGTTATGATTCATTAAATAGCTCAAAAAACTCATCTAAGACTGATGGATTTTTAAATTTTACTTTAACACGAGCTTTCAAAAATTCTTTTCAATCAACCAAAACAAATAGAGACATCATATCACCTCACATGGTATTTATTTTATAATAATATATCTAAATCAAAATTTACAATCTATATCTAATACAAAATTATTACCAAGTAAATTTATTATATTAATTGACAAATTATTATTTAAGGTTGGCGATGAAATGTTCAAGTTGAATCATCAATTTATGAATGAATTTATAATGGAAATCGTAATTGAAGTGCAACCAATTGATATTGTTTTATCACCGTTCATTATTCATACATTTTTATCTGTTGTTGATCCTCTCATTAGTGTTTTGTTAGATTCAAAATACATGATATATTCTTCTTCTAATGACCAATATTTGGAATCGAAAAAAAAATTATCATGTTCTACATTACCGCTATTTTATTTAGATATAGCAATGATGCGTGTATTTGTGCCTATTTCATCGCCAAATTCTGAAATTCAAGATCAAGATACTATTATAATTCAAGTACTATATAATTTAAAAAGTAATTTTAGTTAATGCTTATGTAATAACATTAGATTTACATATTTTGTAGATAGATTCTATTAAAATAAACCAAAATCCTGAAAATCCAATTACTCGAACACCAATTAGAAAAGATTTATACATTGAAGCGGAAAAAAAAGGATTATTGACCATTCCTGGATCCATTATTGAGGACCGTCAATATCAAATAATGATTAATGATTTTTCTATTAGATGTGGATTTTGGGTTGATCTTAAGCAAGTTTTAGAAAATATTCAGTCTTTATCCACCTCAGATCCTGACCATCAGCCAAATGCTGCCTTGTTGTGGAATGAAGGAATAAGACCTAAATCTATAGGAAGTACAAATTTAGATGATGTTTACTTGTCAACTTTGTGCAACCGTTTATCATTTCATTCAGTTTTTGCTCCAGCTATTATATTCGAACCTGAAAACACTTTAGTTTGTGGCAGTTGGATTGAAGTGAGTATTTTATAAAAAGTATTATTATTATTTTATATTTATTATATAAAAATAATTTTGTAGGTGAACACACTTACTGAAATAAATGTGACAATATCAATAGAGCAATTTCGTTTATTAAACCTTTTATTGACTCAGTACAAAGATTATATTTTGAGTCATTTAAAAACAAGTACTATAAATCAAGAAAATTTCACACAAAATGCAACAAATTCAATAAATGAATCGGTAACTATCGATAGTGGCATTCACTCTACAGAAGATTCTTCAAAAATGTACGACAATGAATATAATTCAGTTTCGTTCACTGAAAATAAAATGTCTAGCTCAAATTTACCAACATCAGTAAAAAAGTAAATTAAATAAGTACCTGTTATATTATAACGTACTATAAAATTAAGAATGAATGCAGGACAATTTTATTTTAACCGCAACACAAATAACATTAAAATTGTATTGTTATTTTTGTCTGAGTGTTCTACTCATTTTCGCTTAGATTTATTGTTTATGTATGAGATAAATTTGTATAAAAACATCATTAACTAGCCTATAATTTTATAATTTTAATTATTAATAATCGTTTTCAGAAATAGCATAACAGAAAATAAAATTCCAATAGACATAATTATCACGGGTAATCAAATTAATTTAAATTTCTTCAACGTTGTAATAAAAAACAAATTCAGAGTGACTGAACCACTGTTGTATATCACCTTTCAACAACCACATGTCTTTTTTTCGGACACAAACAACTGTGAATCTTGTCAAGTAAGTGTTTTAATTTTCTTGTTAAAAGAATAAATCAATTTATAAAATAATTTTATTTGTATATTATTTTGTAGGTAATATTTTTCGATGTAGCTGTGTTTTTAGCACCGCCCAATACAAGTTGTGAAATCGATATACCTGACCCTAATATTTATTCTATTACGTTATTTGAAACTAAGTCCAATAGAACAGATGAGATTCCTTTAGCCTTTTTTACATTAAAAATGTCTTGTCCGCTTACTATTGGTCAATATAAAGTACTAAATAATTTCTACTTTTTAGTAGTATCTATTAATTTTTAATCATTTTATTTCTCTAATTTTGTTCATTTTTTTACTAGGTTGATTTGAATTTAGGACGAGCTATTTCTTTGTTACTAAACAAACAAAAACTGGATCATATGAAAAATCTTTTGGAAACTGTAACATCTATTTTAAATATAAATACTCTTACTGACACAAAGCTTATTAATATTGGTAACATTGGTGTTAAGTAAGTATACATTTAATGCATGTCTTTAGAAAATAATAATTTCACCTCTTCTAATTTTTTTCCTAATTTCTGATGAGAATTGGATTACTAAACTTTTAATAGAGAATAATATATCTGACGGTGCTCGCCTGGTTAGATTAAATTGTTAATGCCTGTAGTTTAGTTTATTCTAATTCTGAATAGGTTATTGTTGGTTTAGTCTGATTATTGGTCAGTTCATGAATTATTATTGCTAATTTACGGTCTTTTTGTAGATCTTTTGATAGCGAAAGTTTAAACAATCCTGGCAAAAATAAATCTATTGGACCTCAATATGCGGCTAATGATTTTGATTTGAATAAATATAAAGACATTACGACAGTGGCTGATGAAATAAGTGAAATAATCGCCGAAAATCCAATCGAATCTCCAATGGTATCGAGCCCACAAGAAAATCTTTGGTATTCAAAACCTTCTGTGATATCTTTAACAACACAACAGATTTTTTTACTTCTGACAACAAAACACAATGGTACTACTTATTTTGTTAGACTTAACTTGTTATACTTTACCTAAATACTTTTTATATTTATAATAATATTTTGTTTCTAGATAATATTATATTTAGTATTGAAAGTGTTTATTCAAAACTCAATTCATTATGGAAAATGCCATCAGAACGTTTAAATGGGGAAATAACGTTGAATAGTATGACAATTTCTGTTGGCCACGACTGGCCAAATATACAAACAAATGATCTAGTATTACATCCTTGGACAATGTCTGTGGAAATAAATTTGTCATCAGATTCGTGGATTCCTAAATATTATAGGCCTTCTAAACATATAAAAATCACGTCGGATTTCATATCTGTTGATATGTCACCCAGTCATTTTGAAACCTTAAAATTAATCCTGAATGAATTTAAATATTTAATAGATTTCAATAAAAATAAAAAAGAAAATGAAAACCTTAGTAAGTTGTACATCAATTAGTATGTTGTTAAAAAATAAATGAAAATTTTCAGTATCATAATATTTAATTTAACAATTATTTTACACTCTTGGTTAACTAGATTCTGAATCTGACGAACAATTTTACCAAGATGATCTTAGGGCTGGTGCATTCCATTTTATTGAATCTGACAACTCTGAATTACCTTTACCCTATCAAATCTTTTTTACCGAAAATGTCAACAATAATCCACCAAGAATAACATGGCGATATCCTCAACCTAGAACTTTAACTAAAATCGAAGTACAGCCATTTCCTATGGAGGTAAGTAAATTAATATTTATTCTAATAATATTTGCTGTAAAATTTGAATTGTTTTATGAAAAATTAAGGTTGATGTAGACATTGAACTACATTTGCAATTGTACGACGAAATACAGCATTGTTTTAGAGAATATACAAATTTTACATTTCCAAAAGATGATTCAATGTTGTTAAGACTTGATTCTTTGCAAACTGTATCAAATGTATGGCGTATTACAATGAGTAATTCGTGTGCACTTAATTTACCTCTACAAATCAAGTATTATGTAACACAATTTAATACATTACTAGACACTAAAACTGTCATCGCTGTTTTAGAAGTTTGGCTGGATGTCTTCGCGTTGATTCTTATTTTTCTCCTAGTTTGGTACCATATTTGCAATTTTCGTTATCAACACAAACAATAAAAGTAAATTCTCTAAACTATTAATTAGTATAAAATAATAATAATTATTTTTTTTTTTTTTTTTAGGCAAATATTTCTTATAGTATTAAAAAAAAAACTAATCTTCCAAGATATGATTGCATTTCTGAAGTTCCGCCAAAACATAAATTAGTGTTGTTTATTTTAGATCAAGTAAATATCGGCTTTAAAATTCAAGAAGGTATGTATAATTATATTAAATAAGATAATATTAATATCATCTTGTATTTTTATTATATTTTATAAAAATGTATTTAATTTTAAACAGGGGAAACGAGTACATCAGCTCAAGCTCATGTTAAAATTGAACTGTTGAATTATGGTACATTAACTCAGATACCAATTTTTAAATTATTTTGTTTATTTACTAGTCTTCATACAATCAAACCAAGTATGATAAATAACTAGTTGTCTAATGCGTAATCATCATAGTAGTAATATTAAAAAAAAATTTAGTACCAGATGTCCAGTACAACATTCAAACTGGACCAATTGCATGCCAACTGGGTCCCAGTATTATAAATTCTTTAAGGGCGGCTATAGATTTATGGAAAAATGATTTGGTTGATATTACCACACCTTATCTTATTTGCAATGACACCAATTTTTCAATAACGTTTGTATATTTTACTTCCATCATATCTTATAGTTCTTTCTAAGATACATACTAATTTAATTTTACAATAATAATTATTCATCCATGTAGATTTGGACAAGCTAATACTAATGAAACTGTGACGCTAAATTGTCTTCAGTGTTATCAATACACATGGTGCGTGCCATCCAAGAGTCCTCAATTAAAAATTGCTATTGGAAATTCTGACAAGTAATAACATTAGTTTTAATAATTTTGTAGCATTTATAATTGTTATCAATCTGTTAATTTATAATTTATAAAAGTGGCTTGAATCAAAAGGGTTGCAGTATGACTGCTATCTTTACATTTTTAAACTATAATTTTATTAGGTATTATTATTAACACTGAATAGGAATTACGTGTCTAATAAGTGACTCGTTCCTTCTGGAAAAAACCTTGTCTACAAGGTGTTAGGGAGATTTTCTTTTAAAGATAATTTCAACCTTAAAATACAATTTTTTGTGTCACTCTTGGAATCATTATAAAAAATAAGTTGTACAAAATTGTCTGACTGCTGTTTAAAATAAAAGTCAACATGTGCCAAGACCCTCATAGTAGATATTGCCTTAAAACCATTTTATATTTAGTTTCATATTATGTTACAGTTCAGAATAACATTTTTTTGAATGAACAAATTAAAAACGTTCTTTGTAAAGTTCAAAGAATGAGTAACTTTTGACATTCAGTTTAGAATATTGGGTTTAAACAAATTTGTTTAAAATCCAAATTTATAATGTTCAACTGGATTAACTTGGAAGTATAAATATATTTATTTTGTAAATTGTTTTTTTGTTAGCTTATCATGGAGTGATGAGTTTGCTATACTCCCTGACAATTTATTGTCGTTTACAATAAATAATGGTAACGGAGAGATTTATTCACTAATAGTGTCCACTAAAACTATATCTGCCACAATCAAAGTATACCAAACAAATATATTAAATAATTTATGCAAATAATGACTTATAAATGTTAAACATTTTTATTATTTTAGGTTGTTGTATCTAGTCAATTGAATATTTTAAACAAAACACATTATTTTTTGGATGCTCGATTAGCAAAAATTAAACAATGTGATGGACAAAAAAATATTAACCAACATTTAGTGTTTGAAATGTTATCTGTACAGCCCGGAAATGTATCACCATCAATAGCATTACATGCAGGACTTAAAGTTACGCTTAAATTACGTTTTTTTTCTTCCAATTTCGATGGCCCATGGTCAGGGCCTATTCCATTACATTCAGTCGAACCAATAAATGGGAATCAAAATTCTTGGCTTGTTAAAAGTTTGTATTTTTTCCATTATCATATACCTAATTTTTTATAACCATTAATAAACTATCAGTTGACCAACAAAAATCATAAAATGTTTTATAGTTCCGAAAAAAGAAAATATTAAACAGTTTCGAAGTGTTTGGTGTCATTTATTCATTGAACATGTTAACAAAATACCACGTATTCTAGTAAGTAAAAAATATCTCAACTAATCGAATTCCAACAGCAATTATGCTTTGTTCTAATTTTATAACTAATATATATTACAAATTCTCAATAAAATATTGGCTAGAATCAAAAATCTTTTAAAATAGAAAAATTATATAAAAACAATTTTTTAGCATTCCTAAAATGTTATAGAAGCTAAAAACAATAAAATGAGATTCCTTAGGATCTATCCCTTGTATAACTTCTATAAACCTGTATAAAAAGAAATTTATATAATGTAATAATATACAAAAATATATTGAATTTATTGATACAATATACTTGGTTAGATTCTAAATATCTAACAAAATATGTTATTATATAGATTTTAATAATGCCAATGTATGTGGTTCATTCGTATTTGCCGTACGATACGTTATTGAACTTTGAATTGGCTGAAAATAAATTTGAACGCAGTACTGTTGTTCAAGTAAAATCTGCTATTGACATAAAGGATGTACAGCCTATTGATTTACCAGGCACAATGAAAGATATTTACAAACTAACATTTAAATTGGAGTAAGTAAAGTTAAAAACAATTTTTTTATTATTATTTAAATTTAAACATTTAAGCTCTCAAAAATCTGAAATTTGCTAGGTATATTTATTTAAAGTTTATTATTTAATTCTTAAGGTGTATTTTCTATTTAATTTTTTTTCCTTTAAGTAACATACACTTGTATATGTACATTTTTTATTCAATTTTTATTGTCATAAAGGTATTTTAGATTGTTTAAAATTTTGAATAGATACCTTTATCTATGTCCTGATTTCTTACGAGTTTTGTATTAATTTAAAAGTGTATTTGTCGTATTGTAACAAAACATAACATATTGTTTTCTATAAATAATATATAAACAGATAATAATTTATTATTTGTGGAAAACAAACTAATTGAAATATTGCTTATTATTAATTATTAAATTTTGCTCAACATTGTCCCCAGTTAAATAAGTAATAATTGTTTATTTCTTTATAAAATGTTATTATGTTTAATTATCTCATCACAACAAATTAACACATATGACTATGATTAAACGGAAAGTTTTATTGTTATTTTTTAAAAATATTTTAGTGAAGAATCTTCTGAATCTAGTCCACCAGTGTTGATATCATATTATAATGATATTGATAGTCAAGAAACTATAACTGACAACAGTTTCACGATTGAAGAACTTTTAAATGGTAAATATACAACAATGGAATCAGACACAAAATGGCCATTTGTTGGTACTCAGTTCGATAATGTCAAGTGGAAACAAAATAATATACCCGATACTCAAACAACAGTTAAAGTAATTTTGTTACATTATAAATTATCTATTTATGAACTTCTCATATCATTTATGCATCATATAGGTACAACACTATGGAAATATTGACTTTGCTAACGGTTCAACCAGAATCATTAAAATACAACCCTGGGCTTTAATAATAAATACATCTGGACAAATTATTACCTTGTCTAATTCATCAAATGCTCTTTGTACCTTAGAAAATTACTGCGTTGTAGCTCCGCCAATTATTGAGGTGGATAACTATTGTTTTAAAATTAGGCATACAGTTTTTTTTATATACTAACTTGTGTATTTTTAGGGTACTTTTTACATTGATATCAATATTAACTCTACAATTCATCGCTCAGAACCCCTCCAACTATCAGACAGTCAATCGTTTTATATGCCTCATGTCAATGGTTTAATTCCTTTAAATGGAAATTCATCAATAGTTATAAATTGTGGAAATTCAGTGAGTTTTTTTTTAATAAAACTAAAATATAAAATGTATTAATTTTGAATAATAAATTTAGATTGGTCACCTGAATATCAGCTCTTCACAGCATAATAATATGAGAACTGTTCATATTCAAAGTTTATACCTAGCTTCTAATCATAGTTCAATTGATTTAAGTATTTTAACTGTATGTTCTAATCCGTTGTCTGATAGCTTAAGCATACCAGAAAATTTGATTACACATTCTATTTATTTACCTCAAAATTATGATGATTTGTAAGTATATATATTATGTATATGTATTTGTGTTAAAGACAATGAATATTAAATTTTACAAACAAATTACAAAACTGCAAAAAATATTTTCATTATTTTTAGATGTAAACCTTTATCATTGTGGACTTTGGTTGGTAAAGAAAGTAAGCATAATGAAGAATTAGTTCAGTATGCAATTCTTATTTCCAATGGATGTGCAAGCTGTCCAATAAAATTGTCAGAACTATTAAATGAAAAAAATCCGTTACCTGTATTATTCTCCTCTTGTGATTCAAATCCATTAATCTGTGTTACATTACTAGAGCAAGATAATCAATACTTTTTTACCATTTACAATCAACCTTATCCACAAATAGTCGTTTACAATTTTTGTCCTGTATCTTTGACAATTGCAACTGCAAAAAAATCTAAAAACAAAGTAAAAGAACCCGTACTGTTCTCATCAGATTGGAATTGGATGTTTATAGTTTCATCCGGGAAAAATGCTTTTCTCTCATTTCCATACACAGTTGCAATTAAACGATTTCCCAAGTTACTAATTGGAATTAACGAAAATTCATTTAAAGGTTTGTATTAATTTTGGTTATACAACTAACTAATATAAGTAAACAAAACTTGATCACATATTTTTAGGCTGGTTTGCCAATATAGAGTTGAACATCTGTGAAAGTAGGCTGATACCTGTTCCTGGCCAAATGAATGACATAAAAGTATCAATAAAAAAGAAGGCCTTGACTTTACATGTAGTTTTTAAACCTGCTGCTCAGTTTGAGTTTTCTGCCAATGAGGTTCGCTTACGATTAGCCAAAAACAATCAAATTAAAGGTACACATACAAAATGTATTTATATATATATATATATATATAATATATAATATATAAATTAGTACAATATTAGTATATATTATTTCACTTTAAATATTCTTAACAATTTCAGATACTTCGTCTATAAACGATGAACTTTTAAGTAACAACAAGTGTGATAACGATAATGGAACAACGAGTTATTCTCAAAATTCAATTCCATCAACTCTCAATAGTAAGTATATATTATGCCTATATTATGTATACTTCTTATCAAATAAATTGTTATTTTTATATTTTTTTAGGTTTATGGCCATCAATAAAATGTCATTTTCACACATTCGTGTTTACCCTTTTTATTGATGATTTTGGATATAATTCAAAAGCAATAATGGCTATAACATTAGATAATATTGCAGTTACTTTAAATGAAGTTAACGTAAATATTTTGTTTATTGTTGATTTGTGTTGTTTTTAATTTATGTTGTTACATCTTGTTTATTCCTACAAAATTGTTAATGTTTAGGAGACCACTAAAGAAGAAATGGAACTAACTATTTCGGTTAACAATGTACAAATCGATAACCATGCATTTATTGATGGACATTATGACTTTCCAGTAGTATTAGTTAAACAAAAGAAAAACATTGAAGATATATACTGTGATACTAGTTTTGTAAAACCGCTTTCTCAAATAATAAACAATTTAAGAAGATTAGATTCAGCTGTAACCGTGAAGTTAGTACTGGACAAGACTGATCAGTTGACATTTGGTAATCTAAATTTTTTTTACGTCTATAATTATTGATTATTGTATTTGAGTATCTAATGTTTTTTAAAACTTTAAAATTTTAGCTGTATTAGATTTGGAAATAACTCTATTCACATTTGAAGCGTTTATTGAAGATCGTTATTGTTATTTCATCTTAGAAACATTGAAAAGTTTCAAATCAACATTATCTACAATAAAACAAAATAATTACGTGCCAGATAATTTTGTTCCACTACATTACATGGTGTTGGCACATTCTCATGAATACCGTAATCCGTTGGTATTCAGAAATTTTATTATAAAACCATTTAAAATTATGATAAGCCTCCACACATCTACAACATTTTATGTTGCATTGGATCGTTCTCCCTTGGATTTTGCCGAATTTTCAAAGATAAACTTAATGGCTTCGTCATATCAACTTGGTCGAAGTTTGTCATTGCATTATTTCTTGAACGCAATGTACGGTACAGGTTGGGCATTAGGTTCATTGGAATTCTGGGGTTCACCTGGCGGTCTTGCTCGTTCGGTAGGAACTGGCTTGTACGATTTTGTTTCTTTATCAGCCCAAGGCATGACGGAAGGACCTAAAGAATTTTTCGTTGGTGTTCTAAGTGGTTCTGCATCTCTGGTTAAACACGTTACAACCGGAGCACTATCTTCAGTTACAAAATTTGCATCAAGTTGGTCGAGAACATTCAACCGATTAACACTAGAAGTAGAAGATCTAGAAGAAATAGAAGAAATTCGGCGACTGCGGCCACAAAATTTATCACAAGGAATAATTCAAGGACTTAGTGAATTTGGAATAAGTTTACTAGGAGCTGTTGGAGGGTTGGTCAATCACCCTATCCAGTATGCAATTCAAGAAGGTCCAGAGAGAAGAAGAGGATTTGTCAACACAGTTGCAATAGGTTTGGTTGAAGCTATAACAAAGCCAATAAGCGGAGCTGCTGAGTTTGTGGCCATGACGGGAGAGGGATTTTTGACCGGTGTTGGATGGATTAAAACTCCCCAAGTAAGATACTTATTATATGGAATTAAGTAAAAATAAATTGATTCTAGTTTTCAAAGAAGAAATTCTATTTGTCATAATAATGATAATTTAAAAAATGTACTTCAACAATTTCATTGCATAATGCATCAATTTTTTTCATTTGTTGGTACAAAATTAAGAGGATATTAGTATTATTTCATAAATATACTAATTACTATATTTAGCTGTAAATTTAAGTACAAATTTTTTTGTAAATAAAATAAATATTATTATTTGTTAATTTAGGTTTTTAAATTATTGTGCTAAGTGGCTACATAGAAGGGAATTTTGGGATAAATCCCTCCCAGGCAAATAAAAAAACCTTTATTTTTAATTTTATTATCCTAATAATTATTTAAACCATTAGTTTTGTTTTATTAAATTATTAAATCTCTATTTTTAATATTTAAGTACTAATTATTATTTTTAAAAACTTAATGGGTGTTCTACCACTTGACTTGCTGAACTAAGCACCCACGTTTTTTTTTGTATTAGAGTAATATGAACCCCTCCCCCTTATATTCATACATTGATCAATGTATGCACACTACTAATCGTATTTGAAAAATATAATTCATTTATAACTATCGTAATATAAATGTTTTCTTTTTACAGTTGCGATCAATCCCACACAACAGTAATTTAGCGTTCGGGACATCAGAACTCAGATACTCTTGGTTGATTTTAAATAAGCATTTAAGCCTTAATGAAAAGATACTTTTGATATGTGATGCAACCATGGATAATTTTGACCGTGAACAAAAGTTATTAGAATTTACAATAGTCTTAACAGATAAATGTCTGTTTTTAATCAACGACTTTAAAAACATACCACCAACTGTGCAACGTTTATCAATAACTCAAATAGTTACTCCTTGTTTAAGACACAGAGATCCTACGTTAGTTACATTTACTATATGCACATCAGCACAGGTTAGTATGAAAAGATTTTAATATTTTTCATAGTACAGTAAAAAACCTGTGAGACAAAGTCACTTATTATGCAGTTTTTTGTTTGATTCACTAAAATATACATACTAAACAATGTGGCAGGACTATACTCAAATTCAGTCTAATACAAATTACCCGTTTCTTAAGGGTCTGTTTTAGACAAGTTCCACTATATCTAAATTATGTTTACTGTTATAAATTATAAATACATTTTTTTTTTTATAACTATAGAATAATGCGACATATGCTCGTGTGGCAGATTATGTACGCAAGTCTCAGACCTATTTGAATGTAGAATCCAGATCAGAAGTAGAAAATGAAGACCAAACGCATAGATTTATGGTGAACCCTCAAATCCGTAATCATTTACTCAGCTTTATAGAATTCCTTAAACGACATAACCAAAATAAAGGATATGCTGTTATATAGTTAAATCCTATCAATTGTATGTGTAAATGTTATTTACAAATAATCAATTTGCAAAGTTATTGTATTATAAAGATCTGTGATACCCATATTTATTAATTATTACACTAAATATAGATTATAGTAAATTATTATTATGTGATTATATAATGTAAATCATAATTTTGAAAGTTTTGTATTTTATAAAAAAAAAAAATTGATGTTTTATTTATAATTTTTAACAAATTAACTACAATGATACTATCTGAAAATAGTATTTATATTTATTGTATGTGTATATCTGCCTATTTTATTGTAATATATCATGTTAGTTTTAAAAGTAAATCTATTATCTAAAGAAGTTCGCTGATGAACAAAAAATTAATCTAATGAAAATTCTATAGTTATCCTTTTTAAATGTAACGTATATTTTACCTATGTTTTATCACACTAGTCAACACATTTTGTACCAAATTTGTCATTTTAAATGTCAATTTTATATACTTGTTATGGTATGTTTCATATTTTAGTCTAAGCAGCTATATAAAATATATAGGAATATATATGTGATACAGAAAGTAAAAAGAGAATGTCAGTAAAGTTAATTTTGAGAAAAATGCCAATACATTGCTAAACTAAAATAAGTTGGTATCCCGTGCTAATGGCCTTCGTGTGTATTAGTAGAATAAATTAATAACGTCTAGATCAAAATAAAAAAACAATGGGCGTTGTACTGTAAAGTAAAATATAGTGTTTATATTTGAAGAGCGTCAAAAGTTGTAATATTTAACACTATGTAATAAATTAACCATTAATGAATTATTTATTAATTAAAAGTACTGAATAATGTAGAATAAATCCTGGTTCACTCTTTAAACGTAGTTATATTCTAAAAGAATTGCTTAGATCAGTTTTGAATGTGTTTTGGTGGCTTCCACGTTTTCCTGATGTTTCTGCATAGCCCAGCTGATAATGCTCGATCGTGTTCGTCTGTGTTCTTTACTTATTTACTAAGTTAATAAAGTATAAATTGTTGTACTTTATTTTATGTCCAATGAATAAATATTTTATAATAAAATTGTTGTATACATCGTAAATATAAAAACAAATAGAACTGATGAATCGCAAATTTATTAATAGTCAAAAATCGATAACATTTATAATTAATTAATTTTTATATAATTAAATATTAAAAAAAAATACTATAATATATAGTACTGTATAAATGCAATTTGGGAAAAGTGGGTGCTATCCCGACCGTTAGTTTCGTTATTCATTCAAGGAACCAAGTCGGCTAGATAATGTATTTGTGTAAAGCCGTTTGCAGGGATAATAGCACAGATAATATGAAAAATTTTCATATAATCTGTGGTAAAACTGATAAATAATATAGTTAGATTTCAGCATAGTTAGTTTTCTTGATGGATTTCAGTTACTTTTATTCTGTGAGGATTGGCATACAAATAGGATGTGATTTTATATTTTAGTGTTCGGGGTTGGTAAAACCGATAAAATAAAAATTGGCGTTATCATTTGGAAGAACTATTATCTCTTATCAATTTTTGAAAGAACTGTCAACAATGTCCATACCAATTACCATGTGCGTTCGCGCTCACAAATACTGATCAGAAATTTTAAAAACTAAAATTATTATTTATATAACTCGTCCGGGTCCATTGTAATTTTAGTTTTCACGTTATAAAATTGATTCGTCATGGAGCCCTTTGATCAAGTACTGAAAAATGATCCCTGCCATTCTAGACCTTTTAGCGCAATCGATGTGGATTCGTTTATTTCAAGCCGCAATCAAGAAATGCAAATATTGTTAAACGAAATAAGTATGTTCACCCGCAGGATATTCATTAAATTAATTATAATTGGCCGTTTTTTTTTTTGTATTAAAGATGTCCCGAAAAAAAATAACGCTATGATATTTCAACGTCTTCCAAAGAAGATGCGCCGTCGTGTAATGAGTACGACAGTGAAAAGAATGCCGAGGAACTTGAGAGCTGCTCATAAGAAATCTGTAATAATGACGATGTACAATGAAAAAAAAACCGAGCTATATAATGAGTAGAGATTATCTTTTAGATCGACAAACAAGTAAACAAACATGTGAGACGGAGAAAAGACCATAGACGTAAACCAAAAAGTAAGAAATTAGACTATATTCGTCGTCAGAAAAATGGAACATGGTTGGAAACCCATGTATGGTTTGCAAAGCGATTCCATATGGTCGTTAAAGATGGATATAAACTTCCGAAGAGTTCACATGATAAAACTTACCGTGCATGTTTTAGAGCAATTGGAAGCCATTGTTTAGTTCAGGTAGGTAATTAATTTAAACAAGAATATCACCTAGCATGTATATCTATCTCTTTTTTTTTTTTAGGACATATCATACATAAGTTGTCTTGAGCTAAAAGGACCGTTTAATCAACTACTTGAAGGTTTAATGCATCATGTTAGTCAAGAATGTGGTCGTACTTTTAAAGCTAAATGTTATGAAAATGGTACAAGAGAAGGTACAGTTTTCATGTACCGCAACGATACTTATCCTTTTGGAGCTATCGGTCGAGTGTCGTTTATTTGGGATACTAATTCTTCGCAACAAATTAGGACATTGTGGATGTGGTCGGATCCTTCTATTTATAAAGAATTAGCAGACGAATTACAAATGACTTTTGATTTGGTACAAAAATCTGTAATCAAAGAGCTAGTGGAACCCCCAGCTATTAAAAAACCGAAGCTGACTGAAAAATACAATGTGCAGTTGTTACAAACTCCGTGCTTTGTTAACGGCACCATGAAGATGACATTGTTAAAAGATACTTTGAATCGTTTTCGTTTAACCGGACCATTATCAAATAGCGTTTTAAGCCGCTTATTGTACCCAGGTGCATCGATTAAACCAAATACTGTTGACAAGGAAAATTGGTGGTTGATTCATCAAAACAAGTTTAAAGATTCACTTAAAATACAAAAGCAACTCTGGGAATCCTTTAGCGGTGCGGACAGGCCAGATTCGTATCCATCTAATTGTGTTATTGGTTGTAATACAGTCGATCCAAGACTGGTGTTTCCAAAAAAAAGGACAAAAGCTGTACCAACTTCTAAAGGTTTTTATTAATATACCAAAACTACTGTCAATGAAATTAATTACTATTGTTATTTTGACAATTAGAATTTTTACTGTCGGATAACTTCAGTGTGTCATTGCCGCCGGAAGCTAGTTTTTCGCAAATTTGGGATCCAAAGGTGCGTGATTGGACGACTCGAAATAAAGTTCCAAACAACAAATTGAATGAGTTACGTAGTAAGTGCGTAATATCAGATAACGATACAATCACTTTGGGTGAAAATACATTATCTATTATTCCTACGCTGTTAATTCAACGACCCGGGCAATGTTTGTCAACTTCTAGACCTGGTAATTCTTGCGCCACTTACATGTTTTCATTTTTTTTAATGAAACTGATTTACCTTTCAGGATATGGTAGTGGTTGGGATATTGTGTTTCCCGCTGGCTGGGCTATGCCGTTCTGGTTAGGTTTAATTATAAACGGCTGTCAGCCAGGCGGCATGAGAGAAACCAATACAATGGTTTTAGAGCGCTGTTTACTCCAGTTGGCGCATGATCCCGATACAGAAGCTGGCAAATTAAAATCAATTTTAGAGAAGCGGGAAGCAATGGAAAAGCATTTCAAACTACCACCACAGATGCGAATCAACTACATAAAATTAGGTTTTAAAACTCCATTTCATTGTGCCTGGGATAGTCTGTGCAGAGAATGGAAATTTAGCACGATTGAAGTATTTGTACTAAGGAATATAAAAATAATAGGAATATTACAAAAATATATTCTAAAATTGAACAAACCTTTAGATACGAATAGTTTGAAAAACGAATTTCCAAATATTGAAAATTGTTTGATATCCGTACGAGTTAATTTGTCTTTCAAAGGAGTTTTAAAGCCAAATTCACATATTTGCCTACCGACGCCTGAGGACATGGACAATATCATCGGGAGTAAATCACACTTAGGCCCTGTAGAAAATACGCATAAAGATTTAAATGCGACCAATCGTAAAGTCTACCGGTTGGAGCATAAAAAGTTTTTGAAAATGTTACGACGGAAACGAGTTTTGGAAAAAAGCAAACGAAATGTTTTGTGTTTAAGACAAAAACGAATTACATCTCCAACGTCTCAAATAGTGAAAGAATATTTGGCGCAAATGAAAAAGTTATGGATTCCCGAAGAAGAACAGAACATTAAACAAAGTTGTGATCGTACAATATTAGGTTTTATTAATAACAGCCACTATAGTTTTACGGACGCTCATTGTGTCGGTATGGGATACATACCTGGTCCCGCTCTTCTAGAATTATTCAACCTTTGGGTTCAATCAAAATCTAAACTACCCTACGTACTTGTTAGAAACCCATTTACCCTTCAGTATCGATTTGCTCTATTGAGTATAGGAAGTTAACGTTCTATGTAATATATCGTTTGAACTTCATACATTGTACAGTATGACTTAAATGGAATTCTGTACTTATTATTGTAATTTTTAATTGGAAAGTAAATGTTGATTTGGTTTTTTATGTTTCTTATAAGCATGTTGATATCTTGATTACCATTATATTAAAAATCCACCAATAACCTATGTGTCCTAAAATTTTTATTGGGTTTTAAAATTAGTCTACTAGAAAAATCGTGTGATGTTCAGAACAGACGAAAAATTCAGAATCAAAGTTCAATAAAATGATATATCAATTTTATAACAAATATAGCTTTGGTGAGAAGCATTTTTGGTTTTACAATGATGGTTTTTTTTTAACCTCTTTAAATATTAGCAAAACTTACATAACACATTATAATTGTGATTTATTTTTTAACAAGGCATTGAGTAATAGAGTTTATTACCAAATAGTAGTGTTGGAAAAAAAAAAGAGTCCACAAATAACTGGTGAATAAAGCCTTTAAGTATTATACTAATAATGTTATAGTAGTAATTATCCGTTACTACTAGTTTTAGCAAAATGTAATCAATTTACGAAGAATTTTACTTTTTTATGAATTAAACTAAAAATCATTCAACATAAGGACATAATTTACAATCTTTACCTCTTCTGACCCAGCAATAACTTTTAAACCTTTTTTATATTGTGTAATTAAATTGACTATTAATGGTAAACCTCATATTTAAATTAACTTATTAAGGGTGCAGTATAGTGACACTATATATAATATATGTATTTAGTATTATACACTATATGTAATATGTTTACAATAATAATTAATATATAATAGAATGCGTTTAAATCGTCTTGGTCGGATGTTTGTTGATTCATTTGGTTTTTTGTCGAACGCTTCAAATAAGCGACAAATGTTTACACTTAATATTATCTAGAGAAGAAAAACAAATACGTTTAATTGAACGTTTACTTCCAATGACTATTGAATATCATTCACTATATTCAATACATTTTAAAACATCTTAAAATTTAAATCAATAACTCAATAAAACCCGATTTAAAATTGCGGAGGTAATATTAGAAGAGTAAACGATATTTGTTTATTTCCATTAGGCACCGGACGGGTTGAAGCGCACTTTTTAGCTGACGCTAGACAAACGAGTTTCTTTGCCTGTTCAAAGAAACTGTCGAAGACCAAAGAGTCGAATCGGCGATCGTGCGTAACAGCATTGCCGCCTGCTTATCCCGAAGCGTCCTTACTCCTTAACTAGATAAACAACAATCAATTTAAAAGCGTTTTTTTCAACATAGCAAAAAACAAAATCGCTCCATATAAAATCTTTTTACTACCAGGTCACGTATAATGGCGATATAAGTAAAAGCTTTGTGCGTGGCCAGATTATAATGTTTAAATTTCAAATAGATTAAAAATTCTAAAACTATTAACACGAACGGTATTATCATGTGTTTTGTGTGTATATTTATCCCACGGGGGAAAACATTTGCCCTACCAATAAAAAACGTCTGGCGCGACTACTGTTTATAATATTTGATTATTTTCTAACAAATTGCCTCTTATTGATGTTTAGGTAGCAAACCAGAGGTGCCCAAAAGAACTTCAGATAATTAGCACCGTTGTAATATTATGAAGTAGGTAAAATTTCATTATCATAAGGTAATAGTCATTAAAAAGTAGCTTAAAATGTATATATTTTTTTATTAACCCATAAAGTGTTTTGGACAAATTTTCAAAGCAGGTTTTTAATTGGAAAGTATTGAAACCGTACTTGGTGGTATAATACGATCAATACAGATTGTGGATTTATTAGGTAATATATATGTATAGTTGGGTTACAAGGATTCAACCGATATATATATATATATATATGCACAAATTGTATGTAAATTCGTCAGTTCCTGCCGTGACCCATACTGTATTGTGTACTAGGTAAGTAGGTACCTCAAAGGATAATATATTGTTGTGTTAAGAGCGCAATAGCTGGTAGTGGATACGGGTAACCTCTGTCAATACATCAAAAGCGCCCCTTAATTCATTTTATTCTAAACGTGTGCCCAAGTACCGAAAAATGGCATTAATGCGTCAAAAGTAATTGTGTACTCAAGAGTCAAAACTTGATAAAACATGTACTCTTCTCGAGAGAAGTTTAAAAAACACAACGCAGTACAAAAATGTACCTATTTTTAAAATAATACAAGTTTTGTCAATTTTAAGCCCTGCAACTTCCAAAAAAATGGCTTCAAGATGCCCTTCAAAATATTGTTTTCTTTAAACAATCTAATAGGTATTTTTGCATTCATATCAATTAAGAGCCACTAATTTTCAATTAAAGTAAACATGTTTTAGACTTTAGTGCCGGTAAATCGCTGCGTAGACATCCTCTTAATACGTAGTTTAATAACAAAATAAAATCTCTAAACTATTTGAATAATAAGTCTGTACTCGTAAGCCAAAACATGAAAATAGTGCAAAATAATTTCGATTTTGTGGTGAATCTCAAATCACACATAATTTTAAAAATTGTTAAAAAAATGAAAAACAAATTGTAGTAATTAGGTACCAATGCCAAAAAATAGTACGACAAACATTTCTTGAATCTTCTAAATGGTTAATTCGTTTTGATGTTTTATGATTGATGGATAGTCAACAATTGAATTTACAGTAGGTAAATTAATGAATGTCTTATTTGAAACAACAAAAAAAAAGGCTTCGAGGTGCCCTCAATAATGCCGTTTTCTTTAATTTTGACTATAAAGTGTTTTGCTTTAAAAAACTAAGTTTTTATGGAAATTTTTTTTTAAATCGCTGTTGCGGATGCTGTGGTGATGGTCCGAAAAATAATTTAACTACCCAACAAGAGCCTTAATTAGTGAACTAATAATAACATATCACAGTTTAACCTTTAAGTTAAGATTTTGTAAAAATTGCCTATACTTTACTCCTTAAAATGGGCTGCGCTGACATCCTCTTAAGATAAAATGGATAAGGGTAGATTTCAGTTGATATTTTTTTATGCTCTACTATAACTTTTTAATCGCTGGACCAATATGCTGCCCTGCTAAGCAAAAATGCCGTAACTAAAAAAAAAACCGATTAAACCAAGTAAAAAACCATTTTACTTTGTTAAATCGGGTTTTTACAAATTTTTTTTTTTTAGTTACGGCATTTTTGGTTAGGAGGGCATGTTTATCAACCTCTTAATTGAATATTGGTAGCACCTTACGAATTCTTCAGAAACCGCATTAGCAGTACTTTTATTTAAATCAATTTTATATTATATAGTTAGATTTTATTTAAATATAGTAGGTATTTATAGTAATAGTGTGTACGTCATTATTAATTACTATTAAAGTTGTAAACAATTAATGTGTACTATTTATTATTTATTAATTAAGTATGATCATTAATCATATAACTATATGTACCTAAATAAATAACATTATTTACCAACCTGTATATTGTTTTAGAAATATATTTTGTACTCAAATGTAACTTATCTATAAATTTACCCTTCCCAAAAGAGCCTCTTAAAAATTGTCCTTCTTTTAATTGGCGTTTCCATTAAGGGTAGGACTACAAAAATTAAAGTTTTCACAAAAACTGTTTTTCTTTCCATACATAAAAATTGTATTGATACTCAATTAGATATAAATTGTAGATACAATCTATATCTAAATAAAATGTTTGTTTTATGAAAACGTGTTAAAAATTCAAAACTGATTGAGAAAATCTATAAAATTGGAATAATTTAAATTTCCTAGATTTTCCTGTAATGTATTGGTTCTAATAAATATTGCTAGACATTTGTTTTTTAATAATATTTATTTTCATGACTTAAAAACCCTTACTTTCCATGTATAGTTTCCATAGTTATTTGTCTATCATATTATATGTTCATATAAGTATCACTTATACTACCACCTATAAATTTATTAAAAACGATTAATATTATATGTTTCTTTGGAGTAAAATTTTTCACGAAGGCTATTGTTATCTCAAAAATTTAACGATATAATTTATCAAGTCGGTAAAAACACAGTAGTTATTACATGTTTGTTGACATATCGACCGTTTTTGTACAGGACAACGACCTAGGTAAAATTTGACGCAATAACAATTATCCTAATGATTTAAGGTATATATGTATATATATATGAGTATTAATTATTATTATTATGATAGTGTAGCCCGAGTTATACCTACCGAATAATTATTCTTCCGGTAGGCGACACCGCGGTTGTTCTGGTAAATATTTTAAGCCAACCGTATGGGTCACAAGTCCATTAGTTATTCTCTCTATAGCTGTTTCCGCCATCAACCTGAAAGCCCCTCGTCATTATCTTAATAAATGACCGCGCTGTCGCCATTTTTCCACTCGACAAACGACACACTTAACTCGGATTTTATATTTCACTTTATACTTCACTAATCGTATTTTTAGAATTAAAACAATTATTATTTATTAATTTAAAATCTCTAGGGTGCAGATAGGGGAAAGTCGTCAATTAACTACCTAAAAAAAAAAACAGTTTAATTTTTTAGCTGCAGAAGCGTCGGATCATTTAAATGTATATTATCGGTTTATCTACTCTGCATAATGTGATTTTACTATGGAAAAAATGTGGCACTAAACGCATATTATTATTATTTTTATAGTGAATTGGTAAAAACGTTTACCAATAGCAATTTGGAAATAAAATTATAAATTTATTCGGATTTCAACCCATACTTGGGCATACGTGTGCCTATTATTAATGTGTTAATATAGAAACTTTTAAATTTCTTTACAAAGCTTTCATCCGCCATTATGCAGAGTTATAGCATAAGTATATAATTATTAAATATGTTCATTTGGAAAATTTGTAATAGTATTATTTTAATCACCACATAAAACCAATTCTGTCTCGGCGATCGACAGACAGAAAAATAATAAAGAAATTGTAAGTTCAAGAAAACCAATATAAAAACTATTTGTTTTGAAATCAAATTATTATTAAAAACAAAAAACATTTTTAAGAGAGACAAATCGCCATGTCATGGAAAGTTTAATAAGAAAAACAACTGTTTTAACAATATTCTTAAGTTTAGATAAGTTTTAATGAAACGTTATGTAACTTATTAAACTTGCGGTTTCCTAAGGTTATAACATTTCTATACTGGTTTTTCGGATAAACTAATTACCGAACATTTTTTATGGTTCACAAACTTTGTTTTTAATCTTAAATGAACAAAAAGTTTCCAACTAATACAGTCTATATAGGTGATAGTTTGTATTTTGAAAAATGAACAGTTAAAAATGTTTTATTTATTTTTGTATCATTTTCTAATTTATAACCCATACAGTTTAATAGCGATTACATCTACATCCAGGATTTACTGTTTTTAATTTTAATGAGAGCTTTTAAACTCATTCCGGCCAAAAGTTGCAATTTACTTTTAAAGTAAGAATAAAAAACGGCTTGTTGGTTTACCAGATTTGTATTCGTTTTAAATAATATGTTGGTTTTTTAAGAATATTTTTTATTAGTGCTTGAAATTATTGCATTTTAATGTTCGAACCACTCAAAATACAAAATATCATCGAACAGAATTCCCTTTAGGCTTTAACTTATCTACAATAAAATTGTATA